TCATACTGTGGTCTGAGGTAGAACAAGGCACATAGTTTTTCCTGGATAATCCCTTCCTTAGTAAAGTAGCCTGACAAGACTTTGATTGACAATAAAAATGTTAAAAATGGCCGACATAAAGCTTTCTTACATATTTTTTTTTTCCAGTGTTTGGATTTAGCATCAGTTTTAGAGATAACTAGAGAAAAGCTTGATAATCTGGACTTATGGTCTCTGATTAGTGAAGGCATTATTGCTATCAGGAAGAAAAAACGTCATTTACGTAAGTCAATATTTTTGCTTATAGATCATGGTGATTTTGGAATACCTTGCTTATGTATTAGGTTTCTTAAAAAAGAGAAGCTTTCTAGCTCATTAATTAAGATGCTTGCTTGCCAAATTAGAATTTTGAATTTTAAAAAAATAAAAAAAGAAATTAAAATAATTTTGTTCATAACAGCTGCATTTATATCACCTGAGACAACTGTCATCAAAGAAAATGGAAGTATTATATTTACTGGTGTACCAGACGAACAAAAACTAGAAACTAAATATATGGCACCTGAATTACAACAGAAAGGAATATTATCAGAAAAGGTAAATCTAAACTAGTCCCTCTTACAGCCAACTGAAACAATGGTTTTGATTTATTCCTATATATCATGATGTCATAATTTTCATAAGGGCAAAGTCAGTGTCAGACATGAATTATGCGTGTTCATGTGTATATATATTTTGATGAAATGGATACTAGTTTCTATCTATGAAGCTTTCTGTCTTCTTCATTGCATGTTATGTCTCCCTTCTCACACATTTGTTTCAAACAATAAGAAAATATTCGTTGTAACCTCTGGAGTGTTATTGGAATCTTCACAAGAGCTTATATGATCCGACATATTGGAATTTGATTCTGAAAGCGGCTTGTGATAGCTTTATTCACAGTCAAACTAGTACAAATGGACATCCATATTCAGTGTGACCCTTCAATAAATGGCTACCAAATATCAGCAATTTTCTACCAAAATTACCTCTATTCAACATCACCTTGTTGACTTGAATTTTTTCTTCACATATATAATTCAATACTAAATGTATAATTTCAGACATGTTTATATGGATTAGCAATGACGTTACAAACTTTAAGTAGTAATGAAGATTTGGATGAAAATTTACAAGATTTATTGTTATCAATGTTACATAGTAATTGTGATAAAAGACCTGGTATTAATCAGGCTTTAGGAATTTGTGATAACCTACAATCAATGTTTGATATTACATCACGACAAGGTTGTAAAATATTATTACAGCGTGCCTGGAATTATTATAGTGATGATGAAACAGACTATCAAAATAATAATTCATTACATGAGGTAAGTTACCTTATTTATTGTAAACTTATAAACATTCCTACATGTAGCCCGATAGTTTTACTTTGACACGTAGTAAAAAGTAATCAAAGTGGATGAAAGCATATCTTACCCGGCAAACTATAAGAACAACAATTGATGGTAACTTTTATTCAATCTATTTTCATTGTGTATTCTAATTTTAGTCTGAACTACAAGAATCTAGTATTGAAAGCAACAATACCTATATCGAAATTGAAACAACAGCTCCCACACCAGTTTCTGCTTTTAAACCAATCCATCCCGAAAATAGTCCCAAACAAGTTACAATTGGTTCTACATCTTCAGCCTTTAAACCAGTTGCAGTGAAGCCTCAAACCATATCTAAACCAAAACCTCTCTATGAAAAAAACTTTCATGCACACATAGCTAAACAAGAAGAAGAGCTGACAAATGGTTTAAATCAAGATGATGTTAAACAGTTAGAAAAGGCACCAAAAGTCATGAAAAAACTGAAAGACCTAGAGAAACATTTATCTAGACATCGCCCAGTTGATGAGTGTAAATTTAGTGACCAGGAAACTAATGAAGTTAATAATAATAGTGACACATCTGTTGATAAAAATACTAATTCAGACTTCAAACCTGGAGATTCTTTGGGGAAATTATTACAAAAATTTGATGGTCAGTTACCAGACACAGAAACCTTGGCAACAGCCATAGCTCAATATCTACAAACACAAATCAGTGAAACATCACAAAAATTACCAGTAACCTCTCCTACTAAAGACTCAGAATTATCCACTTCTACATCATCAGCTTTTCCCAAATCAGATCAAACTTGTAGTGCTAGTATGATTGAGTCTTCTGTTAACACTTCAATAGAATCATCTTCGGCAATTCAAACATTTACTATGCCAATTCAGAATATCACAGGCCAAACAACTTCCTACCCAATCCAGTTACAACTTCAACAAGATCCTAAGACTGGTTTTGTTCAACTGATTCCAGTTGGTGTTATGCCTTATGGAAGTGTCCTGCCTCAAACAGCTGTGCCTATGAATACAGGTCAAAATTGTGTTTCAGAAATTGAAGATGATACTATTCCTGATAAGAAAGCTAATATCCCACATAAAAATGTAGTGGGTAAACCTCCAATCCAAACTCGTAGTGTAAAACAAATAGTAAAGAAACCATCGAAACCTCGCTCTAGAAGTAAATCTCAGGGATATATGTCAGATTCAGGTATTCTGGAAAAAAGTGACCATATGGAAGATGGTTCTTTCCTTCAGTTTCCTACAAATAATGCTCGCAAACAGATTCGTACTCTTCAAAACGAACTAGAACAAAGTTTTACCGGCAGTCATACTTCTGGTACAGGACAATCAAAACTTAACAAGACATTCCTATCAGATAGTGGTCATTTTAACCAATCTAGTGGACAGAGGTCATTTCATCAATCTGGTAGTCGGTCAGCCAATACCTCACCCTCTTGGTCTAAAGATAGTGGTGTAAGTGGATTACAACCACCATGTAATACTGTAGGATATAATGATAAAACATTAATAGAAAGATTATTAAATACTGATGGTTCACAGCATCAACATATATTGGGTGAAGTTCTGCGAGTTTTACGTGAAAACCATGTCCTTAATGATAGTGATTATGATGATTTTACTGCTGGTAAGCTTCATCTTTTATATAAAAAAAAAAATGATAACTTTGCAAAACTTATATTTTAGCAATGTATTGGAGAATAAACTTCAGTCTAGGCATGGTTTCTCCAATCCAAATATATAAGATATTCAACACATTAGCTGATTATTTTCCATGAAATTTATATGAACGATTAAGTAATTTGAAAAGATACATAAACTGTAAATGTAAGGATCAATTTTGTTTATTTCAGCCGAATATATAACATCTTTAGGTAATCTACGTATTGATACATTTACTGGTGCAGTTAGTGAGAAATATCATCAAATAGATTGGTCATATACATTGCTTAATACTTTATATGGTATTATTAATCATTCTCATAATAGGTAAGGATTAGTATTTAGAATACCTTATATCTATTGCAGCAGCATGTACTCTGTACTCTATAGTGTACCATAAAAGAACAGGGGTTTATTCCAATCTTATTTAAATATGATATATTTACTTTTTAGAAATATAATACCAACAACTACAAATGCCAGTGAGAAAAGTTATGATGACCACAGACGTCTTTCAGCACCTTCTTATGTGCAGAACCAGCCGTTTCAATCACTACCTGATTCAAACTACAAAAATCCCCAATTATCTGCATCATATTCTGATGTTAAATATAATCCGCCATTACAATCTAATCCTCCAGAATTACAACGATCTCATCCTTTAAGATCTTCATTATACAGACGTACTAGTGGAATTAGTGAAACATCTGATTCAACTGATACAGAAAGACAAGAGAAACGCAGGAAATTTAAAAAACGGTACCAATTAGACCGTAGTAAAAGCTCTTCCATGTCCAATATTGTTAACAATTCACAAAATCAGTCGCCAGAACATACTAGTAAATTGAAATGTGAATCGGAGTCGTTTATAAGAGAGACAAATAGAAGCCTGACAGTAGATGTTCCATCACCAATAAGTAATCAGTATTGTGGTGATTCATCGCCTGGTAGTGTTTCTATGAACTTAGAATCCGATTATGTCCAACTATCTGGCAGCGTTCATGAATATGAGAACATTGATTTTATAGATACTCCAAAACACATTTCACAAAGACAATATAACAGGCCAGTGTCAGATTGTTATTCATTCAAATCAAACCAGACTCAAAATGGTGACCAAAGTAAAGTTGGTAAAGTAAATCGACAAGATTCTTTCAGACAAAATAAACAGTTCAACAGAAATCTATCAAAAAGTGAAAATTTACAAGTTGCAGAATTGCCAAAATCATATTCTGAACGATATTGTTCACCAGATGAAATATCCTCCAACTCGTCTTCAAGTAACATCAAATTAACACCTCAGAACCAGTCTTCTAATACCTCACAATATGTACCTAAAATAAGAAAATATGATGCCAAACCAAACAACAATCTAACGAGGAGATATGTTAATAAATATAGTAGTGATTCAGAAAGTAGTCGAACTGATTCTCAACCATTGAAAGCTAGACATGATATTGGCTCACAAATTCAAATTGGTGAAAAACAAGCATCGAAAAAAACACTCTCAACTTTATTGGAGAAATCAGAAACTTTGTTGCCTAGAAAAATACAAGTTATACATCACTGGGCATCAGTACATACAGATTTTAGTGGGGATTTAGAAGAATTTTCTAGTCATATTGTAAGTGTCTATTGTATTTTTGATATTTACTATTAACATATTCTATCCCTCTAATGTTTTACATGGTGTTTGGATCAATATTTCTTATTCCAGTAAGCAAAATACATGTACATATCTCAATTGGCCAATAAATTTTGAAATGAACTCTAGCAATTAAAACAATGCTGGTCTTTGGCATACAATTTTGACAAGACTAGGCACTAAGTAGAGAGACATTCATTCATGTTTTAACACATTTAGTTATCAATATTAAAATAATGTTTTTGTCTGTAGGATGAAGGTGATAAAGCAGGAATAGAACACCAATTACTATCAGTACAACAACAACTTGGTATGGAGAAAAAAATGAGACGAAAAAGTCAGAAGTTTTATCAAAAATTGATTGATCCTGTGAAAACATCTAAAGGTTTGTACAGAATGGAATAGATTATCATTTGTCACCATTATTTTGATATTACTTATTTGCTTCTTGCCTTCACTGAAATAAAAGTGAAGTATTGAAATTACTGTAATTATTGTATGGTGAGAAAACACACAGTCATACAAAAGGGAGCTCTCATGACTGACAGACACAGTCAATTCTACAGTTTGCCTCGCTACATATTACCACATATTTTTAGAACAAATTTTATTATAACAATGGTTATTAAATTGTAGATGATCAGAAAGGGGTAGCAATTCAAGTATTGAAAGATTTAGAAGAAATGACAAGGAAAGTTCATTTTCTCCAGTTGTGTCAAACTCACTTACAGGTAAGTACTTTTTTCAACATATAGAAATGATATAGTTATATAACTATCACCATGAAGATACATGGACTTAAAAACTATTAATTTAAAGTTTGGTCAGCATATTAAAAGTCTTCACTTTCTTAACTCTACAAAACGTTCAATTCTATTTAGAAGATCTATTCTGTTTATTGAACCAGATTAAACAAGGAATAACAAAAAGTGTATGTGACAGTCTGTTACAGATGTGTCCCTTCTACATTATCCCAATAAGATGCAGAACAGTAAAGTGTATACCTGTATGTTGTTTCATTTAGATTTTTTTCATTCATAATGTTTTATATTTCAGATGTTATTAGCAGAATTTAATGGTATTCATCTACAGTATTCCTATAGTTTATCATTAAATATAGTAAATGAGACATTATCATTAAAACCTTATCCAGAAAATCCTTTACTACAGTTTCAGTATATGGTAGATCCTAATTCTAATTGTGAGATACAAGTTTTACAAGCTGGTGAAACTCAAGCCTTAATGGCTTATCTTTTTATTACGTGAGTACATTGGACATAGTATAATTTATTTTAATAAATTTTAATTTGATTTCTTTAATATTTTAGATTTGATTTTGTTGTGAAATATACTGAGATTATAGTTTGTATTGCCACCACTTCTTGTATCTTTGTGATAATGAAAAATGTTGGTTGTATAGGTGATCAAACCTGAAAGTACTTGTTTTTTTATTATCCTATATCAAATGTTTCTGTTTCAGATGTGCTATAAGTAATGGTTTTATACACCAGTTTTTATATACTTATAGATATTTCTTATCATCTGATAGTCTATTAAACTTTATTATATATCGATATACTGCAGCTTCAAGGTAAATATATTTTTAGCAGTTTCACATGACTTATTGTTACATTCCTTTTCAGAGGACAAAACTGGACATCAAAAACTTGATATTTTGCAGTTGACTTTACCATTAGTGGAATTGTTTCCTGAATTGAAATTTTTTCAAACAGGAATTTATGCCACTAAAATTTAAAAATAAAATTCCTAAACACTGAAATTTTTTTCATTTCAGATCCGATTCCAAGGACCCTAGAATTCAGTGTATAAAACAGAGAGCTTTAGATATTCTCTATTATTGGATGGAAGGTTTTTATACCATAGATTTTCAGCAAAATAAAACATTGTTATTCCGACTGGAACAGTTTTTCATGACACAACTCTCTTATAATGATGATAAACAGGAATCTATCTCAGAACTTCTGCGACTTTGTTCCAATGGTTATAAAATTAAATTCAATAATTCTAATGATGAGAAAGATGAAGGAGAAGCCACATTATATTTAAAACTGGAATCACCTAAGAAGGTAGATATTGATTATAATCTTATAAAACTGTATTTTGTAATAGGGATGTATGAATATCTAAGATTATTAGATCAAGAAAGGTTACAGAATTTTCATCAAAATAGCATATTTCATCTGGCATATAAAAATCAAATTGTAAGATTCTGTTCACTGAATGAAATTTGAATTGCAATGTGAAACTTGGTGAAAGGTAAATATTGTGATTAATTTTATATCTAAGGTTAGAGAGACAATGAAAGAGGTAATATTTGTTTTTAGTTTACAAGTTTATTTTAGTTCCTTTTTGCTATTGTTTCCTTTTATCTAGTTCTAGCAAATGTTTTCACATCTTTACTTTTATCAACACTTTCAAATCATCAATAAATTTTACATGAACTTCTTGTTTTACCTTTATCACAATCATGATAAATATATATTTTAAATCAAGTATTAGAAAAGAAATCAACCTTTTATTTTGATCTAGGTGTACATGTAGTTAAATTCATTTAAATTATTGTTTTTTGGGCAGTGAATCATTTTTTTGCTTCATCCAAATGCTAGAATACATGTGAGCTGTTGTGGCTCAATGATTTAGATGCTTCCTAGGTCCATGGTTCAATCCCAGCAGGCCTATTGGTTTAAATAATACCTATTTCAACATGGTTTACAGCTGTTAGTGATACATGCATAAAATAGTCTGGTCATTTGGATTGGACAATAAACATAGCAGCATGTTTTACAGGATGTGCATTTGAAAGATCCCTATCATTCTTCGATAGTTGGAACTTGAAGAAAGAGTAGTCTAATGCCACTGTCCTGGCATTGTCCATCTTCATTTGCTAAATCAGTTGCAAAAAAGTATGATGTTTTTTTGATGTATAGAATACTTTTATATTTGTACTTAACTGAATATTTAGCTGTTGTTAATGAAACATGGATTAGATATCCTCGGGGATGAATTCAATAGTAACATTTTAAATAAAATTTTTGTCATTTTCAGTGGAATTCCTTCAAATCATTAACTAGAAGATCACCAGCTAAACGAGTCCAATCATTTAAAGATTTAACTAGTATAACTAAAGCTTGTAATAATAATGATATTGATGATGGATTTTACCCCAGAATAACAAAAAGAAATGATGCCTTTACATTATTAGATTATACACCACAAATATTAGTTGAACAGTTAACACTTATTACTCAGGTAAATACTTATCTTCTTACTATAGTTATCATGATTCCTTGTCACATGACTAATGATAGAAATGACATTGAAATTATTTGCAAATAAGAACCGAAACTTATCACTTTGAGTTGCAAGAAATATACAGTTTTGCAGGTTTTACATTTGATATGTTGAAAGTTCACTTATAATAATATCCGAACAATAAACTGAAAATAAGTCTGTATAATCTCCTAACCATGTATATCTACAGAGACATTCTAAGATTATCATAATTTCTTAGAAAGACTAAGATGTGTTTGTGAACTATATATGTTAAAGATGTTAATCAACGAGAGTTCAGTATTGTTTCTTTTCTTCAGGAAATATTTCAACAGTCACATCCAATACAATATTTAAATTCTAAAGCTAATGGAATATGTGTAGCTCTATCATTACCTGGTCTCTGTACACCATCTATGATACGAAGAAGAGAGAGTGGAGGTGAATCTAAAAATCTATTTCTTGGTCAATGGATGCCAAGTAAAATATTAGATGAATTGATCAGTTTATCACACAATATATCACAATGGGTTTCTGGTGAACTAGTAAGCTGTAGTAATCCTAAGGTTAGCACAAATTAACACTTCAATTATTTGATAAATGATTATAATTTTATCAATTGGTTGCACTTTTTTTTTGGATAAATTGTAACTAATTGAAAGAAATGAATGCAATCTAAATCTTTAAGATACCCTGACACCATAACAATTAACAGTTGCGTATGGCTGTGAATAATGAAAGTGGTCATGAGTAACAAATACAACTTATGATTCAGAGTTGTGTTTGAAACTTGTGACAGTTATTTTTATTCGCAACCTTAGGCAACTAGTGATCACAATGGTGTGAGGGCCCCTTAAAACTTTTTAAAATTAAAATTTTTTGTTTTTTTTAAATGAATGACTAAATTTAGTTAATCATGTTTCTTTATATCAATAGGCTCAGGTTCAACTACTGACTAAATTTATCAATGTGGCACAGATTAGTGAAGAAATACGTAATTATTCTCTGTGTGTATCAATTATTGATGGTTTAGAAAATGTGATAGTAAGACAATTACCAATATGGAGAAACATCTCTTCTAAATATATTTCAACAATGGAGACATTGTCGAAAATGAAGGTAAGAACTTCACTTAGTCCACATATAGGTGTAGGAAATGGGATGACAGTTAAACAGATTTGGAGCACACCACTGGTATTTTTTTTTAGTTCCATGATATAAAAGATGAGAATTCTTATCATGCAAATATTCTCAGCACTCCAACACCCTAAAATTTTGTTGATTTCTATGTCAATGATAAAACAAGAATATTACTTTGTGCTACCTCTTGCTGTTTAAAATATCATTTCTTGAGACACATAAATAAAACAGAAACAATTTAACAACTTTAATATCATATTGATTGTAAGATTAGAAATATGAATTATTTACTCTCGACTTAAATGTAGATTTAAAATGTTACTTTATATTTCAGTTGAAATTAAAGAGTGAGCCATTTTACTTAATACAAGATAGTAACTATACTTTATATCCTACCATACCATATACATTATACTTCTTACTACATGTACAACAAATAGAAATGGGCAGTTTTACATTAGCTAATGGCTTCATTAAATGGACTAAAATGAGGTATGTAATATAACTGGCGTCAGCTATGTAATAAGGGAACATAGTTTAGTTTGTATATGAATGGTCGGAATCCATTGTAAAAAATGGCAAATTACCTTTGTGAGTTACAGTAGAATTCTTTCCCATAAATTTTATCAATATTGAGAACATTTTCAAGATGATGGAATATCGACCTACTCTGAGCACACTTTTTGCATAACTGTCTAGGGCTCAATTAATGCTGTCAGCTTGTGTTAGTTGTAGGACCTATTGTCACAGCTGGTTTTGAAATGAGAATTAACATTGCAGATGACCCTTTTTTAATCACCATTGACCTTGTAACATTGCAGCATTTTGACAGGTTGATTAACTTGAAGTTTGTTTTTTAATGAAATCTAATTTTTGTTAACTTTTAATTTCAGAACTATCTGCCAACTTATCGATCAAATAAGAATATTTAGATCTAATGAATATGGTTTTGAACCAAATTTTGATATTCAAGACAATTTACTACAAAGAATGGAAGAATTTCTTCATTTAGATATTCAAGCTATAGCATCACAAAATGATACCAATTTTCGACGTATGTCAACTGGTGGTTTACAGTCTGTTCTACGCAAGATGAAAGATAAACTCGGTAAACCATAAAAACTTGTGATGAGTTTATCTTTAAGACTGGACTTGTGATTAGTGTAATTCGGACTATTAAGTCATGAAGGAAAAATCATGGGAATCAATTCTCTGTAAACAATTATAGTAAATAAGTTTGACATTTGATTATTTGTTAATAGATATTTGAAGTGCTGTTATCCCTTTATTATCAAATGACATATATGCTATATCTTTGTAATTCAATTTATTAACTGGAATAATGTGGTCATGAGTTGAAATTTAGTGTGAAATAAATAACAATGATCTGATAAATACGTGCTGTATAATGTGGTCATGGGTTGAGATTTAGCGTGAAATACATAAAAATGATCTGATATTTACGTGCTGTATAATGTGGTCATGGGTTGAGATTTAGTGTGAAATAAATAACAATGATCTGATAAATACGTGCTGTATAATGTGGTCATGAGTTGAGATTTAGCGTGAAATACATAAAAATGATCTGATATTTATGTGCTGTATATTGTGGTCATGGGTTGAGATTTAGCATAAAATACATAAAAATGATCTGATATTTACTGCTGTATATATAGAACTGGAATATGACTATTGATATTATTTGAGATTTATTTATTTTTATATTGAATTGTATTTAAAGTATTATTTTGGAATCTGTGATATTGTTTATTTCTTGTGATGACATCTTTATTGATCTATATTGACTGAATAAAATCTAAGTCATACAGACATTTTGTTTTTACAACCATTTTTTTGAGATATTACATTAAGTTTCTGCTATATCCCTACAATGCTAATGTCATCAACATTCAGAATCTAGTTAGAGAAGCTAAAGAGTGTTACTTATTCATATTTTACACAGGAAGTGTAGACTTGTAGTACTAACTACTACTTAGCCCAAATGCCTTAAAGTAAGGGGTAATTAACCTGTTTATGGTTTGTTATCTGAGATCATGAATCCTATGGAGTTCAATGGAAAAGAATTAACCGAACAAAAACCTAGGCAGGGTATTATGTGTAAGAAAAAATTATCCTGTGGCATTTGTTGTCTGATAATATTGTAAATTTTCAAAATAACTGTAAGGAAAAAAATACATGAAAAATTTTAATGAGATTGTTTTCACAGGGCATTAGTTGTCTGATAATATTGTAAATTTCCAAATAACCATAAGGAAAAAACATACATGTACATGAAAAATTTTAATGAAGTTGTTTTTGCAGGGCAAAAAATGAAATTTTATATATGTTTTTCAACTCAGGAAGGAAAACAGGACTGTAATAACCTTTTAAATCAATTTCAACATCCAAAGATAGCTACAATTAGTTGTTGTTTTGTGGTGTGAAAGGTTTTTAAGTTACTCCCCTTGCAATGGTTTTTAATGAAGGAGGTAAAAATAGTATTTTGTTTACAATATGGCGTCTTCCTAGCAATAATTTTTAGTAAATCAAGATTGCTTCTAATGAACTAACAGTTGCAGGTTTGAAGATCCATTGATCTGAGGTAAAAAATAAACTTTGTTGTAGTTAATTGAATTTCTTTACTCATTTCACCCAAAGTTGGAATACATTTTTAATATTAGATATTGCTGTTTTTTGGTCCACAATATTATAAAGTTTGATAATTCTACATGTACTTTAATAAGAAAATATATAAATTACATCCTTTTACTTATTTTCAGCTTGTTGTAAGATATGAAATATAAATGGATCTGCTAGAAATAGAGAAATTAGTAATGCAAGCAGCAATGAGAGGAGATGAAATTGTGAATTTAAGTCATCGAGGTATAACTATCATAACAGACAGTTTACGCAAACTTGTAAATACTAAAAAATTATCTTTAAATGACAATAAATTGTTGATGCCTCCAACAGAACTTAGTGCTATGACCAAATTAGAGGAACTTGTCTTAGACCATAATCAGTTGACTGTATTTCCACCTGGAGTTGGAAAATTGAAAAATTTAATGTATCTCAGTATATGTTACAATCCCCTAGGAATGCTTCCTTCAGACATTGGACAATTAACGTCACTTACACAATTGTGGTTAGTAGAATGTCAACTTATGAATATTCCACGTGAAATAGGGAATTTGCACAATTTAGAAAAATTGAGTTTAAGATGCAATAATTTGTCATCTTTTCCTAAAGAGTTTTATAAATTACAAAAACTACGTTGGCTGTGTTTTGCTGAGAACTACTTTCAAGAGTTGTCATCAGAACTTGCGAATCTGACATCATTAAGTTATGTGAATATGAATCATAATCGTTTTGAAGATATTCCTGAATGTTTTAGTGAGTTACCTAAATTAACTAGTTTAAATATGAAAGGTAACTATATACAGACTGTTAGTGATGATATGTTATTAAGTTTATCAAACTTAACCAAGTTTGATTTAAGAGACAATCAAATAGTCACCAAACCTACACATTGGAAGGTAAGATATTCAGTCATTTATAGTGAAGGATATCATTGTGTCCTTATTCATATTAGATTTAATTTACACGATGGTTTCGTCACTGTCGCAATAGACAAGTGCTACCTATGTTGGTTTCAGTACATCATTATTATATTAATTATATTTATGGAGTAAGATTTGAGAAGATATTGAGTATATTGAATATCATTTCATATTTGTAACCAATATGTAATATTTGAGTGTTAAGTTGTATCATGAACTTTCAGGGTTTAGAGTACATACTAATAGGTGAAACAGGGTCTGATATTATATCAGCCGACTCCGATTCAGAAGGTAGATTTAAGGTAATGAATGATACAAGTACAGATAATGAAAGTAATAATTTAGATGAGGAAAGTGAAGAATGCTGTGAAGAATGCTCTGAAGAAGAAAATACATTCCAGAAAGAAGACTAAATATACTAAAAAAAAGTATCTTTCACCCATGGAATTCAAAGTCAGCATTATATTATTATGTGTTCTGATACAAGTTATGTTATTGTTTTTCTACAGAAAAAGATTGATTTTGGTTATTCTTTTGTTCTGTGTTTAGGCTCACCAATAAAGATGATACATATTTTATAATGATTAAAGCTTTGGTTCTTAAGCATCTATTTATTAACACAGGTTCACTTTGTGCTGTAAAAAGAGGTTATAGAATTATGGAGTCCTTCAATTACTTAGTAAATGAATACTTACGATGATGCTCAAACAGTTATGCTGCATATACAGATAGCCCGGCCATTACAATGATAGGTTTTTTGCATTTGGCTTTCTGTATAAAAAATGATCATATCTTGTAAAAATTTCACATTTATTTACATTCAGATATATTTATGACAATTACTCTGGTTATCAAAACTTTGTTCAAAAATGATTGAAATAGTTAAATGAAATTTCAGTGATAGCTAAGTAACAATAACAAAGAATAGACAACATATGAATGAGTGAAATTAATGAGACTTATTGTATCACAGATGTGTCAGTGGAGTTCAGAGGTTTACATAGGTTTGTACATAAATTCTACATAAAATAGGCCAAAATCATTGAATAACCCGTATTTTTAAAATGAAAGAAGGGAATACCAGTCAACTCGTCTACGTCAACAAGGAGATACATTGTTGTGGTTGGCTAATACATGTTCTATAAATAGATCATTTATTCCCAGACATAAGAACCATGGATATAATTATAGGATGTCTGTCTCGTGAATGTAATCTTATGGCAGAAAACATGGCCTGTCTACCCCAGTCAAACTTCTTAAACTTTTATTCCCTCTGTCAAACAATATAACCTGAATTAAATACGATTTTCATAGAAATGTGATGTTTTACTTAAATATTGAAATAAGGTCACAATAAGTTTTAACGGTATTGTTTTGATTAATAAATATTTATAGAAAGTGCTCAACGTTGTAGCTTTAATTGCATCTTTAAGATTTGTGTGCCATACATAACAAAATATCATAAAGTGTACTACCATTATTGATAAAAAATCTGACTTAATCATCATGCATACAAATACAAGATCTAGAATCATGCTATAATTATATATAGTTCTAGAATCATTCTGTAACTATAGGCTACACTTCTGAATTATGTGGTAATTATGGACTACAGTAAAGTAAGTTCTAGGATCATGCTGTTATTACAGACAATTCTAGAATCATGCACCACAGTTCTAAAAATTATGCTGTAGTTATAAGCCACACTTGACTTCTAGAATCATGCGGTAATTATACATCAAACTTCTATAATCATGCTGTAATTATACAGCACACTTTAGAATCATGCTGTAATTTTAAACCACACTCAAGAATCATGATGTTATTATACACCACACTTCTAGAATCATGCTGTAATTAAAGAACACACTCAAGAATCATGATGTTATTATACATCACACTTCTAGAATCATGTAATTATAGACCACACTCAAGAATCATGATGTTATTATACAGCACACTTCTAGATTCATGTAATTATAGACCACACTCAAGAATCATGATGTTATTATACACCACACTTCTTGAATTATGCTGTAATAAAAGACCACATTCAAGAATCATGATGTTATTATACAGCACACTTCTAGATTCATGTAATTATAGACCACACTCAAGAATCATGATGTTATTATACACCAACTTCTAGAATCGTGCTATAATTATACACCACAGTTCTAGAATCATGCTATAATTATACACCACACTTCTAGGAATCATGCTATAATTTTTACACTACACTTATAAAATCATATCGTAATTGTTAACTACTATATAGACATTAGGCTTCAATGGTTATAATGAAGACAGTGATGAGAGCTTGTTTAACCAATAGGTTGAGTAGACTTGATTAACCATTTCTTAGCTTCATGCCTTCCTTGTTTTTCCATTTCTTCTCCTACAACTTGTTGACAGAATGAATGATAATCATTTATCCAATTAATCTGGAAAAAACAAACAAATAAACCTTATGTTACAGAGACAGGAAAAATATGTTCAAAACACTGCAAGTTTAGACTCCAAGGTTTGATTTGTGGTAACAGTACAGTCAAGTAACCTAATTTCGTGCTAACCTATTTTTCGTGGATTTCCGGAAATGATTAATTATTTATATGTGCGACCTCGTGCGACCTCTGCATTTGCTTGTTTTGATAAACATGGGTTTTCTGTACAATATCAGCTTGTAGAATGAATTCAGTAGTTTCAAGCATAGTAAAATGTATTAAAGTATACTTTGACAAATACAAAATGGCGGATTTCAGATATTACCAAACGTCACCATTTTTTATCGGCCGAATTTCCTTATAATCCCAAGCGGTAATCGGAATTCCAAGTGTCGTCTGCTGTTGTTGTCCAACGAATTAAGTCACGTGATCAACTAGCAGATTCCGTGCATACATGTGTACAGGTCGGGAAAAAAATCTGGAGATTTGCCTTGAAAAATCTGGAGATTGGGTGAAAAGTCGGGAGATTTTTCCAAAGCGCGTAAATTCGTGATTTGAAACTCCAACTTGATCGTTTTTTTCATTTTTTTTTCAAATAAGCTTTAAGCCTTGTAAATTAATTAAATTGATCATAGGCCTACATGACACAGTTAAAATTAACAATCTATAATTATGGATAATTCTAGAAATAGTGCCTTATATTTCAAATTTAGGGGCCCAAAAAAAAATTTGATTTTATCATTCTTCAGTAGGCCCTATTGATTGAATCAAAATAATGTCAAGGTGAAATGATGTTTGAAAACAAGAAAGCAAGCATGATCCCAGCCCTCTAAATTAAATGGTACCGGTAGGCCTACATGTAATACCATATTAAAAATCAGTATGTTCTGAAAGCAATATTTATTAAATAATATGAACTGGCAATGTTACTTTTTCCAAAGGTGTAGTTCATGACATCTTAAATATCTCCAGTCCGATCATTAAATACTTCTCCTGCAACACTCTCACGAAGTATTGAATTGAATTTTCCGCTTCCATTTTGACGTTCTTCAGAATGGAAAGTAAGCCCGTTATGCAGGCAATCAAATGGATGTTTACAGGCTACAGTAAAATTACAAAACGATTTTATGAAACGAAGTTTGAGTTTACATTAGAATTAGACATCCAGTCGCATATGATAATCTACCGATAATGAAAAATAATTCTGAAACGACGTCTATGTTATATAGGCCTATTATAGTCCTGGCAGATTGGCACTGACGGTATAAAATACTGAGAAGACTTCAAGATTTCGTTTTTTAGTAAAAGTAGGGCTACCGTAAAATTTATTATAAAAGCGAAAGTAGAATTTACCGGATGTTGTTATAAAAAGTGTGTCACGTGGGCTTAAAATACACATTATTGGGTGAAAATAGATCAAATTACCATCTTAATTGGGGGATTAATTAATCAGGCAATGATAATATTATTACGTGATGAGATTAACGCGTGTTACTGGCAATTAAGATACAAGTGATGATAGATATTTTGTTGATTTATGGTAGAGAATTTGAACGTTGAAAACGGTAGGTCCCGTGAAAATTTGATCAGGAAAAAAAACAAAAATCGGTAGAATCGGGTATCCCGCCGGTAGAGCGGTAGACAACATGCAAAAGCGGTAGAAACCCGACAACATCGGTAGATTACACATGTATGATTCCGTGTCGGCAGAAAATTTCTATCGAACACAAAGTGGACCATACGCTTATATTGTTTCAGTGACTTTTAGCAATAAATCACGCTACATGTCTTATTTTGTCCGTCCGTTCTTTGAAGGAATTGTCGATAGTTATAATGAATTGATATTAAAGATAAATACTAAGAGAAGTTAATTATACCACTAGGTATGCATACAACGTGTTTTTCTGACTTATTTAGAGATAACATCTTTTGAACCAACTGCAAAATCAAAGCATATCACATTCTGAATTTTACATCTTATGTCTGGGTTTTAGTTTTATCTTGATTATGACATTAAAGCCACAAATGCAAAAATGGCCAGAATTCAAATTGTTAACATTCCTGTCAGAAATTTACAACATAATAAGTCAAACTTTAATATTTATTAGATATGAAAAAACAAGATACACCTACTTCTTTTTCTGTCAATAACTTGGGATCAATTAAAGATGTTTGTAAGGGAACTGGTGTTATGGTTTCAAATGTTAAAAATCCTTTATTCTTAAAATCATACTGAAACAAAATAACAACAAATATGAAAACAAATCCTTTTTCAGTAATCAGAAGAAATCAGTTTTAAAATGTCAGTAAGAGCCTTTACCTTAGTCTCAGCTTTTTGAACTAGAATTAAACTCTCTATTCTTACTCCAAAATCTCCATCTTCATAATATCCTGGCTCTACAATGAAAAGTGTGTTGTGGTCACAGACAATTGTTTAAATTTTCTTCAAAAAAAAATTACAAAAAATATAAGCTTAGCATAAAATAACACATACATTGACTCAGCAAATGGGATCACTTACAAAACTAAGGCAAATGGGAAAACCAATTTGCACAGTCGGGTAATGTGTTCTCGAAGGATAAAAATGTCACACATGGCTGGTGACACCAACCCAATATCATTATATAACATATTTTTTGCAGATGAAATTTGGTAATTGAATAAAATAACAATTTAAAATGTTAGTCTTAAAATGGACATAATGTCAACCTACCATTAGACAATACCATTCCTTCTTGTAAAGCTACGTCTGCTAATGATACTTTAGAACTAATACCACAAGGACCTATGAAATATAAATAGAATACAGTCAAACTTGAGGAGGCTGCTTAGTTGAAGTGTGATGCTGAAGAATATGAAACAATATAACAATAACAATTATTTCTGTTAATTTGTGACTTCATATTGTTATCAAAATCTCCACAAATATTATTCAGTTTATTCCATTTAGTTTACAGAACTGTTAGGGTAGGCAGATATTCTTGGTAAACCAATTGCATTTAAATTGGCTGCACAGTAACAAGAGCTGTCTTCAGAGTATGGTTCAGTAAATAGAGAAGAGAATATAAAAAAATATACACCTTCATGTACATTAAGAAAATGGCCTACACCATGCCCAGTACCATGTAAATAATCTAAACCAACATTCCATAATGATGTTCTAGCAAGGGTATCTAACATATGGCCTGCAAAAGTTGTAACATTTTTTTAAACAAACTTATTCTGAATAAGAAATTTATTCTCAAATCTTCATGACGCAAAGCTTCCTTTACTGACCATTGGCTACTGCATATTGTCATGATAAATTAATTTTTGATTATAAATAAGAATTACTTTCTAGGATGTCACCATAAAACTCATTTCAATACAAAGATAAATAAGTATTGTACCTTTTACTCCATTAGGAAATATGACTGTTGCTAAGTTAATATGACCTTTCAATACTCTAGTAAAACATTCCTAAAAATATAGATCAAAATATATCCAGGAACTGACAGTTACTATCAATATACTTAATAGATAATATATTTTCCAAAATTTAAGTTTTGTCATATGATATAAGGAAACGAAAAGGGTACAGTTGATATGCTACGTATGATAGTTATAAAAATTCTGCTTTTTACAGAACTGAAAATGTACAATAAAGAATTTAAGTTTATCAAAAATAAATCGAATTACAAAAAAATAAATTTGTACGCAATAAGAAATTGAGTTACTTTGAAAGAAATATTTAGAATGAAAATTTTACCTTTTGATACTGAGTAGGTATACCTAAATGAAGTGTTCTAGTTGTATCTGTTGTTCCATCTCTAGAAATTTATTAACAGGTTAGTTATAGTATGATTAAATGAAATGTATGATTCACTCTGGATTTTTTTGAGAAAGTCAAGTTTATGTCTTGAATCAATGGTCGAAATGATAAAAGAAGATAATTTACCTATATTGGGCACCTGAATCACACAGATAGATCTGATCTGTAGTTATTGCTTTATCAGATTCAGGGGACGGTCTGAAATAAAAGACGATTATAGCAAAAATTTTCATAAATATACATGCATACATCTGCACATGGCAAAGGCAAGTAGTATCCAATTTTACTGATAGGTAGATCACTACAAGTTTTAAATGCTTGAATCTTTTGTTATCTACATTGCACATTATCTACACAATTCTTCTGATTACAATCCTGTCTCTTAAATTTAGTGATTAAAAATGCCACTCACTTATAATGTATGACAGCACCATTGGATCCAGAACTTGAAATAGTATCAAAACTTAAACTAACAAATTCTGCTTGTTCCCTGCAAAACATTGACAAATTTATTCATTTAACATCTATGTATTAATTACCTTTAAATATTTTCATGAAAATGATATTGGTCTCTGGGTTTATTCTGATAAATTTTATCAATGCTGAAACTAGCAGAAATGTTAGATAGAATACCTTCTGAACTGCTCTAGTTTATCAGCAGCTTTTATTTCTGTTAAATTACCAGATTTAACCTGTAAATAAACCATTTCTGGATGTAATTTATATAACATGAATATTACCCTGGTATCATGGGGAATAAATGAGAGAGTTTGGGATAATAATAAAACAGGACAAGCACATACAGCCTGATATGAGGAAACTTAGACTGATAAAAAGACTATCTATTTAGTCTACATATAAATATAAATATACTGTTTTAATAAGCAGAATTGACTTAATGTCTCAGTATCAAGATAGTTATTATTATCCATAAAACATCTATCTTGCCACTATTATTGGCCTGTCATTTACTTAATTACATGTACAAATAACCTTAAGTTGGATTTTCATTTTGAAAAGTCACAGAGGCAGCTTGAATCGAATCTATTCAGTCAAATGAATTGTACACTTTAAATAGGGAATATTTGTGGATGAAAAAAAAGAAAGCTGTCTTTGGAAAGAATATGCCAAAATTATGATCAGTAGTCAGGTAAGTTGAGTCAAAAGGTGATCATGATAAATTCCTATAAAAGAAAAGACTTACTTCCTTTTCTAACCATCTAAAATATTCACATAGGGCTACAGCATCTCGTATCTATATACAGAAAATATCTATATAATTACATACATACACTCTCTAAGCTTATATACTTTCCTTTTTAAAATTCAACATCAATTTATATTGATTTACAATTAAGATACCACCTTACAACCTTTAATACAAGGTATCTTACATACCTATCTAGCTCCAACACAAAGACTGTAAATGTATGAATGCCTACACCTATAACAGTTTTTACTGTTAAAATAAATTTTAGTATATATCCCTCATTTACAATAATAAAATATTTTCACTTTTAAGATGATGTATTTCTATCTATCATTTTATGTTGAGTTGAGACAAGTTTTTAAACAATAATGTAAACTATCATTATCATAGAAAATAAATTACCTGAGCATTTTTCATTCCTTTAATTTCAGTTTTATTTTTAACAGATTTTAATAGAGCAACTGGGGACGGTTCCACAAGTCTTTTTGACTGAAATCAAAATGTTATTCATTGGAAAAAGTTCTGAAATCAGGGACTGCAATAGTACAATTCTTGTACTATGTCAAACCAAATATATCGATTTCACACCAATAAATTTTATCCATACCATGTCTGGACTATTTACAGCACAATTTACGAAACTAATGAGTTGAAGCAAACCAATTGTAAATTTTTGAGAGTTCTCCGTATGGATGAAAATCTTCTGATGTGCATACCTAACCTGTAAGTAGTTTTCCATCAGCCTACAAAATTTCAAATATTATAGTTGATTGCTGGGTATGTCAAATAAAAGTAATAATTATGTTGAAACATCAAATTCAAAGTGTAAAACTGAAATGAGTAAATCTAACCTTAGGTATTGCACTGTGTAAGGCATAACTAGATTTATCGCTGATCTGTAATGTATAATCAAAATTATCAACATATTAATATATAGCCAATCACATGCCAACTACACACAAAATTATTCAATGTTATCATGGGCATCCAAAATATTTTCCTTTGCATTTTAGCAAACAAAATGATACAATTCAAAATTCATAGAAATCATCCAAAATATTAAAATTTCAGATTAATTAACCAGAAATCAATTTACTTGCAGCCTTTATCAAGAACCAAATCCACAGATCTTACCCAGATTTTTTTCTCGGCACTTTGATGAAGTTTAGCAAGAAAATCTTTAATACTGTTATAGTCATGTTTAATAACTAGGGCGCCATTGCTGGTATCAGATAACTCTAAATGTTCTGACACACCATTTTCTAATTTACTATCATCAATAAACAAACTGGAATAAAAAACACGTTGACAAATGATACGCAATAACAGAACTATAGCACATTGAATCCTTACATGATTCAATTGATTGGTCACAGCATAGCACAGCATTCTAATCTAGTTCTAGTCGGTGTGTACAAGTCAAGGTGACCGTAAATCTTGTCTTGACATTATCCAGTTGTTCCAGCTGTAAATGGGTATGGATATGTTATTCAAGATCAATACCAAGAGGTTTGGCCAAGAACCAGCTGGTAGACAGAATCCTTCTGAAGTTATTATCCTTGCAAAAAATTATTGTCTTTTTAAAATAGAATCCGTAACTTACTGTACTTTATCAGTAGTAACTACTGTATAGGCAAAAAATACAGGATTATAGACAATATCAGATCCTCTTAAATTAAATAACCCTGAAAAACATATTATTACAAGAACTACATTTTACTGTTAAGGTGGTTGTCAATGTGCAACTTGAAAAGCAAGACAGTGGTATAACCTCATAAAGAACATAAGCTTTTATAACAAATATAAAAATTGTTTTAAAAACATAAAAATGCTTTAAATATGATATATTTCATTTGATTGTGGCTGTTAATGTTAGCAATTAGGCAGTATCTTCCAAAGAGTCACCAATATACAAATTCTTTGTTGTAACATTTTAATTCTAATTACTCAGCAGTTAAACAAAATACTTACAAGCTATTTCATCAAGAGCTGTTAAAACAAACGCTACTGATTTTTTTTCTGTTAATTTGCTTTGAATTTTTTTCACTTTTTCTTGCCAACTTAACCCTGTAATGAAGTATGTCAGCAATATAATAATACTAATTATAACTAAATAGAGAAATTTTCTTGTTTATTGCAGGGCGTTCGGAAGCGAACGCCCTGCTTTGTTTTCGTATTGATTTTTTTTTTTTTTTTTTTTTTTTTTTCCGTCCACGGCAGGCCGGTTTTCTCGGAAACGGCAACAGGTACGGGAAAACGGACTTCGTGGCGTTTCGTAACTCGTGGCTAATCCCAGCTTAAATGTAAAATGAAAATTTTCTGAGCAACATTACGCAATGTTGCAACAAACGGAAAATGGACTCTAGAGGGCGTGTTTATCAACCGATTTTGATCGGGTTTTCTGCATCGTATTTCTTGTAACAAAGGACAAATGATAGCAGTTGAAAATTTTCGATTTTCGAAAATTCGTTCATTACTTTTTTTTGCCGTAATTAATCAGAAAATACTATTTCGGTTGTAGTTTGGTGGATTGACTTGAAACTCACATAGTGTAGACTGCCAGCATAGTGGAATAAAAGCACACATTCAAAATTTTTTTATCACTTCCGGTTTCGATGTTAGTACTTCCGGTGGTATCACTTCCGGTGAAATTGAGTTATGTCCAAAATAATTTATGCATTATATTACTAGCCTTAATACAAACTTATTTAACTAAAAAAAATCGCACCGGAAGTAACATGTAGGCCGCCATTTTGGTTTGCCTCATTTTCCAGAAATTGCTATTCAGAGGCCATTTATCATCTGATTTGCATAACTCTTGTGTCATACGATACGTTTAATGTCTGTCTACAAAAAATGGGAAGCATAATTTTGATTTTCGGTTTTGCCTTTTTTGTACGACCTGATGTTGTTTTTCAAAGATTGAAGGCTTATAACTCATGACCTTGACCTTTGATGACCTTTATATTGACTATGTCGATAAAGGCTGTCCTTGACCTTCTCATGACCTTTTGGGTCAAACAACAACTTCTGATTTTATAGGGGTCTAAATATGGTCAAAATGACATTTTTGCAGTGCTGTATCTCAAACCCTAATTGATTTAGCGCCATACCACTTTCAGATTATTAATGCACTTAATAAATGGTTACAATTCATGTGGCATTTGATGATGTCAGAGTCACATTAAAGGAAATGTTGCAATTTCCTTAAATCTTTAAATGGGTCTATCAAAGGAACTTGGCCTCGGATGACGTTGATATTTACATTAATGTTTACTATTGACTTCAGCTTTTACATGATGCTAATATTTTTTGTGTCCGACACGTGGTTTCGGTTTTATGGGTGTCACTGAAAGTTGATTCTGCATCTTTAAAGCGTCCTCACATGTGCCCTATTAGAGGTAGAGAAATAATTCTGTCGGATTCAAAATGCTGAGATCCTGCGCTTTCCAATGATATATAACATGCATGCCTTACATGCAAATTCAAAACCCCATTCACTTAACATGGGACTATTATTAGATAAATCGGCTAATTAGATTAACCTGGCTGTCAACCCCAATATTAATCAAAGTTTAAGTAGTTTTAAAGAGACCCTGCCTTCTATATTTCTTTAAAATGTTTTGTGTCCAGTTAAGGTATATAAATAAGCTCTAGGATGGATTGAACAGTGTTATACTGTAAGTTAAGCTTCCGGAAGCACATTAAAGGGATACCTCCACTTAATTTATCAACTTTCTTATTTCTTATCCGATTTTCATCAAACTTGGAATGTATGTGTATAATCAAATTCTAAATTTCATGGAACAATCGAATTTGCTAAGTGCGCATGCGCATTGCCAACTTTCTTATTTATTATCCAATTTTCATCAAACTTGGAATGTATGTGTATAATCCAATTCTAAATTTGATGGAAATATTAATTTTTGTTTTGCGCATGCGTATTACCAACTTTCTTATTTCTTGTCCGAATTTCATCAAAATTGGTATGTATGTATATAATCCAATTCTAAATTTGATGGAAATATTGAATTTTTACTGTGCGCATGCGCATTACCAACTTTCTTATTTTTTATCCGAATTTCACCAAACTTGGTATGTATGTGTACAATCCAATTCTAAATTTGATGGAAATATTGAATTTTTGTTGTGCGCATGCGCATTATAAACTTTCTTACTTCTTATCCGAATTTAATCAAACTTGCTATGTATGTGTATAATCCAATTATAAATTCAATGGAAATAACCAATTTTTGTTGTGTGCATGCGCATTACCAATTTTCTTATTTTTTATCCGGATTTCATGAAACTTGGTCTTTATTAATTGACAAACATTCTTTTATTCCTAGTCAATATACTTTAAACTCCAGGCACTTTTGGATATTTGAATTTAGAGATGCAGAAAAGTATTTACATCAATGTAATTGCAATAGACTATCTTTGTATGTACCTCAATGTCGTAACACGCCCAGCATCAGTACTGTTATTAGAACAGTTCTAGTATATTATTAGTTAGAAATTTAAAAGTTGGAATTCATATCCATTTTCTTCTTGTCACAAGTGACTTAGAGACTGGTTACAAAATAAATTACAGCCATTATAATCATCTTTTAGCCAATTTGGATTTTACTCAAAAATCATATGGAAATGTTTTTCTCTGACGATTTAAGGTGCGAGTCTGATATTTTTATTGCCAAATAGAGTCTTGTCCAGAGTTTCACCGACTGGCACGGGCACAAACTTTCCAGTAAGTCTATTTCCACTACGTCGATAATCACATGCGGGGCATGCAACTGATTGGATGATGACGGTCTGTCTTTCAGATGAAAAATCTATTGGAGACAATTATCAAACTTGTTTGATATTATAAATCCTGTCTGGAACGCGATAATCTTGACATGGAAGCATAGGCAAACACAAGATTTTACTCAAGACTCTAATTGGTGACAAAAATCTCCAAACAAGACCACTCGTGTGCAACTTAAGCAATTATGCAAATTTTTCTGTATAAGTGGATATTTCAACACAAATATGCATGCTATCAGTACTGAACAATAATTAAATGTTATACGAGGTATGTAGATTTAGGTTTCTTCTTGCCCTTAATAATAATAACAATTACCTGTATATGTGTCTGACAATATTATAAGATTATTGTTTGGTGGAGGAGGTTGTACATCATTCCATACAATATCAACTAAATTCTTATCAACAGCTATCAATGTATGACCATTAGTTTTCAATGACTTCTCTAATGGTTTCCACTTTTCTAGAATCATATAATAAGATTGTAATAACATAAACCAGTGTCTGTGAAAATCAAATGTCTAATTATAGAGTGGCACTTTAGATGATTTATAGGCTAAAAATTAACATAAGATTTGCTGTTATTGAGAACATGATAATGTGAGTTCTAGACACATGTATCATAATATTTTTCCCTTTATAAATTGTCATATTCCATAAACTTTTAAGCTTGAAAAACATCATGTATTTTTAAATAAATTCAGATTAGTTAAAACAGTTTGATGCATTAGATATTATCAAATTTAGCTTACCAAGAGATAACATGAAAGGATCTGCTCCAACACTACCCCCTACTGGTAATATCTGAAAATATAAAAAAATATGATTAGTTTTCAAATACACTGTCTATTTAAAATCAGTATCCTAATACATCATCTTTATAATATGATAGAGAAAAAAAGAGAATCTTACCTTTGTTAACCAGTCAGCTTGAGTTGGGGTTTCCTTTAAACCTGAATTATATATTACATTAAAAAATTTAATGTTTTACAAGTACAAGCCAAATTACAATTTACTATTCCATCGGAGTTCATTTAATTATGTATTTTTACTAGTATCTTTTAAGGTTGCAAAAGAAAATTTAAAACAAAATTTTGATTGATGATGTTTGAGTGAAACACAATTACAATGTTATGTTTGATGAAAAACAATATCTTCTATACCTGTGGTTCCCATCTGGGGTGTTTTCACCCCCTGGGTTGTGGGACTTAGGTATAAGGTGTGTGGCCAACTGGTGTAGGAGAAGAATTTGTTTTGAACTGAGAGAGAACCTAACATTATCACATGCTGGAAATGTGAATGAAACAATTTTTGGGGGTGTGAAAGGTCTAGGTGATTGCTCCAGGGGTGTGAAGGCTGAAAAAGGTTGGGTAACACTGTTCTTTAGCTACAGCTTTTTCTACAGACTTAATTCTAATAGACAGATAAGCACTCAAGGTAGAAATTAATATGTTATTTGTAACAAAGTTAAAAGTGTGGAGCTTATATCAAATGATCCTTCTTACTTTTGCTAAATTGCTGTATATCGCGAAAGAAAAATGGCATTAAAATGTGTTTCATTACAAAATAAAAGACAGAGGATTTAAAAATACTTACCATCTTTCATCAATGTCCAATTTGAATCCAGTTGTTTCTCAGCTTGCAAAAAATATCTACCATCAACCCATAATGCAGCTTGAGTTTCAGTAATAATGGCTGTACCTGTTACACAATTTAAATACTAATAAATCTAGATCTAATGATACCTTAGACAATTTAGCACTTTCCACGTGTCACCATCTAGAATTCCTAAAGACACCTCTTTTCTTCAACTCTTTTTCGGAGATAAGAGTTCACATATTTCACATAGTCTTCATTTGTGATCAGTTTTTTTCATTTATTTCCAAAGTGCCATAAAAGGTTAGAAAAATGTTACCTGCAGATCCTGTAAAGTTACTGATATAATCTCTTCTTTTATCGTGATCAGAAACATATTCACTCTGAAATTTACAAACTCTGACTATGAATGTTGTCAAGTCTGTTCCCTAATGTTCTTGACTAACACTAAACAATTCTTTAGGATATACAATTTGTACATGTGATGAAAAGGATGCCTAGGATATCTAGATCAAATTCAAATTCAATCATCTTCATTATATCATTAACAGCTTTTCTATAGATTCAGGTTTCATTACATCAGTATCCAGTTTAAACAGTAACACGTCAATACGGTAACAAATTTGAATGGTCAAAACAGTCTACTTTATATAGGATTGTTGCCAAACAATCATTTTTTGGGGAGCTTGTTTTGAATTTTTCTCGTGAAGGAATCCGAAAAGATGCACCCTAACATACTCTAATGCCCTAGTTCTCAACCTTTCATATTATTTGTGCCCCCTCTTCCCAACAATACACGATCAAGGAGTCTATATTCCAATTGAATTCCATAATATATCTGTTAGGCAATAAAATATTTTCTTTGAGGGAACCCCATGATGTGCTCCAAGGTATTCCCAGGGGGGTTTTAATACCCCAGGTTAGAAACAAGGGTAAATAGTCTATCTTACCTGGTGGGCATCTCCAGTGGGTATAATGTAGGCATGAATTGGTTCACAAACATACTTAGTATTTTTCATCAAGCTCCTTATCTTTGACAAAATAACAGCTGTGTTCTTGACACTCATTTTAAACTGTTCTCTTAGTATATGACAGAAATTGTTTAATACAATATATTATACTATCAATAACTATCAAATGGAGCAGTTTATCAGGACAGTTATCCTTAAAATAAAAGCTTGTCAAATCAAATAAAAAGAAAACAAAGAAAAAGTAAAATAGCCTAGCCTTATTGATTGTGGTCTGAAAAATTAGATCTATCAAGCATTAAACAAGTTTTAGATTCGATTTAAGCAAAAAACAACAACCAAAAAACGATGGTTGAATATCTTAAAACGACTGTATGACATGTATCACCCTCGGTAAGTTTGCAAGCAAGTTGTCAGTGGCTAGAGACAAATCTCGGGGAATTAGTTCCTATGCAAATATTTTCTAGCTTTTGGATCCAAGCTTTCAAGAAAATTATTGGATAGAGTTGTCCTTCCTTACGATTCTATATCCGTTTCCTGTTTACACCGGAAGCTTTCTTTTAAGAACTTCATCGTCCCAAAACGGTACGACATTTCTTCTTTGGCCAACTAAATCCACACCAATCGTCACTTTTTCAAGGAGAAAAATTAATCAAATTAAGGCTACTTATCATTAATTTTTCTGAGATCTTTTTACGACCTTGATGATGTCCAACGCAACGGATTGTACAACTTATGTTATCTTGGAAAATGTTGTTGCACACGAGTACGATCAGACCACAATTTCTATTAAAAAATACACTGCAGCCATAAGCAGTCCTTCGTTCAAAAACACCAAATAAGTAAAGAGAAGTCTCTCAAGAACAGATAAACAGCTTTGGTTACATTTGTGCCTGTTGTACCTTTGAAAGCCTTTGTTTTTCTATAAATTGACACTATTTTCACCACCTTGCTTATATTTTTATACGCTCATACGTATGGGCGCATATTGTGGTTGCCCCTGTCAGTCAGTCCGTCGGTCTGTCGGTCCGTCTGTTCACATTTGTCTGTTCACATTTACCTCGTGTTAGATTCTTTTGATCTTTTGTAGTCAATATCATTATGTAGATGTGCACTATTGAATTTGGTGATGATCCAGTGTTTTTCTTCAGAGATATCAGAGTTATTGCTTAAAACTCTGATATCGCGTTTTCACTAATATGCTTATCCCCACCCTAAAGACTACAATTCTCCAAGGATTCTTTTTATTGTTTGTATGTGTATCAATATCATTATGAAGAAGTGCACTATTGAATTTGGTGATTTTCTTGAAAAATATCGCATAAAACTCTATCGCTTATTTAACACTTTTTGGCTTGTGCTCACTCTACAGGCTACGATATAGAGTTTGTTTTACAGTTCATATTTAGCTCTTTATCAAGCTGCTGATGGGCGTATTCACTTGCGAGACTTGTCGCAAGTCTATGTTATTAATACTGAAAGAACTTCAAGGGCCTGTGATCAGACCACTGTGGCTTCTGAATGAATCTTTTTATATGTATATCACCGATGCCTTAGAGCAATAGTTTTAGAATCAAATTGTTGCATGCATGTAATGTGAGACATCATGCCATGATACATTTTTTACGTCGTGAGGTTGTAGAATGATACTTGACGATACCTTTCATTCCATTAAAAGTTGGGATATTTATTTAAGTTAATGAATGGAATCACAAATTTTGTTAGAAACTACTCATAAGACTGCCAACGTTAACCACTCCTATCAACTGCATTGCCACATATCACAGTTGGACTAGAAAGTTGTGAATTAATAAAAAAAAAAAAGGAACCCTTGAAGATATAATATTCATGATTGTCCCATTACTTCAATCCTCGTATCGTGACCATTCTTGACATGATTGGCGAAACCCAGCTCTACTATGTTTACAGAATTGTATTTGCAAATCATTTCTATGTGAATGGATACGTCAACTCCTGAAGTACCATAACTGAGACTCCAGAGACAAATTGTTTTTGGTAGTTTGGGTTGATTGAATAAGTGAAATGACAGAAAACAATTACATTCAGAATGAAAATGTTTGACGAAGTTTGCAGTCAACTGGTTACATTCAACTGGTCAATTACCATTGGCTGTCTTTTATAAACAATAAAATTCTTGGATATGAATATGCTTACCGATCAAATTATTTTTGTTGACAAGTTAACTTGATAAATTTTGTCAATATGCACTGCACACAAGGAAAACATCAAGCAAAAAATATATTCCTGTAAGCAGTTGAAGACAACATTCTTTTCTTGTGAAGGGCTCTATTTAATATACAATATCTCTTTACTTTTTGAGACACTTGATTTTATTTTCTTTCAATTTAAGACCTGAACAATGAAGTTTAATAAATTGGTATCAGCTTCCAGGAGGAAGAACAGAAAGAGGCATTTCACAGCTCCTTCAAATATCAGAAGGAAAATTATGAGTGCCCCTGTATCTAAAGAATTAAGAACTAAACATAATGTTAGAAGTGTACCAATTCGAAAAGATGATGAAGTACAGGTATTGATGTCTATATATTTGGCCAAGAATATTCTTCCAGGGGCTAGTCAGACTACTACCTGGCTATGATAGTAATCGCAATTTTTCTGTTAGCTTATTACCTACTTGATAACTTTGACAACTTTGACAGTGCATTCAACTTTCTCCATATGTATCCGTTTGGTAAAATTAGCTCTGAAAGTCCAATACTTACCCATCTTCACAACGGTCTTCATCTTATTTCTAGACTGTAATAGCCCACTTTCTTGTTCGCTGTCAATGATTTGATTGGATTGTAAGCTAGAATAATTTTATTTTTTACACTCGGTCCGATTGGCTGTATTCACTTGCGTAGGATCTAATCAAGTTGATGCATTCACAAACTTCTGTGAAATAAGAAAGTGGACCATTTCAGTCAAGGTTTAAGATGACATAACACCTTACCATTGTGAAGATGAGTCTAATCTTGCAATGAAAGTTTTACACATTGTCTTCACCATCCTAGCAGGACTTTCAGCCAGGGTTACTATCTTAAATTTTTTTCTAATGTCCCATTTCTTCAGGTTTAGAACTGTTGGAATTATGAATTAGGTTCAAATTCGAGGATGTTGAAAAATATTTTATGTGTTATTGATTAATTAGATCTGATACTAGGTAAGTCATTGATAAAGTTTATTTTCTAGGTTGTTAGAGGCCATTACAAAGGGCAACAAGTTGGTAAAGTTACACAAGTTTACAGAAAGAAGTATGTTATCTATGTTGAAAGAATTCAACGTGAGAAAGCTAATGGAGCTACAGTTCATGTTGGTATTCATCCATCAAAAGTAAGTTGTAAGCTAATCATAGCTCATTGGAGTTTTCACCTTTTTATACGCCCATACAGAACATTCATTTACTGATAACTCTTGTCAACCTCCTGGACAAATTAGCTGCCATTACAAATGTGAGCATGTTACGATGACATCGCTATTTTTTATCTCATAACACTAATAATGCATCCAGACGACTAAAGTTAAGGCAGCTTAACTTCAAACCGTTCTTCGAGCCCATTTTTTTAGTCGTCTGAACGCGATAGGTTGAAATTAAGCTGCCTTAACTTGCACCTACTTTGGAGGTGGCTCGAAACTTGTCTTGGAATGTTAAGGCAGCTTAGCTTGTCCCTCTGAATGCAACTGGCTAACAACAAGGCGGATATTTGCGCGTGCGCATTACTCTTAACAATTTTCCGCCATTGTCGTTTATACATAATGCGCATGCGTAACGGCATTATGACCTCTGAACTTTCCGATGAAATCCAGGTCAATATCCAAGCTGGCTTAACCGTCTGAACGCCCACAAAAAAAATATAAACCAGTCTCGAAGAACGGTTTGAAGTTGAGCTGCCTCAACTTTTTGAACGCAATATAAGAGGCTAGATTCTTTTGACAAATCTTTTCGGTGATTGGTACTGTACAGTCAAATATTTTTATTTATTTTTATTTTATTTTTATATCAAAGCTACCTTTGGGCATATATTACCCTACGTGGCAAGCTATTTTTTAAGAAGCATGATGATAAAGTTTCGATTTGAATGCTTCTCACTAGTAAAGGGCATTGTTGAAATGAAAATGGACATATTGTTGTCACTTCATTGTCAAACCGTCTTTAGTTGAAATTTTGCACAATATTTTGGTAATATCTTGAGTATGAAATAAGGCGATTTGTGTTTTAAACGATTCATATTTATTTTCAGGTTGTTGTTGTAAAATTGAAAATGGATAAAGATAGGAAGAAGATTCTAGAACGTAAAGCTGCTTCCCGTAAAGGTTTGGCTGATAAAGGAAAACACACTGAAGAATCTATTATGGAAACCTCTTAAATTAAAAAAATTGTAAAGAAAAATTGTTTTTCATACTAGCTCCTGAAATGCCCTTATTGGATAGATTTTGTAATATATGTAACGGTTAATGTTTGGAAAGGGGATAGGTAGTACATTGACAACAGTTTTAAGGGAATATAAAAAGGTTGCAAACTAAGTCCTGAAAATTGGCAGAGTTGTCTGGGATGTGGATCAGTAAAATCAAGGATTCTTTGACCACTGTAATTCCTTTATTTCATGGAAGATGGCCGATATTTGGATAAGTCACCAAGACAACGGTTTATCCTCATTTCTTGTCCCTTTACACACACATGGGTGCACATTGAAAGATAGCTTGCCAGGCAAGGTAATATACGCCCCCTCGCAGCTTTGATTTTAAATTAAAATATTTGGCAGTACAGTAACAATTACCTGTATGAAATATTCAACCTTCAGACATACACTTTTGAACTTTTGAGGCGATACTGAATAATATTACCAAGTTTCATCAAAACCTGTGAAGAATTTGGCCTTCTAGAGTGTTTACAGAACCAGGACAATAATATTTTTCGGTTTCTGATTTTCAATAGAGTTCATTACATACGCCCACACTAAGTTTCATCAAAATCCATCAAGAATTGTGCCTTTCAGAGTGTTTATATGCTACAAATTCAACGCATTTTCAAGAACAAGGGCAATAACTCATACGAATTAATTTTCTGATTTTCAATAGGGCTCATCCTTAGGTGACAACAAACACTCGAACCAAATTTCGCAAAATCTGTCGATAATTGAACCTAGAGCATTTACGAGCTTAAAATTAATCGCGTGTCAAGAACAAGGGCAATAACTCGTACTAATTATTTTTCGATTATTCTGATTTTCAATAGAGTTCATCCTTGGGTGATTACTAATACTCATACCAAGTTCCATCTAAATCCTTCATTGAGCCGCGGTGGCTCAGTGAGTTAGACGCTTGCTCGCTAACCTGAAGGTCCAGGGTTCAATCCCGGAATAGGTCTAGATAATCCCTTCTGATTTTTCAACCCGGTTTCCCCCTGTCAGTGATGCAGGTAAGAGAGGCTGACATGGAAAAAGCGTCTAGTTGTTTGGATGAGACATAACCGAGGCCTCGTGTGCTACAGGCTGGGTATCCCTCGACAATTGGAAATCGAAGAAGAGCAGGCTTATGCCGCTGTCCTGGCAAAATTTCCCTCATCGCACCCTGCATGGTGTAATCCACATGGTGCAGAAAAGTAGGACGTAAAACTCGATTCATTTCATTTCTAAATCCTTCAAATTTGTGTCTTCTGGAGTGTTTACGAGTGTTTTAGGAAAAAGGGCAATAACTCATACTAAATATTTTTCGATTTTTCTGATTTTCAATAGGTTTCATCCTTGGGTAATTACAATTTTACCAAGTTTCGTTGAAATTGGTCAAGAATTGTGCCTTGTAGAGTGTTTACGAGCAATTGTGGACGGATGGACATGGCTGACAATTTATGCCCCTTATTTCATGTGGGCGTAAAAAATAAGGATTAACTGGTTAAATTTGGTGTTTATTAACCTTTAACTGATATAATTTACACAAAATCAAAAGCCAAGTGGTTAAAAGCAGTCACTCTGAATCTACACCCAATCAAATCCTCAATCTTTCTGCTAATAAAACCCACTAATTCACATGTAATAAAAGGAAAATTATTCTCAAGGATGTGTGCCTTTTGAAACAGACTGTTCAGAAACAGAATTACCTTATATTCTGGGATATTCATTAAAACATTGAGTTGTACAGTTGGCCCACTATTTTTGCTTTGGCAGTATGAACTTCTTTTAATACCATTAGTTCACATGTATTAAAGTTATGTCTTGGTAACTTGCTTAAAAACACCAAATGAGGCATCTAGATCTGCATTTTAATCAGCTATTACATTACAAGGTTGGCTTTAACAAAGAGTTTGTAATCAATTTGATATTACAAGCCTGTTTGTCTACAATGAAGCAGAAATTAACATAAACAATATGAAGAGAAATAACCTACACACTTTTAATAATAACACTGGAATGTAAACAGTAAAATGAGCTAAGATCGGCTATATAGAAGGGACAAAAAATGTGGTGAATTTTGAAGGCAATAGTCGCAATAAAGTTATATATGTGAATAAATAACTGATGTATGCAGGGGATAACTGAGCAGTTCTAGGCTCTAATGTCAACTAATCTTTTCTTCCCCTTACCCTACTTTTACTAGGATTTTCTCATTGAATTATAGGCTATCATATTTTCAATTCATTCATGCTTATTCAAATTTATTTTGAAATCTGAATTGTAGTGCCCTTGAATTCCTCAGTCTGCCCCTGGATGTGTGTAAAAAGTTCAGACTTAATTGATTATATAAAAAAAAGTCATAAGTAAAAAAAGGCACAAACATTGACATGAGATTCAACAAATTATAGACTGATCAAGTATATAAATATATTCAAAATTGATGTCCTGTTTGTTCACTAAAATTGAGATATGTACATGTAAATCCACAACAGGTCAAAAATGAGCCTCGGATTCAACAGAAAGCACATGTGCCTTTTAATTAGTTCTGTGTGCTACTGTAGTTAATAATATCAATAGATAACTTACAATAAACACAGTCTAATCCATACGAGGCAGAATCAATATTTAGAAAATTGCTTATTGAAACAACAATATAACATCACAATATCGTGGGTGACCGCTTGAAACCTTGTATAACGATATCTGACGCGGAATTACTTTTCGAGAAAAACGCAACAAACTATTTGTACGCGTATTTTGTTAAAATCTTTTTGATTATTTTTTTTACCGCTATACGTGGTTTTCATTCTTGGAAAATATAAACCTCGTATAACAATTCGAAATCACCAAAAACCAAAAACTCGTATAATAATACAGAATACGAGGTTTTTCATCTTCATACGCAGAAAAGGAACATTCAACCTCGTATAATAATATATTTAAAGAGGTTTTAAATCTGACTGTTTATATACGTGTTATTTAATTAGCGCTTTTTGAGTTATTTAGAATCAAGCTAAGAATACGAGGATTTGTTCATAAGATCCGTGCTTTTACGAGCTTTCGTACGGTATCAAAAAGTCAAAATGACCAAACACAGCATATACGAGGTTTCAAGCGGTCACCCACAATATGTTAAAGTATACAAATTGTGTTAATTAATGGAGGGTCATAAGATTCAAGTATCACAGTTGTATAATAACACTGAAAACCATACATAATGGTCATCAAATACCCACTCACTTCACTCCCTCCACCCACTTCTCTAAAAGTTTACTTAACATGATTTAACTATTACATTAACAATCAGACAATATAGATGATATGTCAAATAAATATTTGTGTCATGTCAAATTTTGTACTCCCATTCTTATCATAATATTATTCATGACACTTTCAATAGTCTTGAGAAACACACGTAATCGATAACTTACGACAATTTTACGTTCAGTCTTAAGTCATGCTAATTATTGAGAAAGGGGGCCCAGATACTTATAAATATACATAAAATTTTGGAATTAAACAATATTAACTATTTCAAAATACAAATTATTTACAGAACATCAATATCTCTATTGAGATGTTTATTTTTCTTAAAGAAATATTATCTCAATGGATAATTAAAACAAATTAAAACAATTATTCTAAATTGTCTCAGTTTACAAAAGAGAAGCAACAAATATGACTTTTAGCTATGTCCCTATCCTGTAAGGATCTCAAGCGATCCAAGATAAGATTTGTACACTAAAAGCTTAAACTGGCTTCTTGAGATTAAATTAACAAAAATTGCTTAAAATGAAAAATGATATTAAAAAAAACTATTAAATAGTCAAACAAATATATATACATCTCCTTCAATGATTAACTACAAACTTTACACACGACCAGTTTTTCTTTAAGAAAACTAATGGAAGCAGCATCTTAAGGTTTCTGCTTTGTCATTTCCTATAAGCTGAATTGTGTTGAAGCTTCAGAATAAATGGTTTTGTGTTGAAGATTTGTGATCACAACCTATAATCATGCTGTTTTATTCTTCATCAGAATTTCTTCCTCCAGTTACCATAACCAGATGACTCCCTACAATGTACCAAGAAAAAAATTGTCTCCAACTTTAAAACACACCTATTGTTACCAAAAAATGGGACACATTCCAAAATTATCCTCATTTGAAAGCTAAAATAACGACTTATCTTTTCTTAAGACTGCCATATAATAGAAGCTAGCTTGCGAGGCAATGTAACATACGCCCACTGGCAGCTGTCAGAATGGCTAAAACAGCCTTTAGTGACTAAAGTATGAATTTTCTCATATTGAAGAAATTTTATTAGTTTGAATTCAATTACATATATATATGCCAGTTATTTATGCTGAGTAATTCCACAAAATTTTTTAAAATCAATATCAATAACCCAAATACAACAAACAATTAAATCACACAGCTCTAATCAAGGGCAAAAAACAACTTTTGACGCATGTTTACAAAGTCAAGGGCAATAACTCAAAAAAAGTTCATCAAAAATATCTCAAGTTAGAACTTGTCCGAGATCTTATCAATTCCAATGATCACACCAAGTTTCATCAAAATCGGTTGAAAACTGTAGCTTCTATTGTGCTCACAAACAAATTTTGACACGTTTTACAAAGTCAAGGGCAAAAACTCCGAAAGCGTTCATTGAAAATACCTTAAGTTAGAACTTGTCCAAGATCTTATCAATTCCAATGATCATAAAAAGTTTGATCAAATTTGGTTGAAAACTGTAGCTTCTATAGTGCTCACCAACACATTTTGATGCGTTTTTACAAAGTCAAGGGCAATAACTCAAAAACCGTTCAGCGAAAATGCGTCAAGTTAAAACTTGTCCGAGATCTTATCAATTTCAATGATCACACCAAGTTTCATCAGAATCAGTTGAAAACTGTAGCTTCTATTGTGCTCACGAACAAACTTTGACACGTTTTAACAAAGTAAAGGGCAATAACCATTCATCGAAAATGCTTCAAGTTAGAACTTGTCCGAGATCTTATCAATTCCAATGATCACACTATGTTTCATCAGAATTGGTTGAAAACTGTAGCTTCAATCCTGCTCACGAACTATTTTTAACAAATTTCGACACGTTTTAACAAAGTCAAGGGCAATAACTCAAAAAACCATTCATCGAAAATGCGTGAAGTTAGAATTTGTCCAAGATCTTATCAATTCCAATGATCACACCAAGTTTCATCAGAATCGGTTGAAAACTGTAGCTTCAATCCTGCTCACAAACTATTTTTAACAAATTTTGACACGTTTTAACAAAGTCAAGGGCAATAACTCAAAAACCGTTCATCGAAAATGCGTCAAGTTATAACTTGTTCGAGACCTTATATGAATTCCAATGATTATGCCAAGTTTCATCAGAATCGGATGAAAACTGTAGCTTCAATCCTGCTCATGAACTATATTTAACAAATTTCGACGTGTTTTAACAAAGTCAAGGGCAATAACTCAAAAAACCGTTCATCTAAAATATGTCAAATTTGAACTTGACCGAGATCTTATCAATCTTAAGCATCACACCAAGTTTTATCAAAATCAGACAAAAACTGTAGTCTCTATATTGCTCACAAGAAATGTTGACGGACGGACCGACGGACAGGGACAACGACAATATACGACCACATATTCATGTGGGCGTATAAAAAGACATACAATAATAAAATAATTTCACTGTTGAATAGTGCTCATTACAGCAATTGCAAAGCTATATAGAAACACTAAACAGAACAAGAAAAAAACATGTTGTTACCCAGAGAATCATGCTATGCAATCTTCAGACAACAGAGCCATTTCCAGCCTGCATACCTACTAAACTTGGACAATTAAGAAAAGACACATGGAAAAGAAGATAGCTTGCCAGGCAAGTGACTTACTTAAGTACGAATTTCAATGATATATAAATATTATTATATATTTACTGCCCGTTATTTATGCTGAGTAATTCCGCAAAATTTTTTAAAATCAATATCAATAACCCAAATACAACAAATTATTAAATCACACAGCTCTAATAGGGCAAAAAATTGTTAATTGTGAACTTGACCAAGATCTCATCAATATAAATAAAAAGACTCCATTAATTTCATTTCATTCATCATAAAAATCAATAGAAATCTGTAGTTCAGTTCTATTGTGTTCAGGAATTAATTTTGAACCATTTTTTCCAAGTCAAGGGGTATAGCTCAAAAACCATTTATCGAAAAATCATTAAGTCCCAACTTGTCCAAGATCTCATCAATATAAATGATCACACCAAATTAATATATGCCAACTGGCAGCTTTGATTTTGAATACAAATATTTGGCAGTACAGTAACTATCACCAGCATGAAATATTCAACCTTCAGTCATACACTTCTTTTAAACTCAAGGGCGATACTGAATAATATTGAGTATGAGTTACTGCCCTTGTTCTTGAAAACATGTTAAATTTTTAGCTTGTGAAAACTCTAGAAGGCAAATAACTCATTCTAAAAATTTTCAATAGGGTTTATCCTTTGGTGATAACAAACACAAGTTTCGTCAAAGTCCTTCAAGAATCATGCCTTTTACAGTGTTTTCGAGCTAAAAATTGGATGCATTTTGATGAACAAGGGCAATAACTCATCTGAATATTGTTCAATTTTTCTGATTTTCAATAGGGTTCATCCTTGGGTGATCTCACATCAACTTTCGTCAAAATCCATCAAGAATTGTGCTTTTAGAGTGTTTACGAGCTAAAAATTGAATGCGTTTTCAAGAACAAGGACAATAACTCATACTAAATATTTTTCGATTCTTCTGATTTTCAATAGAGTTAATCCTTGGGTAATTACGAACACTCATACCAAGTTTCGTCAAAATCCGTCAAGAATTGTGTCTTTTTGAGTGTTTACGAGCAAATGTCGACGGACCGACGGACATATGTGAATGTAATATACTCCCCCCATTTCATGTGGGCGTATAAAAATGACTGTCAAAATAAAATAGTTGTGGTGTTTATTCTAACACGATTCTGTTCTAAGAGACCACCTCCATTAAGAGACTGTTTTCCATTATTCCTTTGAGAGGTCTCTTAATACAGTTTGTACTGTACATAAATTCTTGTTTCTATGAACCTCAAGACTTCTACAGCAAAGAATACAAACAAATTATGACAAACAAATGACAAACAAATTATGGTTCATAAATCTGTTCAAATATTTATAAACCATAGTTTATAAGGCAAGAGGCAATCATAGGACACATAAATTCAAAATAAATAACAAATACCTGAACCAAGATCAAGTTGATCATCATGATAATTTCTATCTCGAGCAAAGTCAGGATTTAAATCCAATGGTGGTTCATCATCATCATCATCTTCACCTAACATAGCATTATCTTCATCATTATGAATTCTTAACATACTATAACGCTTAGCTTGACGATAACTTCTACAAAAATAACAATTATTGGAGATGGTATTTAGATAATTAAAAAATAATGTACTATTAGGTTGTTATTACCATATAAATATTGAAAAAAAAACACATTTTCTTATTAAAGAGAATGATGTCCTGTTACAATGTAATCCTATATATAGATCTTTTCATATGAGTTATCATTTCTTTCTCAAACATTGAAATGCTTAGATCTTAACTTTGAGCACTGTCCATGTATTGCAATATTAAAAGAATGTATTTACAAGTGACATGAATTAAATTCTAACCTTCTATAGTATAGAAAAACCAAAGTAGTCAAGACAACAATAACAATCAATACTGGTACAGCTATATATACTGGACGTAAATTAGGTGAATTATTCGTATTAGTGGTTGGTGTTTCTATATCTACAAATACATATCATTAATTAAATGTTTAATATTCTACACTAATGGATTATAGGGCTTTCATCTTCTTAAAGAATGACTGAAATAAATGAAATGAATGGAGTTTTACATCCTACTTTTCTGCACCATGCAGGCTAATGCAGGTTGCAATGAGGGACATTTTGCCAGGACTGCGGCATTAACCTGTTCTTTTTATTTTTTTTTTTCAACTGTCAAGGGATCTTTAATGTGCACAGCCTGTAGCCTCGGTTTATTGTCCCATCTAGAATAGCAAAAAAACCTTTTAAAAACACCTTTCAAAGTATGCAACAAAGTTCATTCGTTTCCATGACCATTCGTAAATTTTGTGCCCAACTGAGATTGGCTGCCATATTGTTTACATTATGCCGCAGTGTGTGGCCTATGCCCTATGGCTCTAACAATCGAGGAGGGGAGGCAGGGTTTTACACAACATACTACTTACGATGGTAAACATCGTGCCTGAATATATTAGATCTACCTGTGCCTGATTTAGTGAAAAAAAAAATGTAGGCTAGACCGATGTGGCAATAGGCCGATGGCGATCATTCTGATTATGGCTGAGTAATGATTACGATATTATAGTTTTAATACAGCATTACGATTTCGAAGTTGAACACAGCCTTTTTCTATTATTGCGTTATTATTATTGTTAGATAATCGCGACTATAATTTAAACCAATAGAATCCATCTAAAGCAGTTGATTTCATGCCAAATATTATTATAGTATAGGGTCTCGTTGCTTTCAGTTGCAATACAGCTAGGCATAGTGCTCCATTTACTTCAGTTGGGCACAAATGACGTCACAAGGTCACATGATCGCCCAGCTCATTAATTTTCTACTCCTGCCAATGAAGGCTATTTTAAAAGTGTTTTTTTTTTACTCCAAGTTTTTTTTTAAAAATCATCGATTGAAATTAACAGAAGTATGAGTTTACTTGAAAAATTGAAAAATGTTTTTGATCACATTCAAAGATTTTTATTATTCCTCTTCACTCATCCTTTAAAATGTCACTAGTTATCATTTATAGAGATTTAGTCAAAAAGAAAATGGGGCCCTAATGCAAAATGTGATATACAGAAAAGACATATATGGGTATAGTAAAGTAAGTAAGTGAGTAAAATTCCTAGTTTGAAGGAGAATCATGCGATATTCAAACATTTCTAGTACTTCTGGAGACTATTTTCATATATTCAAGATTCAAATCAATCCTCTTAAATACCGCAACTGTCCCTTTAAATAAGAATCACAGAATCAGTTTTTGTCCATATGTATTTTAGTTTAGGGTGTGGAGGAAAGGGATCTAATTTCTAGCTCTATTCATAAAGTTTTAAAACAAGTATAAACATTTTCAAAGTTAATCCTTCAGAGTTATAGATTAAAAAAAAACAATTTTATGGATGGATAAGTTTATGTATTACTTTCAACGTTTCAATGTTGTTCTCACACATTATATTCCTGATGAAGGTGTGAGAATCACATTGAAACGTTGAAAGTAATAAATATTCTATAAGTATTCATCAATAAAATTGTATTATTTTTTTGGTGATTTCGTGTAATTAGCTATTATTTTTATAATAAATATATAAACATACCTGAAATTAGTGAGGCACTTTTAACTTGTATCTGATGGAATGAATTTTTAGAGCCATCTAAATTAACACTTAAATCTCCATTATTAACGATATCAATCAACTTCTTGGCCAACTAGAAATAAAACAAGCCATACTATTTAAACTAGATATCAATATCTGTGTAGCCAATATAAATAGCATGATACATAAAATCATTCTGAATTTCAAGATACCAATTAAGAAAGAAATGTCATACCACTCACAGTACTGACATATTATGTGATAAGATTTTTAATATTAGTTCAAATGTTCCATTCACAGAAAACTAATTACAATTCTATTATTTTATATAATTTTATATCTAAGTGTAACATCTTCTTCCTTAAAAATTTTTCACAGGCTAGACAACTTACAGATTTTCAACTTATTTCTTTCTTTTCAGGGTCCTGTTTCCCCCTTTCCCCTATAAATCCTTACTATTTCAAGATTTTCTCTTAGGTTTTCCCTGCAATCTTTATCAAATGGATTATCTTATTCATGTCAGAGAATATAGCCTGACAGAAGAGTATTAATCATAATTGTCCAAATTATTTATGCTAGACTACAAAGTGCCTTATTACCCTCCAAAAATTGTTACAGAATCAGCCCTGTCATTAGAATGGGGTCTGTGGGGGCTGGGCCCAAACAAGTGAGAATTAAGCCCCAGCCAAACCTTCTTCAGTTCTGCGGAGATTGATTCATTTACAAATTACAGTGTGTTTGTACAAAATCCATAGATCAATAGATTTTGATACCTTTTTTGGTACCTCGAAATTGTACAAAATCTGAGCCCCATCACCAATTCATTCCTGGCGACAGGATTGTTCAGTATAGACTTATCTTGATATCACCAATAAATTAGAATTAAAGAACTTACATCTTCATGTTTAACTTCCCCTGTATCACCTGGTACTAATATTATATCTACACTGAATGGTTCCAGTTTATTCTGATGAACATCCAGTCTACTGTCTTCAATTCCTAGGGCCTGTAAAATGGGCATCAAATGTGCCAAAAACAATTACCATGTTGTGAGGGAAAGTATTTCATAACAGTGGTGGCACACATTTTCAGAATCAATATAATTGAAAATGAGTCTTTATATTATGTCCTAAAACATGCATCAAGGTAACATGGCTTAATAATCCTTTGAAATTTTCTTAGAAATTGCAGACGGGGAACCATGGATTTTAATTAAGACACCAGTGTAAATAAAAAAATCTGTAACAAAACTTACATTCATGATCTCTCTTTTTAACAAATTCAAAAATAAGACTCTAGTTTGAAGATTGCTATTAAAGTTATATATATTAATTCTTGATAGAAAACCAAATCTCACTGTACTTGTCTTTTCTAAAGGATAAAATAACAATGGAATGGTAATATTAGAATAATAATCAAAGTAAGATTTTTCTCTGTTTAGCATGTTTTCATCCTCAGCCAGTTTCTGACAAAACACTAAAAATGAAAATGTTTTTTCATTTCATTGGTCCTAATCTCTGTCTGCCTGTGACAGTCTGGTCATTTTTTTGTCTCAATATTCTAGTCCACCTACCTATGAAAGGGTATAGAAAACATCATTTCCATTTTGTTTGTCTAAGAACTAGCTGGTAGAAATAACTTTGAGAATATAAGTTAATGTCCTTGTTAAATAAAGGTGTGTTTTCATGAACTTACCAAATACTTGAATAGTAAACTGTTTATATACTGAACTAACAGAATTCAATGTTTCTACACTACCATGATATAGACCGGATTTATTATATGTATGATGTATTGTTTTTAACCAGGACAGTTCAGGATTACTACCATTCTATATAAATAAAAATTCATTTAAATATCAGATATCAGTGTTTGACTACCATCCAAAAATATTATCTGAAAGTTATATTATTGCTTATTTTATTGTTTTATTATAAAATAGAATTATTACTCTACTTCACTTTTAGGTTGAATTAAAAAGACATTTACTTTGTCAAAATCTGTCATGAAATAGTCATGCCAATGGAATCAAAATTTAATATCTGAGATGCCATTTAAGATTTGAACTAATGTAATGTTACTTCAAAACTTTATACTTCTTGCTTCATCTACAGGGTCTTGGAATAATCATAAGACATAAAAACAGTAAAAACAATTAATAAATAAACATTAAAATATTCACCTCATCGCCCCATGTCCATACAAATAATGTATGATTAATATTCTTACTTAAAGGAAAGTAACTAAAACCAGTAAATACTTCTATCATGGTAGATTTCTGACTTTGTGTAAATTTGGGCACATCTAGCATCAATAATGTCACTTTCTCTAAAATTAAAAAATCAAAAGAAATAAGAGTTACCTTTTGATCCAATCACAAATGATAAAATTTCATTTAAACTAATTCAAATCCAAAGTCAAGCTTTGATTGTTGATTAATTGTAGAAGATGACTAGAGTAAATATTCATTAATTTACTGTACCAAACAATAGAAATGGTACATAATTGAACTAATAAACAATATATTTTTTATAATTTCATATAATTTGTAATTTATAAATAAATATTGTTTTACACAGCTGATATACTAGAATTATGAGAATTGATCTGAACATTTAGGCAGACTTTGTCGGAAAAGAAAATATACCATGGCATTTTTTATTACTGCTAACCGTCTTCAGATACTCTATAGATTTGGTTTTATTCTTATCAATTATTCATAATTATAACTTCTGTATAAAATTACCTTCAACTCTAATAAAGAGATGAGCTTCTGATTTTCCTTTATTATTACTAGCAATAAGTGATATGTTATATTTGCCATACTTTTTATAAGTATGTTTAATTTGAGTTGATTTCTCTAGCCCAGTAATAGTCTTTGTTTGATTATCACCAAAATTCCATGTATAGCTCGTGGATATTCTTGATCCCTAAAAGAAATTCAAAAATACTTTTTATCAAACATCACAAAAAAAACTTTTCAACCTCCAAATTCTGCTGTATTGTAATGAAACTATCACTTGAAAACAACAAAGGAAAATGAAATACTTTTCTTATCCTGATTTCACTGTTGTACTGCTGTACAGATTTGACATAGAATATATCAGATTGCTCTATGGAAATAAAGTATTCACATTCCCAAACTGGCTACTAGATGAAGAGTATTTACCCCAGCCTGTGTTAATTCAATAGTAATAGGTGTATTAGTTGAGATAACATTACTATCTGTATGTAAAGATAAACCATTAGGTGCTACGACAGAACAAACTTTAACAACTGGTTTATAAACATCAGATAATTCTATACCGCCTTTACATTTATCTGAAGCAACTTTACGATATCTACAAAAGTTAATAAAAAAGATTCATCTCAGTATTTCTTATTGTGCGCAAATAACATATATATAATACATAATTTTCACCTGCCCTTTGTATGACCCATATTCTCAATTAGCAAGATTAGCAAGCCCTTTTTTAAACTGTGTACTGTTTGCCTCCTGTACAAAAACAGGTAGCAGATTGCTAAGGTCAATAACCTTTGACCTTGTTAAGGGGAAGGTCTGGCAGTTGACGTTGGTCATCAAATATGAAAGTACAAATAGATTGCCAAGGTCAATGACCTTCGATCCTACAAAGGTCGAGGTCAACAAAGCTCAAGGTAAAAAATATGAAAATTCTAAAACCTTTTTTTTTTTAACTACAAACAGCCCCATTATTAGGGTGAGGTCTGCAGGGGTTGGACCCAAGCAAGTGAGAATTAAGCCCCAGCAAAAACCTTCTTCAGTTCAGCAGAGATTCATTCATTTACAGTATGTTTGTACAAAATCAAAAAGAAAAAAACTTGTGTAATATATTGTCAGAAAGAGCTTGGACAGCTATAAAACCAGAAGAAGAGGTTAAATATGAAAGTATCAACTGATAGTCAATGCCAATGAACTTTGACCCAGTAAAGGTCAAGCTCATCAAAGGTCTAAGTCACAAAATGTGAGCCTTCAAAAAAAATTCAAATGGAAATTGCAAAAAAGCAAAAGCGAAATTAAAAGATAGCTTGCGCACTGGCAGCTGTCAGAAATAATAAAACAGTCTTTAGTGACTAAAGTACGAATTTTCTCATATTGAAGAAATTATTTATGCTGAATAATTCCACAAAATTTTTTAAAATCAATATCAAACCCTCCCTTCCCCGAAACCAAATACAACAAGTCAAGGGCAATAACTCAAAAAATATTCATCAAAAATATCTCTTGTTAGAACTTGTCCGAGATCTTATCAATTCCAATGATCACACCAAGTTTCATCAGAATCGGTTGACAACTGTAAATTCTATTGTGCTCACAAACAAATTTTGACGCGTTTTTCGTAAGTTAATGGCATTAACTCAAAAACATTTCATCGAAAATGCGTCAAGTTAGAACTTGTCCGAGATCTTATCAATTCCAATGATCACACCAAGTTTCATCAGAATCGGATGAAAACTGTAGCTTCTATTGTGCTCACAAACAAATTTTGACGCGTTTTTACAAAGTCAAGGGCAATAACTCGAAAACCGTTAATCAAAAATGCATCAAGTGAACTTGTCCGAGATCTTATCAATTCCAATGATCACAACAAGTTTCATCAGAATCGGTTGAAAACTGTAGTGTAAATCCTGCTCACAAACTACTTCTAACAAATTTTGATGCGTTTTAACAAGGGCCATAACTCAAAAACTGTTCATTGAAAATGCGTCAAATTAAAACTTGTCCGAGATCTTATCAATTCCAATGATCACACCAAGTTTCATCAGAATCGGTTGAAAACTGTAGCTTCAATCCTGCTCAAAAACTATTTTTAACAAATTTTGACGGGTTTTTACATAGTCAAGGGCAATAACACCAAGTTTTATCAAAATCAGATAAAAACTGTAGTCTCTATAGTGCTCACAAGAAATGTTGACGGATGGACTGACGGCAGGACGGACCGACGGACTGGCGGACAGGGGTGACGACAATATACGACCACATATTCATGTGGGCGTATAAAAATCATCTTCCTAGTTTCTTATCTTTTTTTATGCTCTTTCATTTAACACCAAAATCATCTAAATCAGATCGGCCACAATGTCTGAATCAAAATCGCACAATTCAAGAAAATCGAAATGGGGCCAAAGCATCACTTCCTGAATGGATTTTATTTTAAAATCAGCTTTAGAATTACTATGGATACTAATCAGCATAATTTTGTTAACTTTTATCAATTGCACTGGAAGTTATTCAAGAGGAAGTTAAAATCTATTTCCGGTTTAAACCGCAAATGAAGGCAAAAATTTACTGCACCACTTTGTTTTCTTTAGTAATCGATCTTTGCACAAATACTTTATTGTTTTGGTCCAAAATTGCAAAATTTGGCCGGAAAAGGTTGTGACAAATTTTTGAATAATATTTTGCAACTGCTTTCATATCATATGAAAATCCTGACAAAATTTCATAAATGCACCTTTTAGAGCCAATTATTTACTTTTCGCACATTTTGAGACCATTTTTTGCCTTTGCAAACCAAAAAATAAGGTCTAAAAGTCTGTTGCAACTATTACAGTTAAAGCTATACTTACCCAACACTTTTATTATATTTCTTTCCTTCTGAACATTCCACAGAGGGTTCATTAGGATCAAACCATGATGATGGTTTACATTTACCATTTTCATGAGAACCTTCGTAACCAAAATCACTAAAATAAACACAACAATGAATAAACCTTTACCAATGTACAGTAATTACAGTCAGTTTACAGGGACAGTATGATGACTTAATACAAATAATCTTCTATTTGACAGGGCAGACAGTATAACTTACCATTCATAACCTTCTATTTGACAGGGCAGACAGTATGATAACTTACCATTCATAACCTTCTATTTGACAGGGACAGACAATATGATAACTTACCATTCTTAATCTTGTATTTGACATGGCCACTTAATATGATAAATTATCATTAATATCATTCGATTAAACACGGCAGACAGTATGATAACTAAGAATTTCTATTTGACAGGGTCAGATAGCACAATGACTTGCCTTTTCCTATTTGACAGGGCCAGAAAGCACAATGACTTACCTTTTTGACAGGGGCAGACAGTATGAATAGTTACCATTCATAATCTTCTATTTGACAGGGTCAAACAGTATGAATACTTACCATTTATAATCTTCTATTTGACAGGGGCAGATAGTATGAATACTTACCATTTATAATCTTCTATTTGACAGGGTCAGACAGTATGAATACTTACCATTCATAATCTTCTATTTGACAGGGTCAAACAGTATGAATACTTATCATTTATAATCTTCTATTTGACAGGGTCAAACAGTATGAATACTTACCATTTATAATCTTCTATTTGACAGGGGCAGATAGTATGAATACTTACTGTTCATAATCTTCTATTTCACAGGGGCAGACAGTATGAATACTTACCATCTATAATCTTCTATTTGACAGGGTCAGACAGTATGAATACTTATCATTCATACTCTTCTATTTGACAGGGTCAAACAGTATGAATACTTACTATTTATAATCTTGTTTTTGACAGGGGCAGACAGTATGAATACTTACCATTCATACTCTTCTATTTGACAGGGTCAAACAGTATGAATACTTACTATTTATAATCTTGTATTTGACAGGGGCAGACAGTATGAATACTTACCATTCATAATCTTCTATTTGACAGGGGCAGACAGTATGATTTAAGAGTGGTTTATAATCAACCCCAATGTGACACTTGCTTGACTGTTTACGTCTTTCAAACCGCAATGTCTGACCTAACGTACAATTCTTCTGTAAAAACAACAGATTTATCTGGATTAAGTTTCTATATATTACTGTTTTTGGCTATGCAGACTATTTTCCTACTGTTACTGTTTTGGTTTAAGAACAGTGGCTTGGAACCTTTCATAACCTTAGTTCAGGACTTTGTCATGTTATAAGATAGCTTGCCAGGCAAGGTAATATACGCCCACTGATAGCTTTGTTTGAAATTGAATATTTGTTAGAAAATAGCAAACATAGACACCAGGAAATATTCAACTTATACCCAAATCCATCACAAACTGTGCCATCACAAGTTAAAAATCAAACACATTTGTAAGAATAACGGCAATAACTTGTATTTTATATTTCAAAAGGTTTAGTTTTGATTGTGATCAATTTCATCAAGTTGTCAAATTTGTTATAGACTTCTGCTTTGTAGAATAAAAATTACGTGTTTTACAAGATTTTTGATCAGATTTATCCTTGGGTGATTTCAATAAGTCTGTCATGAATTGTGTATTTGCAGATTATATTCAAGCAAATTAGGTTGAAATATTTTTTTAAAAGTTTTATGTATCGAGTTTATGACAGGTGGGAGTTGCTAATATTTACCACCTTTTTTCTCCTGTTGAATTGATTCTTTTTACATCCTTACATTTTTTTTCTCGAAGATTTGATTAGTTTGCATGAAATGCAATGGATTTGTAAGTATACTTGATTGCAGCTGTCTTGGCTAATAAGGACAAGAAAAGAATTGAATTTTACTATTATGACAGTTTATCCATTAGCAATAATTCTATAAGTAATTACTGCTCAATGTGCCACAGGAATAAGAAAAAATGTGATAAATTAACAAAGTTTTAATTCAAATAATAAAATAAACTAAAATAAATACAAAGCACTGTGTAAAAACAACAGTTATAAAAATAATAATATGTACACTAACACAAATCTATGAAATATACTTATGATCATGCGACTACTTAGGACTGGGCACAAATAATCAATATATAATTTTGATTATCGAATTTTGTAAATGATTAAAAGTCAGTTAAATTTGTTTTTTTCAACATGATCTGCTACATGGTAATTGGACAAGTCACATCAGATTATATGTGATGATTATATATTTTAGAAATTCAATGAACCAGATATCAATAAATGACAAATTTATACAACCATATACATCAATAGACGGAAATCAGAAGATTTCTTCATTAAAATTTTTGATCAGTAGCCTGTTTTCAATAATCGATTTCAAAATAATTAACTTGGTATAATTCATACTACATATTTTTCGATTTCCCTGATTTTTCTATAGGGTTTATCCTTGGGTGAATACGGACACTCATACCAAGTTTCGTCAAAATCTGTCAAGAATTGTGCCTTCTAGAGTGTTTACGAGCTAAAAATTGAACGGTTTGCAAGAACAAGGGCAATAATTCATACTAAATATTTTTCCTATAGTAGCCTACTTATCCAGCAACTCAATTTAATCTTCCAAGAAACAAAACCTTTCCCCTATGACCCATGTTTAATTTCATTTTTGTATCAGCACAATTGGTGAAAATGAAATGATTAAGCAAACCTTTTCTCTTGAATGACATTTATAAAATGAAATCAGATTAACTGCTGCATCTTGGGATGTCACATGACTAGCTATGATTGGATATCTGTCTTGGATTTTCCACTTGGTCTATTTATAGTATCTTATGATGCTGTACATGTATGGTGGCTGGCTAGGGACATGTTAAATGATTAAATTAAATTTTCTTATTTGTTAACCAAAATAGTTTCTCAGGAAAATATTGACATCTATTGTAAATTGTGATTATGAACAAAAAAATTGTGACTTCTAGAGTCTGTCAAGAATTGTGCCTCCTTGAGTGATTACGAGCTAAAAATTGAACGCGTTTTCAAGAACAAGGGCAATAATTCATACTACATATTTTTCGATTTCCCTGATTTTTCTATAGGGTTTATCCTTGGGTGAATACGAACACTCATACCATGTTTCGTCAAAATCTGTCAAGAATTGTGCCTTCTAGAGTGTTTACGAGCTAAAAATTGAACGGTTTGCAAGAACAAGGGCAATAATTCATACTAAATATTTTTCGATTTCGCTGATTTTCAATAGGGTTTATCCTTGGGTGATTACAAACACTCATACCAAGTTTCGTCAAAATCTGTCAAGAATTGTGCCTTCTAGAGTGTTTACGAGCTAAAAATTAACAAGGGCAATAATTCATGCTAAATATTTTTCGATTTCGCTGATTTTCAATAGGGTTTATCCTTGGGTGATTACGAACACACATATTAAGTTTCGTTAAAATCCGTCAAGAATTGTGCCCTGTAGAGTGTTTACGAGCAATTGTGGACGGACAGACGGACCGACGGACATGGGTGACGACAATATACGCCCCCCATTTCATGTAGGCGTATAAAAATTGATGCTTTAGATGTGTAAATGATGAAGAAACATTATCACTGAGACTTATCAAAATCTGAACTTACCTGCGTATGATCACCTGGCATCCAAATTTCATAGTCTTCTTTTTTACATTTACTAGGTAGTACTTGCTCAAACTTAATAGTTGCTAAAGTCCATGCTGTGGTTCCTGATGTATGACCATAAATACTGAAGTCAGAATGTAATCAAATAAATGAACTTACATAGAAACAATCTTTCTTATCAAAAAGCAGGTTTGTCTGCCCCAATGGGATGCAAATTTATAGACAAATCAAGTGCTCCATAATATACAATGAAACTGGCCTAACTGACACATTATTAAGTGCTTCATAATATACAATTAAACTGGCCTTACAGACATTATAAAGTGCTCCATAATAAATAGTCTACATCACACTTATACTATATATATATGAATATACTTATACTATATATATATGAATATACTTAAACTATATATATATGAATATACTTATACTATATATATATGAATATACTAATACTATATATATATGAAAATACTTATACTATATATATATGAATACACTTATACTATATATATATGAATATACTTATACTATATATATATGAATATACTAATACTATATATATATGAATATACTAATACTATATATATATGAAAATACTTATACTATATATATATGAATACACTTATACCATATATAAACTAGTGTCCAAAAGAAACGATACCGACTTATTTTCAAAATTGTTTTTTACTAAGTGAATTGTCTAATATGAAAACATGCCAATTCGTATTGCACATCCCAAACACAGCATAGTCGATAAAAATACCGGGAACACGTGATTACTTCCGGGAAAAAACGTAAATTTCATGAAAGTGACATTTCCCTCTCTAGCATGTTCTGCACGTGCATAAAAATTGTATAAAACGGCTGATCAGACACGTTGATATCACAGCAACAAAAAGAACACAAGATATGCCACGTTTGACAGCCATCGAGAGAGAGAGAGCCGTTGGAATGGTCCAACAAGGAGCGACACACGTCGACGTCGCCAGAAGGTTGGGCTGCGCACGCATCACTATCACCAGGTTGATGCAGCGGTTACGTCAGACAGGTCATACGTCAGACAGGCCCAGGAGTGGAAGACCACGAGTAACCACGCCCCATGAAGATCGTTACATTCGGGTATTACACCTGAGGAAACGCACCGAAACAGCGACGTCCACGGCGGCTACAGCACTGGGACATAGGATCAGTCGACAGACCGTCTACAGGAGACTACGGCAGTATGGTATCCCGGCCGCAGTCATCCCTACCGCAGACCGCTCCTGACGCCTCGACACCGCAACAACAGACTGATCTGGGCTAGGCGAGTTCGACGTTGGCAACGGCGGGACTGGGCACGTGTTATGTTCTCTGATGAGAGCAGATTCCTCATCTTCAAAAACGATGGACGGCAGCATGTATACCGACGATTTGGTGAAAGTTTGGCGCCTAACTGTATCCAACAGGTCTGGCTGTTTGGAGGTGGAGGGTTAATGGTTTGGGGTGGCATATGTGGTGATGAAATTTTTGTACAGATGTTGTGAAAGGATTTCTCAAAAGCATAACACCAATCCTAAACTTCTGCATTGTTTAGTTTTTCTTTTATGTCGTTGCAAACAGGTGGTATCGTTTCTTTTGGACACAAGTTTATATGAATATACTTATACTATATATATATGAATATACTAATACTATATATATATGAAAATACTTATACTATATATATATGAATACACTTATACTATATATATATGAATACACTTATACCATATTGCACTAGAACTTAACCACTAAAAAATTCAGACTTTTGAAAGATGATTGGTTGACGAATCTTAACTAAAAATTTTCTTCTCCTGAGAGAATAATGTAATCAAATGAGTCTATACCTTAAAGATAAGGAGTTGATCTCTGGTTCATTCAATGCACCATCTACTTGTAGCACTTTGTCCGAAAACTTAAAATTTTGCCAATTATTTCCTTGATCATATGAGTAACTAGAAAGAAAAGAGATTAGCCATGTTAATTTGGATTAAAATGTTAAATGCAATGATGTTTATTTTAACATCTAGATTACACTTTCCAATTCTATATTTCCATTCTCATTCATGCATGTTCAAGAGGCTGACTTAGAAAAAAATCTAGTCATTAGGACCACCACATGTTATACAGGTGAAAGACTACAACAAAATCAAAATAAAAGAACAGCCAATCAACTTATGAGCCATATTTTCGAGAATGTATGTTAACTATGAAGAGACATTTGTTGAGATACCTTTACTTTAGTCTTTTATATAAAGAACATTTTTTTAAAAACTTACTAGATAATATTGGTGACACCATATGTAGCTTCTTTAACAGCTGTCAATATACTACCCTGATCTAAAATATTAAATCTATACATTCCACTTGGTAACCCAGCCTAAAACAAACAAATTTCAATATTTCTGCAAAGAAGATAGAAGCATCCATATTTCACAAAAACTTGAGGTTCTGTTAGTCATACTTCATGGTCTATCACATAACACAAGTATCCCTTTTCAGCTGTGCCGATTTGAATAATGAGGAAAAATGCCTTATATCATACCAGACTTTTACATTCATGTTGACAATACTAATGCCATTTACTAATGCTGTCTTAAATAATCATACACTCAGTCCACGCACATGGACATTAATCGACAGTCCTACTTACATTTTTCCAAGTAACACCACCATTTCGACTAACATAGACATAGGTATTGTTTGGATCTAACTTATCACCAACATTACCATGAGCTAATACTAATCCAGGAGCTTTCGATTCTGATAGTATACCTGGTGCTGCTAAACTACCTAAATCTAGATGAAGATGTAGGGAACAATCTGTAGCCTGTAGAATATCAATAGAATCCTATAGTAAATAGTGGATAATAAATATTTAAAAGATAGATAAAGATTAACATAAAATGATACTTAGGCCAAAAACCAAACTGTATGAAGGGCAAGAGAGAAAAAGTCCTTACAAGGGCCGAATTGGCATGGATTTTTTAAACTGAGTTCCCGCATGAGAAAAGTTGGTAGTGGTGCATTACCATTTCCTTACGATTACTACTTTATTACTAGTTTTTGATTATTATCCTTATATTCTTTTAAGCTGCAATTTCAGACTTTGGTATATAAAATAACAATAAGAACATATTCAGATAATAGTACTTACTTGTTTACATTTAGAAGTTTCCCCTACAGGTACAGGTATAACAGACCACATACCACCTTTATCAAACGATATCAATGTTTTTACTTCTATTCTAACTCGACTATTTTCTGTTATTGATCTTTGATTGGCTAGATAGATTCCTTTCAATGATTTTACCTAAAATGATATCAATATGTTACAAATTACAAAGAACTTACTCCATAGTTCTGAAGCAAATAGTTTACAGATAGTGTGTGGATGTAGAAAAGTTAGGGAAATCCATTGGACAAATTTGAATTGAAAGAACTAAAAAAATATTCCTTGTTTGTGCACATGACTAAAAAAAAAGGTCCAGATAATGCGACCACAATTCATATCATTATTAGCTAAACCAAGTTTGACTGCAATATAAAACTAATGTAATTTAATGTATTTTGTATTGATCATTGTAAACAATCATTGAGAGCCTCAAACCTCAGTCTTGGGATGAAGTTAAGAAACCTAAGATAAATATCATAGTGAGCCCACCTCATGGAAATCAATCCAAGGAATTCCTCGTACCACATAAAGTAAGTCTGTTAAAGTAGGTACATAGTATTGTCCTGTTGTATCAGACAAATACAATGTTACACCATCAGTATTAGTTACACCAACAAATACCTGATCTTCATCAGCATTCATTATCAAAAAATGCTACAAATACAATGAAGGAATTATAATTCCAAATATAAATTTATATAACATAGTAACCATAAAATTTAACAAGTGGTTGCCTAGCAAGATACGCCCACTTTCCTGATACATTTTCAGAATATCAATGGCGGTTACCAATCTGTGTCAAATCATACCAAAAATCTAATTTGTGCAAGATATTGTTGATTTAATCAAACACACAAAATTTGATAAAATTCTGACATAAAGCCAACAAATTTTTATGTGTTTTTACTAAGTGAAGGACAGTAACTCAAATTCTGTTGATCAAAAAATTGTCAAATTCAATCTTGACTAAGATCTCATCATTGTAAATGATCACACCAACTACACCCTAACACCAACTTTCATTTTTATCGGATGAAAACTGTAGTCTCTAATGAGTTCACAAACAAATTTTGACACATTATTCATAAGTCAAGGGCAATAAACCGTTCATCAAAGATCGTCAACTTCGAATTTGTCCAAGATCTCATAAATATAAATGATCACACAAAATTTAATCAAAATCAGATGAAACGATTGTCTCTATTGCCTTCACAAGCAATTGTGGGCGGATGGACCGACTGCCGGACAGGGGCAGACGACAATATAGAAAAAGATTATAATGTGCATTTCATAGCACAATGTCTATTAATAAGTATAATCCTATTGAATCAAACTTATCAATTTGTGTCAGACAAAACAAGATGAAGTACATGACTAAAATCATGTAAACTAATAAATTACCTTAGGCAATGTATTTGGTGGAAAATAAGCCTTTTTAAAATCATTTCTTTTATATGATACATACATTTCACTCTTCTCTTTTTTCAGTTTCTAAAGTAAGATATAATATGTATTAATATGTATTATTTCACACATACCAATATAAAAAAAAGATTTTTCATGCAATACAGTTTGACCTTGCATATTTTAGTCTTTAACAATATTCTTCATTATTTGGGTTCATTTCTTCTTTTTTAATTCCCTTGAATATTATCAATTAATTTGTATTACCTCTACAAATACATATTGATTGATAATGAGTAAGCTTATTGGTTGAAAACTTCCCAATTTTCTATCAGTGGTATCTGTAGCACTACATTTCTCCAGTGCACATTTCTTATAGTGGGCACTATCTGAAATAACATTATATAATCAAGATCTTTAATAAAAATAATAACATTCTAAGTAAAATTGATGTTGTCTGAGAAGTAACAATGATGTTGTCTGAGAAGTAACACTAATTTTTGTGATAAATCAGATACATAACAATGAGTCATTTTGAGTTAGTCAGTCTGAGATGTATCACAGTCATTCTGTGATGTAATACAAAGTCATTCTGTGATGTATGATTAGAGTAATTCTGTGATGTAATACAAAGTCATTCTGTCATGTATGATTAGAGTAATTCTGTGATGTATGATTAAAGTAATTCTGTGATGTAGGATTAGAGTAATTCTGTGATGTAATACCAAGTCATTCTGTGATGTATAATTAGAGTAATTCTGTGATGTGACACTAAGTCATTCTGGGATCTAACTCATTCTGTATCAGAGTCATTCTTTGATGTAACACAAAGTCATTCTGTGATGTAACACAAATTCATTCTGTAATGTGACAAAAGTCATTCTGATATGTATCAGATTAGTTCTGTGATGTAACACAAAGTCATTCTGATATGTATCAGATTAGTTCTGTGATGTAACACAAAGTCATTCTGAAATATATCAGAGTCATTCTGAGATGTAACACAAAGTCATTATGTGATGTAACACAGACACAGTCATGATCAGAACAATTTGTTAATATGAAATGTAACCAAAAGTGATTCTGTGAGGTAACTAGACATACATACCTCCACTGGAACTTAAGATTTCTAAATGAACTGTTGAATTATCAGTGTCTACACCAGGGATATACCTTCAAATAAAAATATTAATGTTATGTTAGTTTTACAATAAGCACTCAGTATAGCAATTTAAAAATTTAATGTACATTACTTAGGTAGAAAAAGTTTGATCAGATATTCTAGTACAGAATTGGAACAGGCTTGATACCATCTGTCATTCTGATGTAAAAGTGATTTTGCAACATTAAAAATCATGATACCAATTCTATGCTATTTTAGGGTGTAATTGGAATGCAAAGACAGACTTACCAATAAAATTTTGGAGACACTCCTGTATGTAGAAGATTCCATGTCTTGCCAAAGTCTTTAGAATATCTTAACTGTAAAAGACAAAATGTGAAATATATATATATATATATATCATACAGACTATGACGTTGTGTCTATATCTCTTTGTTGAATTGAATCAAACGCCAAATAATTCTCATCTCAAACTGGGTTTCTTCAGCAAATAGTAAGATATATATAACCTTACCTCTCTAGATAAAAAACTATAAGCTAAAACCCAATCAGCTATAGTAGGATGTAGAACAAGTTTATCTATTTCAAAATCAACTACCACTTTATTTGTTGTTTTTAATTCATCAGTTGTGATATGCAATGTTTTATTGTGGTAATCAACAAATATAGCCTAAAAATATAGAAACAAATTTACAAGGTAAAAATCACTGCTTACAACCATAAAACAATTATTTTTGAAAAATATCACTAAATAGCTTTAAAATGAATCAAACAATTTATTTGGATCAATAAGGGCCAAAAACTTTAATAAACAAATTGAATGAAATTCTATAATAACGAAATACAGAATGGTCTGTCATTATGATTTGTTTTTTTTATCATATCTTACTGACATTTTATTCATTTTTCAGATGCATTACTCCTTAACTTTTTGTGAATGCATTAAGTATGAAAATAAAAATAGCATTCAAATTTTCCTGTGTATTTTCTTTTTTTCAACTCTTTTATGAGTAACCTAACCTATAAGTAAATTCACGTATTAAACACATTCACAAATTTTGCAATAACAGTAAATATAAAGCCTTTGACCATAACACAAGTATAATATAAACAACACCTGAATATACTACATGTATTTTCAAATATCTAAACATAGATTATATATAAAACTGCTTTCTTTAAGAACTGAGAGACATTCTGACAAGTACTACTAAACATTGTAAGCTTATATAAAAAAAATATGTTGTGATATAATACAGGGAACAAAATAAGCGGTATCACATCGCAGTTAGTAATACAATTTTTGGCAAAATGCGATGTAATTTTCGTCAGTAGAGCAAATTTTTTGCAATAATATTTTCTAATAATAAAAGAAAATGATAGCTTGTCAGGCAAGGTAACATATGCCCAGTGGCAGCTGTCAGAAATGATAAAACAGTCTTTAGTGACTAAAGTATGAATTTTCTCATATTAAAGAAATTTTAATAGTTTGAATTCAATGATATATATATTTACTGCCAGTTTTTATGCTGAGAAATACCACAAGATTTGCCAGGCAAGGTAATATACGCCCACTGGTAGCTTTGATTTTGAATACAAATATTTAGCAGTACAGTACAGTATGAAATATTCAACCTTCAGTCATACACTTCTTTCGAACTCTTTGGGGCGAAACTGAATAATATTGAGTATGAATTATTCCCTTTGTTCTTCAAAACGTGTTCAATTTTTAGCTCTTGAACACTCTAGAAGGCAAATATTCAATCTTCAGCGTCGGACTGAATAATAAAACCAAGTTTTGTCAAAAATCCAGCAAGAATCATGCCTTTTAGTGTTTAAGAGCTAAATTTGAAAGCGTTTTCAAGAACAAGGGCAATAACTCATACTAAATATTTTTCGATTTTTCTGATTTTTAATATGGTTCATTCTTTGGTGGTAAAGAACATTCACACCAAGTTTCGTCAAAATTTGTCAAGAATTGTGCGTTTTAGAGTGTTTACGAGCTAAAAATTGAACACATTTTCAAGAACAAGGGCAATAACTTATACTAAATATTTTTCGATTCTTCTGATTTTCAATAGGGTTCATTCTTGGGTGATTACGAACATTCATACCAAGTTTTGTCAAAATCCGTCAAGAATTGTGTCTTGTAGAGTGTTTACGAGCAATTGTGGAAGGACCAACGGACGGACATGGGTGACGGCAATATACGCCCCCCATTTCATGTGGGTGTATCACAAAAATGAATATCAATAAACCAAATACATTAAATTACCGCATCAATATACATTATCACACCATGTTTTCTTAAAATCAATTGAAAACTATCTATAATGTTCACAAACAAATTTTGATGCGTTTTTCCTAAGTCAAGGGCAATAAATCAAAAACCGTTCATCTAAAGATCTTCAAATTAGAAGTTGTGACCAAGATCTCATCAATATAAATGATCACACCAAATTTCATTAAAATCAGTTGAAAACTGTAGTCTCTATTGTGTTCACAAGAAATGTTGACGGACTAACAGAACAACGGACTGGGGCGACGGCAAAAATCCTAAACTATACAACTACTAAATATCCTAATCTTTACTACTAAATATTCTAATCTTTACTAACAAATATCCTAATCTTTACTATTAAATATCCTAATCTTTACTAATAAATATCCTAATCTTTACAACTATTAAATATCCTAATCTTTACAACTACTAAAATACTAAAAATCCTTATAACTACTAGATATCCCATTATAACTACTAAATGTCCAAATCTATATAACTATGGTACTAATTTTCCTTATCTATATAATTATGGTACTAAATGTCCTTATACAAATACTAAATGTCCCAATCTATATAACTATGGTACTAAATTTCCTTATCTATATAATTATGGTACTAAATGTCCTTATACAAATACTAAATGTCCTAATCTATATAACTACCAACTATTCTAACCTATATAACTACTAAATATCCTATACTACAAATCTACCAAATGTCCTAATCCATTAAACTAATGTACTGAATTACTCATAGATAAATCTTTAGTTATAATCGAAACTTCAAATTCAATTAATTTTATGCCCTAAGGTCAGATGAAATAATTCACAATTTCAAAATGGTTTCAAAACAAGTTTTAACCACTTAACAATAAGAATAAATTTTATTATAAATCATAACTTACATTTTTATAGTTAGCAGGAGACACAAAAAAGAATGTTATAACTGCATCACTTGGGAATGTTTCTTTTTGATATGTACTTCCATAATCCTTGGAACTAGAAATAGAAACAATTTTTACAGTTGACACCAAAGAATTGGTGCTTTCGAAGCTCAACTTACAGTATAACACAGTTCAATCCATCCTAGAGTTTGTTTATTTACCATCACTGGACATACAACATACTACACAATTATTAAAGGGAGGGTATCCTTGAATGAACATCTGGAACTTTGATTTTGATTAGAGTTAACAGACAATAACTACATATTTTCAATTATGGCACCATGTTAAGTAAATGGGATTTTGAATTAGCATGTAAGGCATACATGTTATATAACCCTGGACAGCTCTGGCTCTCAGCATTATGAATCCCAAAAAAATACTGCTATATCTCCAATAGGTTAGGATGCTTTAAAGATACAAAGTTAACTTTTATTGACACCCATAAAACCGGAACCACGTATCGGACATAAAAAATATTGACATCATGTAAAAAAAAAGTAGTCAATATGCCATTGAAATCATCAAATGCGACATTATATGAAACTATTTATTAAGCGCATTAATAATATGAAGGTGCAATAGCAAAACTACAAAATGGACCATATTTAGATCTTGTAAAATCAAAAGGTGTGGTCAGGTCAAAGGGTTACAAGAAGGGCAAGGTCACGGATTATCATCATATTATTATTATTATTATTATTAGGACACTTATAGAGCGCCATCTTTCACAATATGTGCTCAGATGCGCTGTACAATACAATTCATAAAATATCAACGTATTGGTAAAATTAGCAATTAAGTATAAAAATATAAATGAATAAACGTAAAAAAATATGTATAAATATAAGGAATAAAGCAATTTATAAATTAAAAGCTTTCTTAAATAAAAACGTTTTGAGAAGAGACTTAAAAGTTACTAAAGAAGTGCAGCATCTAATGTTAAAAGGTAAAACATTCCAAAGTTTAAGGGCCTGGACGGTAAAAGAGCGCTCACTGAAAGTTAAAAGTCTGGCTGATTTATGTACAAGTAAAAAGTTATCAGAAGATGAGCGGAGAGTGCGGCTCGGTGTATACATTTCTAATAGTGAAGATAAATAGTGAGGTGCAATATCGTTTATACATTTAAAAGTTAAAAGGAGGATCTTGAATTGAATTCTAAAAAAAATATATTGTTTTAGTCCTCACAATATCTACCTATTAGTATAAGTTTCAGTGACATTCATGATGTGGGTCAACCTGAAGTTTGCACGTTGATTTTGTGAAAACTGCAAGTGATGCTAAATTTTTGACTGTGCCAATATGTATTTTGTTGTGATCTGTTTTAGCACCAGAAATTTCAAACCAATTAGACAAAAAGCACAGAAAATAGAAATTTGCCCAAAATTGTATGCTGTGAATTTTCAAAAGTCGAAATTTTTTTAACTGCTAATCTATTGGATATTCTTGCGAGATTCCAGACATGAAAACACCTACAAAATCACTCCAAAAAAGCGCCATCTCGAGCCATCTATCTATTTTTTGCATATATTGCAATATGAAAATAAAGTTTGTTTTACATTCAGCACATAGTTAGCAACAAGTTAGAAATCCTCATGAAATTTGTTTTATCGTACCTGTTGCCGTTTCCAAGAAATAACCTCCCAGGTGGATGAAATATTTGTAAATAGGAAAACAAAGCAACAATGTCATAAACCAAAAAGATATTTGGGAAGCGGAATTCTGAAATCCCTTATAAAAATCCATGTTAAGAGAGTGGCTAGAAAAATTCAGACAGCCATGGAATGTATATCTAATTAGTCGCATGAATTTTTAATTTCATAATATTCAAATCTTTTTATAAACTAGTTGAAAATATCTTATCTAGTTTTTATAGTTATTATTTAAAAGGAAATGCATTTAAGTATAATTTTTATGTCAAACATGGCTATTCAGTGAGCTTTTTTTGTAATACTAATACCACCTTGAGTTTTATATATATCCTTTTGTCCATTATATCATTAAAAAGAACATTATGAATACTGGTAGTTATATAATAAAGTAAACAATCACCTCCATACTGTACTGCCAACAATTTGACCTGTTGTTAAACTTACTTGTCTTGTCAATACAAAGATTACCTGTAAAAATAAAAGATTATTTTTTACATGTTGCCATGTTACTGATAACACTTTAATATAGACTAGTTATAAAACTGGCATTAAAATATCAGGCATAAAAAAAAACACATAAACAGTTTTTTTCAAACATCCATTGACATGTCTATTTCTTGTATTTTAAGTTAATTGTTAATGTTGTAAAAATTCTGACCTATCTACCTTACTTTACTACCTACTAAGGTTACTTTGACATTAGGTTAGTGAAAATGACAAATCAATACACCATGTATGTAACATGAAATAGCTTTTATACATGAAAAATTAAAACATGTCTGCTACTCGTGAACTCTTATGAATATTTTTCACAATATCGAATCAGAAACAATAGCCAAAATTTAATAGGGATTTTCTCAAAGTCAGGTTTTTAAAACAGCTGCCTTTAAAAGACAAGAATAGATATAAGTTCATTTAAAGTGACATCTTAATCATTTTTAAGAGCTAAATCAAGAAAAGCTGTTTGATTTTTCTTAGAGGCTTATCTAATAATTGGGAAAGTATCATCTTACAAAACATGGCATTACCAAACAAAATCAGATGAAGAAATATTGTTCATGAAGGATTTAGGAGGATTTTAAAATGAGTTAACTTATACTTAATATCCTTCATGAACCAACATATCATTAAATTAAATGACTAAACCTAAAGCTTTTTATAAGCTTATTTATAAAATCAAGCAATGTTTTATCAAGGTACATGTAAAGTCTTTTAATATCAGACTTCATTGAATTTTTATACGCCCACACGGTCAGTTCACATTTGGATCGTGCTCACCCTACAGGCTACAATTTTTTATGGATTCTTTTGATTTTTATTTTGTGTGTCAATGTCATTATGAAGATGATCCCTATTGATTTTCGTGATGATCGGATAATTTTTCATCGAAATATCGTGTCTGACTTGACGTTTTTCTCTATTAGCTATATTGTGCAACTCGTGCTCACTCTACAGGCTACAATTTTTTACAGATTCTTTTGATTTTTATTTTGTGTGTCAATGTCATTATGAAGATGATCCCTATTGATTTTCGTGATGATCGGATAATTTTTCACCGAAATATCGTGTCTGACTTGACGTTTTTCTCTATTAGCTATATTGTGCAACTCGTGCTCACTCTACAGGCTACAATTTGTTACAGATTCTTTTGATTTTTATTTTGTGTGTCAATGTCATTATGAAGATGATCCCTATTGATTTTCATGATGATTGGATAATTTTTCACCGAAATATCGTGTCTGACTTGATGTTTTACTCTATTAGCTATATTGTGCATCGCGTGCTCACTCTACAGGCTACAATTTTTTACAGATTCTTTTGATTTTTATTTTGTATGTCTATGTCATTATGAAGTTGATCCCTATTGATTTTCATGATGATCTATCGATTTTCATGTTGATCGGATAATTTTTCACCGAAATATCGTGTCTGACCTGACGTTTACTCTATTAGCTATATTGTGTAACTCGTGCTCACTCTACAGGCTACAATTCTTTACAGATTCTTTTGATTTTTATTTTGTATGTCAATGTCATTATGAAGATGATCCCTATCGATTTTCGCGATGATCGGATAATATTTAACCGAAATATCGTGTCTGACTTGACGTTTCACTCTATTAGCTATATTGTGCAACCCTGTAGTCACTAAAGACTGTTTAATCATTTCTGACAGCTGCCAGTGTGCGTATGTTACCTTGCCTGGCAAGCTATCTTTTAATATGGAAATCTAAATATTTCTGGCTGGTAATTGTTGGTCTAGATGGTATCTGGTTATTTTGGACCTCACATAGCTTGTCTTTTAATATAAACATATTAACAGACACAAAGACAAGTGTCTGATTTTTGTTATCAAAAATAAGCTCATATGCCAGGTTGTTTCGAAATAAGAGCTCCACCATTAACTAAATTAGATATGTAGATTCGAATAAAAACAAAAGTAATTTAAAAGAAGTATTATTCAAGTTTCTCTGCAATTATTATATAATTTGTGTGGCCTCCATTTTACTGTACTACAGCTTGCATTCAAGGGATATGATTTCAGAAAATCACAAGTAAGCTGAAAATCAAACTGCTCATATTTCGAAACAACATGTAGAATAATCAATCATATCTTAAGTTTATAAACATCAAAGATCACTTCTTTTAGATATCCCTGTGAGCCATTCTTTCTGATTGTGATTAGTTACGATATTCAAAATGAATGTTGATTATTACTTATAGTACCAGTACTTAAAAGCAATGTGTAATAGGGCTGCAACGATTCCTAAAGTGGCGATCCGATACACTGAACGATACTCGTTCAACGATGCGATTTATATCAGATCCCACGCGTTTATCTTCCACTTGGCATATTAATATGTTCTCATTTCATCGTTTATAACAAAAATTAAAAACGCTGAAGACAAATAAATACGTGAAAAGCAATTTTTTAACATTTGAACATGACACAATTTCTAAAATACGTGAGGATTCCGTGCTATTAGTCATTAAAGGGAGTTAATTATATTTATGAGAATCGGGCTAATGTATCGCGATTATTTTTTTCTTCCGCAATGCATCGATAAGAAAGAACGAATCGCGGTGAATCGATTCAACGGTGAATTGTTGCAGCCCTAATGTGTAACAATTTTAAACCAATCATACCTTAGACTCAGAAATGGGAATTTTTTTATAGCTAAGCCAATCAGTAATAGAGTTCACAGCTCACTGTCTAAATTTGAGCCTTCAAATCTGTCTTTAGACATAGGAAAATAAATTAATAGTTTGAGATCATTCTGAAAGAATTATCAGGGGTCTACACTGAACTTTTTTCCCAACTTGTCCGGTCGGACTAGTGGGTGGAAAAATTATTAGCCCTGACCAAACTTTTACTTGCCCAGACCTTTCATATTAAATTTTGAGAAAACAATTTTCATTAAAAGCACACTTTTTCTAACAAATATAATTGCCTTAATTAATACCGGTAATGTAATGTATTTGTGTAATAAAATGAACACAACACAACTGTAAGTTAACTGCAATCTGAAATATTACTATTACAATTACAATATCCAAAAATTTCTCGTTTCATCTTTCATCTTCAATTGTATTGTCAAAAATGGAAATCGATGACCACGTTGTAGATATGTAGAATGATTAAGTTACTAGTCCAGTCTGGCTAGCCCTGACCTAAATACCATTCGTCTGGGGAGACCCGACAAGTTCTAGTGTCGACCCCTGATTAAGCAATTTTTACATTTTACATTTCTAGTAGACTATTTACATATATTCAAGATTCAAATCAACCCCCCAAAATGGCAAACCTGTCCCCATGATTTTAGCTAGGATTCCAATGCATGCTTGATTAAAATGTCCTTGGAGGGATGTTACCCATGTAAATGTACAAAGTAGCCTTGCAAATGACAGGAATTATATAAATAAAATAAATAAGATATTTGCACTGACAGATAATGAGATTGAGTGTCAAAAATGGTTCTTTTTCCTCACCTGACTGTTTTCCTTTCCAGACCAATGAACATACGCCTCATTATTATGTTCTGTGCCTTTCAATGAAAAAACACTTGTACTTGGATTGTCAGCAGATCGTTTTGTCCTTTGAAACAATGGTGAACTAATCTTTCTTAAAGAAATTTTGATGTTTTTGTTTACATCGTCATCTTTGATTGCCTTGTTTAGAGCAAGACCAATATTTCTCTCAATGTTGTGAAGAGACAGTTTTTTTAATCCACCATATTCAAATCTAGTTTGGTCAATTCGGTTCCACAATGTACTATGGCACAAAATAATAAATGTAGAAAGTAAAAGACACTGTACAATCATTTTCATTTTATTTTTATAATCAACTTTGTTATTACGCAAACAAGTCAGCCATCTTAAACTTCCGCCTTGATAATAATAAATGGAACAAATTTGATTGGTCAATATATTTTACTTTCAGTTTTGCGGTATCCCACTTCCGGTGAATACATTGAGTGTTTGGATTCGTGGCGTCATACGTGCAGTTCTTCACATGCTCTATCATTCTCTACATGATCCAGTACTCTGCAAATCACGTTTGGGCAAACTACACCTGGCAGCCGATCGAATAATTTATTGAAATTTATTATAGAGTGAAGTTTTAGTTGATATTTCACGAGAAAATGTGTGCTTATATCAAGTGTTAAATTATTACAAAAGCTTTTTAATTTTTTATCAACGCACAGTCTTTTTAAGAGTATCAGTACTACACTACAGTGAAGCTGATATTCCAATTCAGATTAAAGTAATTATGTTAAATTCGATTCACCAACAAAAATGAGAACAGAAAAAAGAGAATTGCCCCCACTCCTTATACTCATATACCCAGCCCCACAAATCCATTTTGTAAGCCTCGCCAGAGTTGACAACCTTTTATTTCAAGCTTTGCTTATGACTTAATTCTAGGCTACTCAGTGTCGTGTTAAAAACGTTGAACTTCAAACTAAAACCTTGATTTCATATCTTGGGTGTTAGTAGAATTAAAGAGTTAATTCTAAGTTTACTTCGTGTGTAGTAGTGGATGTAATGAAAAACCTCTTATGGATTACAATTACTAACTTTATTTGAGCAATGTTTCGACCAGTGTTCTCTGGTCTTTATCAAGCAATGAATAATATTACAAAGATAAACAGTGTAGTAGTGGAGCTCAAAAGCTAAACAACAGTAATTTCATATTTCTTTCTATTGCAAAGTTTGATGCTCATTTTCTTTTTTTCATTTATTCGGACCGAAAGAGTTGTTGTATTTTATGGAGGGGGATCGTTGCCAGAAGTCTTTACATTACAACGTCAAACTTGAAAACAAGGCCTCGATTGTACAAAGTCATATTTCAACATTACAAAATTACAAAATAAAATCAAAAAGTCACTGTACTAATTACAAAGTAGAGATATTGATAGTTTACTTTTCAAACTTTATTTCACATCAGACACCATTCAAACTTTCCTTTACAAAAATGAATTCTTAACTTCGCATTATTGACAATATCAACTATGTCTTCTTGACTTTGCATTCGTGAAAGATGTAAGTTCGACCACTGTATTCTTGAGAGTTGTAAAGTCAACTTCTGCATTCTTGAACGTTTACTATATAAGGTAACGTGACCTACTTCATTTACATAATCCAGAAATTCACGGAAACTAACGGAAATATAAATCAATAATTGTTCCTTGTCAAAGGGATTTAACTTTAAATAAGCCTCAAAACCGGATGTTCAAATGCGGCATTGGTCAATTGACACTTCGTCATTACTTCAGTGGCTGGCCAATTTTTGTGGCCGATGGATACACTAATTTTTTGGATTGATTGTAATTGTTGTAATTAAATCAAAAAAACGAAAAATTTGTAATTCATTTCTTATTCAATGGTTTGAATGGTGTGAATGGTGTCTGATGTGAAATAAAGTTTGAAAAGGAAACTATCAATATCTCTACTTTGTAATTAGTACAGTGACTTTTTGATTTTATTTTGTAATTTTGTAATGTTGAAATATGACTTTGTAAAATCGAGGCCTTGTTTTCAAGTTTGATTTTGTGAATACTTTTGGCAACGATCCCCCTCTATAGTATTTTGGCTTTACAGGTGGCAACTTTGAAAGGGAACTGAAATCGTCAATGTAGGCCTATTCTGGAACCTAATTTCGACTTAAAACTATGTAGCTCAGTGTTAATCTTGTGACTCTTAGAGTTCGGCTAGATCTACTTGGTGAAGAGTCAACATGTGTTTGATAAGTGGACTATATTAAGATATTTACATGCATGTATAATATACTTATGGATGTAAATTTTTGTTTTCAAAATTGAGGAAACCTTCCTTCTGGGTCCTTTTTTTAGATGTAACCCTTTAGGATTGTTAAATTTTAAGTGGTATAATGGAAGGCTTTGAGAGGAAGGACGACTCTTATGGAGTTGTTCCGATGCCAATATTAATTTCCTTGCAAAATGACAAAAAAATACATATGTCGATTTGTTAAAGTACATTTGTCGCATTGTAATTTGTAGAAAATACATTTGTCAATTTGAGAAATTTCAAATGTATATTAGTAATTTAGAGATTGATTTGTAAATGTTCATTTCAACCTCAATTGACTCTTACCGGATGCCAAGAGATGTCCATAAAAAAGTGGTAGACCTATGCGCTGTAATATGTGTAGTTTCCTGTTCGCGCATTTAAGGTGTTTTTGGCGCCAGGTTGAGTATATATTTCTTTATAGTGTCAGGTCTATAAATTTTAGACAAAGTGGTTGTCTCGGCTAAAAATTTGTATTAATTGGTGTATCTATCCATTACGACCCCAATTCGAAACATCTGCCCCTATTCCAGCCTCTGATAGACATCTTGACAGTGTTATCATCGGCTGAAGTAGAATCAGTAAAACTAGGCCCTGTTTTAATGGAAATTTTCCACACCTCCGAAGATTATTTTAATCGGATCCGCCAAGCCCAGATATATAATTTCAAGTTACGATTTTGCAGACACTGGTGACCGACGGCAGTGGCTATTTACATTTATTTTTGAAAAAAAAAATGTCGTGTTTGTTTACAAATAAATGTCAAGGCCGACTTTGAAGAGTCCCTAATTAACATGAACTTCGAAACAAAGAAATAAATAATGTAAAAACCGCTAAAGTTCCTTAAAATTCTCAAGAAAGTGGAAACATGGCCCACTTTTCAATTCGATTCATGCAGCATTAAACAATTTTATTGCACCCAGAACAAATCTTTTTTGTTAATCGAACAGTTACGTCAATTTTTTAACCAATCAGAAACGGGATTTTTTTTTGGCTAAGCCAATCAGTAATAGTGTTCATAGCTCACCGTCAAAATTTTAGCCTTCAAACTCACGTGTGTCCAGAATTATCCGTGTTTGAAACTAGTATATAGAAGGGATCAGTAAAAATACAGATATTGATAGTGTTTGTCTGTTGTATGTAGTAGAGGTCAGTAATGATACAGATATTGATACTTTTTAATTGTAGTATGTACTAGTGGTCAGTAAAGATACATACATTGATAGTGTCTGACTGTAGTATGTAGTTAAGGTCAGTAATGATACAGATATTGATAGGATTTGATTAGTACTTTGTCAGTAAAAATACAGATATTGATAGTATTTGACTGTAGTATGTTGTCTAGGTCAGTAATGATACAGATATAGACTAATACTACAGTCAAACACTATCAATATAATATGTATTATTACTAAACTCTACTACATACTACAGTCATACGCTATAAATATCTGTCACATTACTAACCTAGATTACATACTACAATCAGACACTATCAATATATGTATTATTACTGACCTAGACTACATACTACAATCAGGCACTATCAATATATGTATTATTACTGAGCTCTACTACATACTACAATCAGGCACTATCAATATATGTATTATTACTGACCTAGACTACGTTTTACAATCAGACACTACCAATATATGTATTATTACTGACCTAGACTACAAAATACTACAATCAGACACTATCAATATATGTATTATTACTGACCTAGACTACATACTACAATCAGGCACTATCAATATATGTATTATTACTGACCTAGACTACATACTACAATCAGGCACTATCAATATATGTATTATTACTGACCTAGACTGCGTACTACGTAGTCAAACACTATCAATAACTGTATCTTTCCTGACGTCTGGAAACAAACAAATCAGTTAGCTCAAAAGAGTGGTCAGTCGAGTCTAAGATAGTTTTTCAGGCAATGTAACATTTGTCAGCTTTGTTTAAATTAAATTTCGAAAAACGAGAGCAATACCTCATATTTGAAATTTCCCATTTTTTTTTCAATAGGGTTCATCCTTCGGCGATGTTAAACATTTGGCAGTTCATTATACTCAACCCTTAGCCAAACACTTCTTCCAGACGTTCTTTTTTTCGTTTTGTATACGGCTCTTCTCTATGTGAAACAGAAAAGTAGGACGTTAAACTGCATGAAAATTAATAATTCCGGTCCAATCTGCCACGAACTGTAAGAGTGTGTTAAAGCTTGAAATATAACTCTTTTCAAAAGACAAGGAAATAACTAATTACATAGTTTTCAACACTTTTAATGAGGTTTCTAAAAGATTATTATGAAGTTTTATGTAAATTTATCTAAATTTATCAATAATTGTGCCTTTTACATTTACTAGCTAAAGAACAATTTATATTGTTAAGTTTCGTCCAAATCGTTAAGATTTGTGCCTTCTCGAGTATTTACAAGCTACAGACTGAACGCATTTCGAAAGACAATGCCTCAAAACAATCAAAACATTGCAAATGTTATGATTTTTCATTCATAATAATCACTCATATGATAATATACTAATCAAATAAGCAATTAGATGCTCAGTAGGATTAGGCTTTGCACCAATTGTCCAAATATAGGAACAGTGTCGACAAATCCTACGCATATCATCCGCCGCATTGAGTCTTTTTCGAGCTTTAGTTTTGATGACTAAAGTGTCGAGGTTCGCTTGGGTTCGTCGTGTTGAAGGGCACCAGAAATCCTGAAACTTTATAATTCTTCTCCTACAATAGTTAGTCGCACCTTACACCTCAGGGGATGAAAAGAAACCCACGCTGGGAACCAGGAATATACAGTATTATAGCTTGGAATTTAAAAATTCAATAAAAGTCTGTCAAAAGTATAGCTTTAAAATGTATATATAAGCGAATTGCTGACGCATTCCTTATGGTTCACATCATATAGCGATTGTAGAAATGTTTTGGACTGTGAAATTTAGCGTCCAAAACCACAGTCACCGATATTAAATATGGCGGATATTTTCCTTCGCTACGGATATTAAAATGCTTATTTTAGTGTGCTAACAATGTGAAATGTGCCCAATATTTATATTTTTGAAACCTCAAAAGTGTGATTTTTTGAAATATTAAAAAAAAAATTGAATGAAATCCCCTAAATGAAAAAAAAAACGTGGTAAAATTTAAATACCACGTTTTTTCTCAATAGACTAGCATGGTGACATTGGCCTTTTTTAACAAGTTACCACACCGTGGTATATAGCTTATGACTATTTACCACGCTTACCACGCCAGTGGTAAATAGCCACTGCCGTGACCAAAGCATCGTGGGCCATGCGATCTCGACTTCTTCAATAAATAGTATGGCGATTTTTTTTATTAAGTCATTCTATACGATATTTTTGAGGAAATAGTCAATATGTGTCTTGATTTCCATTTTTATAATCATTCATAGTATGTTGTATATCCTACAGTGACATTAGAAAATTCCCTAATTTGATATTCAAATATATGATTAATAGCTGTAAGTGCTATAATAGCCATATTTAAAGTGTTATTGTTGTCTTATAATAAGCTCCGATAAAGATCAAGTTCATATTCATTCATGAATTATTTGACAGTATTCACACGTACATTGTGAGAATGATTGTTAAGGTGACACTTTTCGCAATTTTATTTGCAAATGTGTTTGGACTTCCTCAACTAAATAGAGATCGAGATTTGGGAGAAATATATGGTGAGAATAATTTATCATTAGTATGCATTATGCAATGAAAATATATAAAAGATATAATACACATATAAGTAATTATAATGTGAATATTAAGTAAAGATAAGATGAAAATGAGTAATTATAATTTAATTATTAGTAAAACTAAGATGAATATGAGTAATTATAATGTGATTATTAATAAAACTAAGATGACTGAGTAAATATAATGTGATTAATATGTAAAACTAAGATTCCTATGGGTAAATATAATGTAATTATTAGTAAAACTAAGATGACAATGAGTAAATATAATGTGATTATTAGTAAAACTAAGATGACTGAGTAAATTATTAGTAATAATACATTGTAAGACTATGTAATGTCAATCAATATAAATGAATGTAAGTGAAAAGATCAATGTAAATAAAGAGAATATAGCCGCGTTTAGACAGCCACAATTTATCCAGGCCAGATCCGGACTCGGTCCGGACCGAGTACGGTTCGGCACAAAAAGTGGCTGTGTAAACGGGTTGTGAGGTCTCGGCACCGTGCTAGTTTCAAGTGGGCCGAGTCCCGCAAGAAGAGGTGGTCTCGGTCCGGACCGAGTACGGCACGGCAAAATATTAGTGCTGTGTAAACGCGCCACTGGGTCGGGCCAACTTGGCCCACTTAGCCGGGGCTTGTGCGCATGCACAATAATGACCTTGACCCTCGGTTCGCGGGAACAGCAAACTAGGGTAGACTTTGCTGTGTCTCTCAAAAAAAATGGAGATTCTTAAGGTTCGTTTGCGCTTTAAACGAGACAAATTCAACAAAAACTTCAAAATCATAGCTTTGTTTATAGCGGGCGCTATTTTGTATGTTTGTGTTTTTTTCGCCTCCTCTGACTGGAGAGCAGGTCTACTTTTGATTTTGGCCCAGTGAAAACAGTGCTGTGTAAACGGTACAGGCCAACCGGGCCGAGTCCGGACCGAGTACGGTTCACTTCAAGTGGGCCAGTTTTTATGGCTGTCTAAACGCGGTTTATGAATACAAGTAAAGCATGAAAAAAATGTGAATGATCGGAGTTGAGAATTATGATTGTAAGCCAAAAGAACAATGGTATAGATCTTGATTAAGCATCAAGGATTGTTAGAGGATTTTCAATACTAAAGGATTGGCTGCTACTGTTTCAGATGTAATCGATCAAATACAGATACAAAGCCCAGGACGTAGCAAACGGTCCCCGGAATATTTTCCCCCCAATCTTCATGTCAACTTTAAATCTAAAGGGGAAGATGTGCTATTGAGATTAAAGAGAGCTGAGGCAGTAGATGTTCCAGTTTACCTTGCTGATAATGGTCACGTTAAACAGACTCAACTAGAGAATAATAGTGTAAGGGTTATTTTACAACATTTTTTTTACAAAAGATCGACCCACATATTCTTATATCGAGCTTTTAATTAACACCAGTTTTGACAGTAGTTCTAGAAGTCAGACAACGTAAAACTGGATCTTAGTGCCTTATTCCACTCCATGTTGGTTAGGTAAATAGTTTATGTTTCTATCGAAATCCTCTATCTACAGATTTCTGCTATCTATCATGATATCACAAGTGGATTACCAATTCATGTCAAGGTATCGGGTACGGGCGAAAAGTTCGGACAACTCTATTCCTTGGTAAGATAAGACTATATAACTCTTAAAACATCTACACATGAAAGTGTATCATCCTTATAATTTCTTTTTTTCTGTTCAATTTAATGAAGACCACAGCGCCATGTAATGCACAACGAATTAAGGAAATATTTCAGTGACATCGACATTATTTGTCGCACTAGTTTCCGGTAGACAAATACACCATAATGATGATTAACATTGATGAAAGCTTAAAAAAACACATCTCAGATATTGAATATTGAAAGTTAATCAATTAATCCTCTCCGCCACTCCTCCGATAATATGCCCTTTCGGAATATGCACCAATTTCATTCCTTTTCTACAACAGGAAGGGACAATGGTGCTTAAATCTCAAAACCTGGGAATATCACCCAACGACGTCGGCCAACACGTTTTACGCGATATTGAGAACTTTGATTTTGGTAACGATGAAATATTTGTTAAAGGTAGTTTTATTCATTTTTTATTTATTATTTTAGAAATACCGCAAATCACATGTGGGATTTGATTCCCACATGTCTTCTAAGTTCACATCCGCAATGATTTAAGTTCGCCCAAATAGATCGTCAGAGCAACGCATATATATTGCATTATCGACAGGCTCGTAGCTAGACAAAGAGCAATTCTAAGGCTTTTAATTGTCTGATGGCCTTTGAACACCAAATAATAGCAGGAATTGACTTAAACTGTTTATAAGTAGGTTTGCTGTACAACACCCTCGCTTACAGCGGGTGTAATTGTTGATTATTATCATTGTTGATTGTCAACCCCATGAAACACTAAAACACACATTTTTCAATGTATATATATAGTTTCTTTATTGACTTTTTGAATCATATAGTTGAGCCCCCCATAAAAAATGTAGCTACGGGCCTGATTATCGACCAATTAATTTGATATTTACCATCAGGTAAATACTTATATAAACAAAGACGTCAATTCTAACCCAAGTTCTAACGTTATCAGCTAGCTGTTGGTATCCATAAGTGAAAATTGTATTTGAAGGAAGAGAAATGAAAGATAGAAAATCAATAAAAGAGATGAGAGATATATTAAAGAAAAGACCAAAGAGCAAGTCAAAAGATGTTACAGTATTTACAGTAGAACTATTGATGGTAGCTGATGTTTCGGTGAAAGACAGGTTTGTTCCGACACAAAGTTAACAATACGATCGTACATTTTTATACGCCCACATGAAATGGGGAGGGGGGGGGGGGGCGTATATTGTCGTCACCCAAGTCTGTCCTTCCGTCCGTCGACAATTGCTCGTAAATTCTTGACTGATTTTGACGAAACTTGGTATGGTTGTTTGTAATCACCCAAGGATGAACCCTATTCAATCAGGAAAATCGAAAATGTTTTAGTATGAGTTATTGCCCTTGTTCTTGAGGCGCTCGTAAACACTCTAGAAGGCGCAATTCTTGACGGATTTTGACGAAACTTGGTGTGAGTGTTTTTAATCACCCAAGGATAATCCCTATCGAAAATCAGAAAAAATAAAAAAATATTTAGTATAAGTTATTGCCCTTGTTCTTGAAAACACGTTCAATTTTTAGCTCGTAAACACTACAGAAGGCACAAATCTTGACAGATTTAGACAAAACTTGGTATGTGTGTTAGTAATCACCCAAGGATGAACCCTATTGAAACTCAGAAGAATCGAAAAATAATTAGTATGAGTTATTGCTCTTGTTCTTATAAACGCGTTCAATTTTTAGCTTGTAAACGCCATAGAAGGTCAATTATTGACAGATTTTGACGAAACTTGGTGTGAGTGTTTTTGTCACCTAAGAATGAACCCTATTGAAAATCAGAAGAATAATTAGTGTGAGTTATTGCCCTTGTTATTGAAAATGCGTTCAATTTGTAGCATGTAAACACTCTAGAAGGCACAATTATTGATGGATTTTGACGGAACTTGGTGAGTGTATGTCGCCCTTGTTCTTAAAAACGCAAACAAGTTTTACCCTGTAAACACTCTAGAAGGCCCAATTGATGAAACTTGGTAATATTATTCAGTATCGCCTCAATAAGTTCAAAAGAAGTGTATGTCTAAAGGTTGAATATTTCATACTGGTATAATTGTTACTGTACTATATTTCATAATATTTTTATTTAAAATCAAAGCTGCCAGTGGGCGTATATTACCTTGCCTGGCAAGCTATTTGTATATAAGTCTTCAGTTGTTCTTTATTGAGATGTTTTAAAAATAAAATCGCAAGGTACTTGACTGTATTTGTTTAATCATGTCCAAATTGTTTTAGTTTGACCATTTCATTATCCTATTGTAGATTTATGGCACTCTACAGAAAAAAGGATGCTTTAGGGGTGTTGAAAACATACTTTGAATTGATTGCTTTTTCAGTAAGTTTATTAATATTACTGAAGCTATAAGCAGTGCTTCTCAACAGGTGAGGAAATAGAAGATCATGGGGAGGAAATATTGCCAGGTTGAAAGGTGGAGGAATCTGCTTCTGCCATTTTCTACCACGTATTTAGTTGAGTGCGGGTCCAGCACGGTTAATGATGTACTCACAAGGAAATGTGATTTGTTCAAGATAACTGAAGTGAGGTGTTCTTCGACTGAAATTGTCGTCATTCATCCCGGACATAAGGCTAAAAAAAATCGCCAACGAACAATTGGCCCAAGGGTCACATTGACTAATTTATTTTGGGGAGGAATAGATTTGGAAGAACTCTCCCAGGGAGGAATGATCTCACTACGGTTGAGAAGCACTGTTATACACTGTAAAGAAAAGTAAGTCAATACTCTACACAATGCTGATGGCTACAAGAGTTACAAAACACGATACTTTAAGTTTAATTCTCTAGGTTCAAGACAGGTTTGATTCCATATCCGAATTATACCCCGATACAGTTGTGAAAATAGAACTCAGTGGAATAGTTATCATGAATGTAAGTTGAAAATTTATGTTCAAATCGCTATTGCTATGAATGTAAGCGTGAAGTTATGTTCATTTTGTAAGTTTTCTACCATAGGATCTGACAACAATATCATATGTATTTGTCCTGGAAATTGTCACAATAAGTAAAATATTATTTTTGGCCCATCCACCTCAATTTTTTTTATATTAAGTATTGAAAGTCCATTCAAAGTTCTGCGCACAAAGTCCATCAAAAAGTTTTTTTCAATATCTATAGCCGTTTATAATAGCTCATTGTACTGGGTGAGGTGCAGAATAGCCATAGTTTCCCCAACTCGACCGAAACTCTAAGGCTACTTCACTTCCAATTACATGTAGTTATTGAACGACGAGGTGCAATTAATTTCTTTTTTTTCTCTATAGACAACAGATGATGCGCCTTTCTGTAGAGATAATATAAGAAAGGGTTATCTCCAATTTGATCCAGCTTTAGATGACTTTGCAATGTGGTCCCTGGAAACTGAGGATTTGCCACCTCATGATCATGCAATGTGGATAACAGAGTACGTATCTGCATAAGTTTATAATTTTTGTTGATAGGCCTAGACATATTACAGCTAATAAATCATGAACACCAGAATATGTAGTTTACAAGCTACATATGTACTGTATGTATAAACTAGCAACAAAAAAAAGTTCTGCTAGCGCTCTGCAACATACCACGATGATAAATGGCAGCCATTGTTTACTGGAACTATGTCAATATTGTCACGTGATCATCTGATTCTAGGACTTCAAACACCAGAGACTTGTAGCTCGCAACTACAAACAAATCCAATATAAACAACACCTTCGTAAAAAAAAAGTAAGATTTGACTAAGCGATAAACTCAACGTAGAATTTTAATGCATAACGTGTCACTATAATCCCCAAACGGCACTAAAGTTATTCATTGCATTTACGTCGCAATATTACAATCATTGCACTATACCGGAAGAAAAGAGGCTTGCCCTACAATTCATTACGGCATATGTATACATTATCAGCTTTACTGAAATTGTCGAGGATTGCCAAATGTACAGAATTATTGTATCACCTCCCCGGCAAGTGAATTCAATTTTTATACGCCTACGCGTCACCCATGTCCGTCCGCCCGTCCGCTGACAATTGCTCATTAACACTTTAGAGCGCTCAATTCTTGACTGACGAAACTTGAATGAATGGACACAACACCATTGAAAATAAAAAGAATCGATATATTTAGTATGAGTCATTGTCCTTGGTATTAAATTGCCCGTAAACACTATGGAAGGCACAATTCTGGACAGAATTTTATGAAACTTAGTGTAAGTGTTTGTAATCACCCTATCAAAAATCGAAAAAAGAAGTGTTTGACTGAAAGTACAATATTTCATACTGGTAATTGTTACTGTGCTGCCAAATAGCCTAATTGTATTCAAATCAAAGCTGCCAATGGGGGTATATAACCTTGCCTGGCAAGCTATGTTTTAATTTCTTAAATGTAGTAGGCCTAAGCTTCAATTTTTATATACTTATAGTGAAATTTTAGCTCATGGTCGGGATACGTCTACTAATGGTAAGATTTTTCATTGATTGCCAATTTTTTAGATTAATTTTTAATGGAACTTTTCCACGGGACAATTTTTTCGCGCGAAGCGAAATTTTTCGTCGCCAAATAAAAGCGTTCGACGAATTTTGATTTCCACTGTCATCGAAGATCGACGTTAACGCTATTTTAATGTCCTTGCCCATCAGCAACAAAATGACCTGCTAGCAATCTAGCGTTTATATTAGCTAGTTCTAATTATTTGCGAGATTTTTGTTTTATTTCCTATGGATCCGAGGAAATTCGTGTGCCTAGAGTTTGTTTAGACTGATAAGTCGGCTATACCGTTTTCTGCCATCTTTGACATCATGACGACATGACGTTGACGCATCTGATTTGATAAGCTAATGGCGCGAAAAATTTCGTCGCGTAAAAGTAGAACCTATTCCTACTTTTTTTGCGATCGTCGTGACGATTTTTTTCGCTGCAAATTCTTAGGCTATACTTCTTATCAATGCGGATGCGCCTGCACGAAAAGATCGCTTCGCGTGAAAAAAATCGTCCCGTGGAAAACAGCCGTTAGTAGAGAGAATGTCTCGACAGGAAATTTAGTCGCTAGGGACGCCACCTGGTTGCTAACTTATTAATCAATGGTAAAGACTCAATAAAGACTTGAAAGTTGTGTTATAAATTTTATTAATTTATATAATATATACAGCGGTGTAACCTATTTTCGTGCATATAAGGATTCGACACCTAATTTCGCCAAAGTTGAAAAAACGGAAAATTTGTTTATGTCTTAGATGTTTCCTTATATATTCTACAAAATAATTAAAATTGGTTTGTTTTGATTCCCTCATTTGACCCATATTTCATGAGTAACCAAATGCGTCACCTATTTTGTGTACAATGTTTGATCTATAAATAAGTCGAGAAAAACACGTTGTATGGATACCGAGTGGTATAATTAACTTCTCTTAGTATAACTAGTGACAATTCCTTCAGAAAACAATGATTAGGGGAAAAAAATTGTGACTGAAAAAATAAGATATGTAGCTTGATTTATTGCTGAAAGTCATTGAAACAACACAAGAATATGGCCCACATTGTCTTCCTTGCTTGAAACTACTGGATTCATTCTACTAGCTGAGTTTGTACAAATAACCCATGTTTATCAAAACAAGCCATTGAGGGGGTCACGCGAGGTCGCGAGGTAAATTATTAATCATTTCCGGTAATGTACGAAAAATAGGTTAGCACGAAATTAGGTTACTTGACTGTATATATATATAAAAAGCCTAAGTATCTATCCAAACTGAGTAGGCTTACTTATTTTCGCATGCTATGTACTTCTATTTTTGACATTTTTGTAGGCGTATCGTATATTGGAATGGCTTGTACTAATGGTAAAGTCTCCATAGTAGAAGATTATTATACGGGAAGGACAGGCCATATTGCAGCGCACGAATTAGGACATAAGTATGCTTTTTATTTCTAACTAAAGGGTTGGAATATCCGTCTAAAACGTCAATTACAAAAACTCCCAGTGGGATTCGAATCCATGTTATCAAACCAGTGGAGCACAAACCTCCCTTGAGGTTGAATTTGGACATTTCCTAGGCGTATCATATATTGGAAAATATATAGGTGACGCATTTTGCAGCCGTCGTCGAGTTACTCATGAAATATGGGTAAAGGTGAGGGATTCATGCAGAAAATCGAAACAAACTAATTTTAATTATTTCATAGAATATCTGAAGAAACATCTAACGCAGAATTTTTTTTCCGTTTTTTTTATTTTGACGAAATTCGGTGATTCCTTATTATATGCACGAATATAGGTTACACTGACGCCCAACTATACCTGTCTATGACGGGGATATAGTCTGGGAGTGTTCATCGAAATTTCGATTTTTCGAACAAAGAATTAAAATTCGAAGACATAGCCTAGTCATAATAAGCTTACTGAATTATTTTAATTGATTTTTTCCATCACCAAAACGGATGTGGATTTACAAAAGCGACTGTAGCCTTGGTCAATTACAAAGATATTCAGCAACTTGTCCAGACCCTCTTTCATCGAACCTTCCATCTCCGAATTTTGGGCGGATTGATCTCGTTTTTGGTTTGAATGTTCAGTATAGCTGAGATGGTCAGATAATTTTCAAATGAATTAGCGCGAAACAGCTGGGATTTGCAGGTACCATCGACTGTTTTGATGGAGAATTTGTACATTATAATCATAAGATGATGCTTGCAGATTTTGTTGATGATTGGACGATTTTCAGCAAATGAACACCAGGTAACATCTCGTGCACACATAACAGACTACTACCTATGAGGGATTGCTGTGGTTTTTTTAGTATGTTGTTTCAATACAAGATAAAGATGCTGCCCGTCAGTTTATGTGATAGTTTATCACTGATATTGACTGAGATTTATTTGAAATTGGCTATCATGTTTTTGCTACACTTGGTGTGACTAACTTTTTATTCTCTTTTCAGTTTAAACGCTATACATGATACTGGTCACAGAAAGAAGAAGTGTTATAATGGTGTAGGTTATATAATGACACCATTTTCCTACTTTCCAAGATTATTAAACAGAAGGAGTAGACCATTTCAATTTTCAGAATGTTCTGTAGATGAAATTGTCTTCTTTCTTTATGAAGAGTATGCATTTTTCATTAACAATTATTCTTTTTTTTATGGATTTATGCTGTGATTTCAAATATTGTAACGTAAATAGCGTTTTATGTTAATGAGATTACTTCGACTTTTCGAAACTTGCTGAAGGTTGCGACATGGGCGTATCTAGACTTGCTTTCTACTTCCAGCGATGATTCGAAATGTTTATTAGAAGATGATAATGGTTTCACAAGAAAATTAAAATCATACAAATCAGGCGAATCATTTAATGCAGATATTCAATGTAGAATGGCCATGGATGATCAAAACTCCTTCTTTTGTCGAGTGAGTATTTGTACATACGATTATTTGGGACCAAGATGTTCATACTGTATAAAGCAGTGCATTGATTTATCTGGCGTCTTAAAGACTCCGTCACACAACATCATTCTGGTCAACGTTCTCTGAACGTTCTAATCGTTCAATTTTCGAGAGTTCTAGGGTGAGGTGGACACATCTGGCATGTGATTAATGTGTGACAGCGACCAAGTAAGATACCAATGAAAACCATTAGCGTGTGGTGACGTGTCATCAGTTGTTCTTTTGAGATTGAACAGTGAACATCATGGCACGACGACGAAAAAAGGGTGTGGTGGGGGCTTCTGCTACTAGCGCTGCAAGTAAGAAAAATGCCAAGCTTTCTCCAGAAATGCCTTCGGACGAAGAAACACACCACGAGGAAGAGCCCATCCGAGATGTAACACACCATGTGACACGCCCTGAAGACCCTGACGACCCCAATGGAGTTCGTTCAGACCATGGCAAAGAGAGGGAAGAAGCAGAGGAAGGACTGCAGGATCTAAGACCGGGCGGTGGAGGATAGGGGTGATGTTGACGAATTTGCTTAAGGTCCTGTCACACTACGTCGTTCTCACCAACGTTCGAGTTACGTGTTGCGAAAAGTAAGACGAGCGTCGGCAAACGTTTGGGAACGTCTAGGGACGTCGGCGAACGCTGAGAGTGAAAAATGTTTTTGGATGTGCACAAAAATTCACGACGTTCTGTCAAATCGCTACTTACGCGTTAGAGGAACGTTAAACGAAAGTTGGCGGGCATTACTCGAACGTTACTCGAAAGTTAGGACGTTCCCTGGACGCTAGGCGGACGCCGGCCCGTCGAAAGTCTGTCCAGCGTCTCACCAACGTTTCTCAGTGTTCGCTGAGCATTATTAACGCTCATGTAACGCTCTTTAAACGTCTTCCTTACTTCTGTCAGCGTTCTGAATTTTTCCAGCGTCTGTGTAACGTCCTTGTAACGCACCTGTAACCTACTGGTAGCGTTCAGGAGCGTTTGGCAACCACTTGCCATATATAAGGGGCTTGCACTCCTTGCAGAGGCCACCGCCAGTCCTGTTGAAACTTTCACAGAGTGAAGACCCCAGAAGAATGACAGACGGAGAGAAACAAGATGTCCAGGCAGAGTCTAAGAAGAAAAGGAAGAGAAGAGGGGGAAAGTCCTTGGTGGATAGGAAGGCGTTAATGACAAGCTGATGGCTGAACTCAGAGCTGAAGACCAAGCCTCCTTCCACAACTTCCTGCGGATGCCACCAGAGATGATTGATGAGCTGAGACAGAGAGTTGGTCCCAGGATCACCAAAAAGGACGCTCGCTTTAGACCTGCCCTCGACCCTGGTATGAAGCTGACCCTATTTTGCGACACCTTGTCTCTGGTGCCATACTGGACGAGTACCTGGATGCTGACCTGCCCCAGTACGCCAGAAAGAGTGCCCGGAAGTTTCTGACAGATTCTATCAGAGGTGGATCTTTCCCATGTCCTGGGAGCTCTAAATAGCTGGAGAGGATTTTTCTAAGATTATGTAACTTGCATCCCATCCATTTGTATGATCAATAAAATGTGTTAAATCAAATAGCTAGCATGTGGCCATTAGATGTCCTGACAGTGGCTCTTTTCCATCGTGTTGGTGGATTATGACTAAAAGTTCGTGTTGCCAGAACTTGGAGGCCTGTGATCAACATCCGATGCCCAGATCGACAACTATAGTGAGCTGAAATATGGAGCTGAAGAAGACCTGCTTGGGTACCACAGCTTACACCTCACCTACAAGACACTACAGATGTTCCATACTTCTACATTGGAGATGACGCCTTTGCCCTGAGATCCTATATGATGGTGTATCACAGGAGGAGCTACAGACAGAGCCAGAGGGTTCGTGGAGAACGCCTTTGGGATCCCTGCCAACAAGTTCCAGGTGATTCTGGGCACTTTGCAGAACAAGCCAGAGACTGTCAAGCTGATAGTGATGACCTGCTTGGTCCTTTACAACCTGATGAGGGTTAGGTACCCAACGCTGCAGAACCAACAGCTGGACCAGCAAGCAAGTCCAGAAGAAGATTTTGTGTCTGGTGCCTGGCTTCAATCTGGAAGACACACAGGTTGTTGCAGACCCCAACACTTCTACCAAGGAAGCCAAGAAGCAGTGGAACACTGGGTGAACTCCTCGGCTAAGCTTTGCTGCTATTTCGACCGCAAATGTCGCCTGACACTGAGCGAACGCTTTACCCAAGCGTTACAAGAACGTTATAACAACGTTGACCTAGAAACTCAATTTGAAGAACGTTGACGTTCCCCAACATCCAACAAACAGGAACAGGAACTTTAGAACGTCAACCCACCTCAGCCCTGTCCGTGTCCTCCAGAGGAGGGCCAAGGAGAGCGGCGAGATGCTGACGATGCTGCGTCAACGAGAGGACCAACTATGCCTAGGGTACCGCAACTGTGAGGGAAGTTCCACTTTGTTATGAGCTGGTTGGAAGTTTCACGCCAGGCTTCAGGACTGCTTGGAGAGGTCATCACCTCATCCAGGTACTTGTCAACGATCGCCCAACATACTTCATGGACGAGGACGGAGATTGTGTTTGATGGATTGCGCCACCCAAACTTCATGTCAGCATACCTAGATACAGAGGCCAAGTCGCAGTGTCACCGCTAGTTTCAGGCCAGGTACGAGGGGCTCTCCGAAGAAGGTGTGCTGCTTCGTCAATCTGCCTCATCAAACATTTAAAGTAGCATGCGCAGTTAGTGAAGGAACTGGAGTCCTCCAGGCGAAGCTCAACCATGAGTTGGTCGTACAATCCAAACTCTTGGCGTCTCAATATCCATGATTTATCCCAGCGCTGTCGTCTTCTCTGCTGGCGATGTCCCTCGATGTGCTCAGCTACGTTCATGTTCAGTCAATCTACTTCATGCTGGACTATAGCAAATATAATAATATATACCTTCCAGTCTTTCTGAATCATCCATAGTGGGTGTTCTCTACGGTAGCCCAAAATCAACTGAACCCGGCTTAAAAAGCATCGGTTTATATACCCATATACATGGACGTTCGGGAAACGCTCAAATGATGATCATTGCACGCCGAATGATGTTCGTTTGACGTTAGTCACACGCTGCGTGCGATAGGGGTCCGTTCGGTGATTGTTGACAGGTCGCCAGTGAGTTGTTCACCGCAAAGCAAACGATTAATAACAACCAAGTAACGCTAGTGTAACGGCTGACAAACGATAGCCGAACGCGTGCAACGTTGGATAAACGTTAATGAAACATTCTAAGAACGTTCTTCAGAGTTCTCCAGCGTTTAAAATTACAGGTTGAAAAACGCTGGTCTCCATGAGAACTTTTGTGCATGATCAAAACTTTTTTCCGGACCAGCGTTCTCCGTCGATCACCGACGATTACCAGCGTTCACTAGCGTTCACGCAACGCTCTTCCGGCGCTTTCCCAGCGACAATGGACGATAAACAACTTTTCCTCAAACGTAATAGAACGCTGACCAGAACATAATGGTGTGACAGCCCCATAAAATGTATTCGCTTTCTTACTTACCGGTTGAGCTCTCAGCTGCTATTATGATTTTACAAATTGATATCAGATAGGTTTTTTTTTCAAAAATGTCAGATCGTTTTATACTTTCTCAAATGATATATTCATTTTAAAGTAAATGAATAAATCATTGTTTTTTGAGTGCCTTTTTTTTAAAGATTTTTATTCGGGTAGGCTTTTAGGTCAATTTTTCTGACACACTAATTTGCGAGTTTTCACGCCTTTAGATTTAATTACAGCCTATGTATTTTATATCATTATAGTATGAACAGAGTGTAAATTCTATAGATAAATTATGTATCAATCTACATTGTTATGATCCAGAAGAAGATGAATGTGTTTCTGGTTATATTGCATTAGATTATACAGTTTGTGGTGATAAAAAGGTGGGACAATAAAGAACAGCACTATTTCAAGTTATGATCTATTTTTATACGCCCACATGAAAATGTGGACGTATATTTCCGTCGCCCCTGTCCGTTGGTCCGTCGCTCCGTCGCTCCGTCAACATTTCTTGTAAACACAATAGAGACTACAGTTTTCAACTGATTTTAATGAAATTTGGTGTGATCATTTAAATTGATGAGATCTCTGTCAAGTTCGAATTTGACGTTCTTTCGGTGAACGGTGTTTGAGTTATTGCCCTTGACTTAGAAAAACTCGTCAAAATTTGTTGGTGAACAAAGACTACAGTTTTCAATTGATTTTATTGAAACATGGTGTGATCATGTATATTGATGCGATAATTTGATGTATTTGGGTTATTGATATTAATACTGTGTGTGAGTTTGTGTAATCATCCAAGGATGAAGCCTATGGAAACCAAAAAAATCGACAAATATTTAGCTTGAGTTATTGCCCTTGTTCTTAAAAACGCGTTCAAGTTTTAACCTGTAAACACCAGAAGGCCAACTCTTGACAGATATTGACGAAACTTGGTAATAGTATACAGTATCCCCATAAAAAGTTCAAAAGAAGTGTAAGACTGAAGGTTGAATATTTCATACTGTTAATTGTTACTGTATGCCAATTTTTGTTTATTCATATATCAAAGCTGCCGGTGGGCGTATATTACCTTGCCTGGCAAGCTATCATCTCTTTGTCAGGTCGGAGGGACTGACTTCGGTTGAGACAATAAACCGAGGCCCCATGTGATACTTGATGTGCACGTTAAAAATGGGCATCTTTAGAATTATCCTCATAACTAAATTCTGATTATTTCAGTGGTGTGTAAAGGGTCAATGTGTAGAAGATGACGAAGCACCATCACAATCAGGTTAGTCTATTGATAGCATGAAATCTTGTTTCTCCAAAAATATATAGTCATAAAACTAATTTTCTTATAAACCATTCCCACTTTGACATTCAAACTTTTCTAACCTTATCCAAGTATAAGATTTCAGGTAATGACTCTTAGCAATCATTCTGGATTCTATGATAAACTATATTTAGTATCGTTGGATCAAATTCATGACCTCAAAGTATATTTAACCGTTAGATGCATTATTATAAACTTTTCTGTAGCTAATTGTGTTTGTTTTAGAGAATTGTCCTCAAGGTGAATTAGTTAAAGCTAAATGTGATGTTAGAGATTGTTCGAGATATACTATAGAAGAGAAAGCTGATTGTTGTGAACAATGTAGATATGCTTTACCTAAACATGTTTGTGATACCGAGAGAAACCCGTACAAATGTTACTGGTGTCATGACAGACCCAGAAGAATGAGGAAACGTGAATGTGACAGATATCGTACAGATTAGAGTACTTACATGATGGATGAAGCAGAGCATTTTGAGGTTATAAACATTTCTCATAGAAAAACTAAAAATAGTATAGAAAAGAGCTATAACAAGCACAGTTTTCACTAAGCACTGAAGGTAGTCTCAGGTTGATCCTGCAACTGGCAGAATATGACATTTGGATTTTCTTTAATTTTCAACGACTGCCAACTATATCTTGCGATATCCGATCAACCGATCTGATCAACTTCTGGATTAAATGTGCATATCGACCACAGAAAAATCTCAGTTGCCACTAGTTGTCGTCGGTTGATCATTTTCACTTTCGAGCAAAAATTGCACATTGTCGTCGACCGGAGTAGTTGAAATCTGCCACTACCCATTTGATTTCAGTTGTTTGTAGTCAGTAAATTTTTCGACGCGAGCCCTTCGCCAATGTTGACAGGGACAAATCCGACTCTGATTGGCCAGTCGACTTGAGCTCACCGTCTCAAGTTTTTTATCTGTACGGTGGAGGCGTAAACGTGGTTCTTTTGTTAAATGAAATAACACGCCCTGAATTTCTACATCTTTCTGAACTTTCGTAATTTAACAGAAATTTAGGAGAGGTTTGGATGTCAAATATACATGCATAGTAGAAATTGTTCCAATGGTATTAAGGCAGGTTGGTACTTCGGTCATAAAGGCCTGAAAAAATAACACACACAATTTTCATAAATCAAAATTATAAGCTGTCTGATACTCAAAACACAAGATGGAGATAAAATATATAAAATATAACATTATCATTGATCCGATACATAAACGATAGGAAGCTATTATGTCAATCAATTAACTAAAAAGTACATATAATTGGCAGAAGAGGTGGCTTAAGTGAAAAAGTGTTTTACAAAGCTTATTTCGTTTCATCAGATCTTCAAACGATTATCACGAAAACAGATGTTTTATATGGGTTAACTTACACTAAATTTATCTGGAGTTGGATGTTCATATCGTTTTGAGTCGAGATCAGTTGTCATAGCCCACCCAAAACCATTAAGATCACCACCATTGTATAACAAAAATACGGGGAACATACTTTGGCAGGATAAATCTTCGCTCAAATCATACCAATAATGTAAACCTGGAAAACGAATTTGTACGTCTTTAATGATCACAGAAATACAAGAAGTATTCATGATTGAAAACCCAGACAAATGGAATCATTAGATATATCTCTACACTTGTTAGGGGTAGCTGTCTAAGATTGTCGTATAGAACAGTACCAACAATGTTCAATATGATATTGTGCATGATAGATCCTAAACAGCGTCAAACAATCCAGCTCAAGAAAAGGTTCACATTGTTTGTATATTCTAAGAGAATTCAAGGGAATTGGACCACCGTGCCACATTCCATAGCCCTACCCTAAATATTAGTAAATAATACTTTGAGCAAAGACATACCCATGCTAGGGAAACATTTCCCCTTTACCCATTTGGTATTCTGGAGATCATCTGGTTTCATGGGAATTTTTACCAGATCTTTCAGGGGATTCGTACTGTTTTGGAAATAAAGACCTGTTCCAGTGCCTTGTGTATCGAACTCGCTTTGTGATCTACCAGATTTACAAATAGTAGCTGAAATTGTATTTAGAAATATCTAATCAGACAACATAAAACATTTAACATGGGGTTACTTTGTACTTGAAATTATATGCTACTTACATGGTTCAACAAAGTAGGCAGTAAGGTAGTTGTAGTCACCTTCAGTGACAAATGGTGGTTTCTGACTAGGGAAGGGATAGCCATTTGCCTGTCCATTCTTCACCTACAAATAATGAAGAGTATACAAGAAAGGGTCCAAAAAAGCACTGAAGACTAATTTTGACGAAACAAAAACAAAAGCTCTCAGAATCAATACCAGAATCAATGGCTGAGGTTGTGAAGACGAAAGGGAAGGGTGTGATGAAGGTCCAATAAAAATATGGATACATTCGATTTAAAACAAATCAAACTACAAATTAATACCAATATTTATATTATTTACCCCAACTTGAAGACCAGCAATGAATCCCTGTGTATCGAAGATAAGAATTACTGCATTATCACCATTCTTAATATATCTATAGCCTTCAAACAGTCCTAAAAATTACAATTCAAAATATGTTTTCCTTTTAATCACTGAAATTCGTGTATCGTTTTCCTTTTTAAACGTATGCGGGTCCCGTATGGTTGCACAAGATAACTACATAAGTGTATACAGATTAACATGTTTGCTAGGACCTGAAGTCCTGGTTATGGCAAATAACTGTTCCACACCTTTAACATCATTACATGTTCATGTGTACGTCATTGTATTTGACCTTTGGTTTGGCTTATGGCAAATAATGCTAATATCGATTCCATGCAATAATGATATTCTAGACATAATGCATTATTCATATTGAACTAGATTCTGAAAGCCTATCATCTTTTAAGGGAGGCAACCATAAACATGACGGGCAGCTTATTTGGACATTCAAATTTTTAAAATACAATCTCTAGTACGATTAAGACTAAATTAAACATCACGTATTATACCTGAACATGTTTGAGAGAGTAGTTGATAACCATCTGACTTGGCATCAGCAACAGTTCTTGGTAAAGATGAAAATACATTTTTACTGAAAATATTCAAGCCCCATGTAACTGTAAAGGAAAAACACGAAACTTTAAGCTTACGAGGAGATCTCGGATATAGCTGGTGTTGATAATAATCTAATTTAATTCAAATATGAACTATTTCCCCTTAACATAATTCAAATTCAGTAGCCATTATTATCCAGACACCTATAGAATGGGATTCGAATTTTGGTATTAAGTCAGAATAATAGTTTTCCACATTTTTTTATTTTTAACATTTTGTCCAGAAATACCTACACTGTTACAATGGTACTCAAGTCAATAATTTCAATAAAAATGTCTATGATGCATAGATAAGCTATCGACCATTATCTAATATATTTTGTTCTTTAATTAAATCATAACACAAACCTTTCAAACCATTCCATTTGGCTAGAAAAGAAAAGAAATATCATTCATTATGCATTTGTCTACGGAAATCTAGAATTAATAGTACCTGAAATGAAATGAAATGAAATGAATGGAGTTTTACGTCCTACTCTTCTGCACCTTGTTAATAATACCTGAGTTAATTTACGGAAGATATGAATTTTGTGAATAACCTATAGAAAGTACTAAAGTTACAGTGGTTGAAATGGACCTCTATATCACCTAGATTCCATTGATCAGACTCTACGTGTTTTAAATATGCTATTTCATTGAATGGAATGGGAACAAAGAGTTTAAAAATCTGCTATAAAAAAAATATGACAAACCTGATTTACCAAACAAGAAGGCTGAAGTGACACCCACTAGAAGCAGTGAAAGAAACTGACCACGCATTGCAGCTCAAAGTTAGTAAATGGAAGACATATAATAAAAGAACGCAGTGACTTCTAGTCTAAGATAAGATTAGAAGTTCATATAAATATTTTGTTTAGCCTTAATCTTGTGATTTGTGTATTATCATATTCACGATGATTTGGCATTTTCTGGAATTTACAATAAACTTTATACCAATCCTAATTCTATTGATTATATTCATTGAACGAATTAAAAATTTAAAATAACTTACAATGCAAAATTCTTTAATTCTATCTCTGCTGCTACGGAATGTTTATAGGATAAATATATCCATCGAAAATATAGTAGGCCTAATAATATGATTGAATGAAAACGTCAGATCTGCAATGCGTACATGTATTAAAGAAAACACAGTAACTCCTGGAGTTAAAAATGCTATACATTACCTCCAAACCAATTGAAGAGAAAACCTTCACAACACACTACCAAAAATAATACGAGAATAACAGATAGCTTCATCTTCAGACACTAATTTTAAACTTGAACGCAAAGTCTTGTGATTATATAATTCAGGTCTGTGTGTTTCCAAACAAAAACAGATGGTTTTATAACAGATGAATAAACTAGTATATTGACTCAGTGAGTAACATAAATGTGTTCCAAGCCTTTTTTACGTGCTGTTTTCTCAATTAAGTATTTAAATGGAGTTTAAACACCGGTACACTAAAGTAAATTGATCTACTTTTTAATAACAAAGAAAATGCTTGTAAAATTTGTATTATAACCTACCAGATATTGTTCAAACTCGCACAACTTAAACCAATATCATCACACTGTATACTGTTCTATGATGACATAAACTATACATAAAAACCAAACCCTATGTCAAATTTTAATTTCAACCTTCAATTAGAATATTTGAATAAGTGGTCATGCTCAATTAAAGCTCTGTGAATCAATCTCTCGACAAATTTAAGGCAAATGCTAAAATGTTTACAAAAATGACACTAGCTAGATATATCTCATTTGAACATCTATCTATCTATAACCATTCAATAAATTAAGATCATTTGTTGAAATACAGATTATGGCTAAGATCACAATTAGTGTTAGAGTGAGATGAGAATACTATTCTCAAAAAAGCGCTGACATAGGTTGTGAAATAGGAAACAAATCAAAGGATGACATAGTGTAAACAACAGTATAATGTAGTTATAATTAATAAAGTGTATACTGAAAGATGAGGTTTGACAAAGATAAAATTAATTATGAAATTAGTTGATATAAAAAGTGATAATATGGAAAGATTTGATACAAAAGTAAATACAGCTATGGGTTTGGAAAAATGCTTTATAGTGGTTCAAGTTTGCCATATATAGACTAAATGATTGCTGAGATTTTTATTCTTCTTGAACGCAGTCACAATTCTTTTAGTATAAAAAAGCAAAACTTTATAGTGTTTTGACAGATTTGTCGCACTATGATTATACATAGTAATGAATGACATTTTTGGTTATTGAGCTAAGATGTAGACCATTCGGTTTTACTGGTTCATCCAATAACTCATCTATGTTTTGGTTTAATGTTAATAGTCGGCGCAACAGGCTCGATAGGTATAATTATTAAGTATCAATGGAGTGGTCGGTGAAGTTAAAGTGATTCGCAATCTGTCTGTGTTTGTCATGTTTGTGCGAGAGTCAGCCTTGAATCTACTTCCTATATCAAGAGAAACGACCATTTTTTCCCAAACTATAATTTGAATGAAAATCCACGTCCAGTTAAAACCTTGTTAAACAAACTCAGACTGTCAGTACTGTATAGATTATGACATGTTTAATGATCAAACATTTTAAACTTGCCGAAAATTATCTAATATTATGAAATTATTTAGGAAATGATAATAATTCTAGCAACTAATAGATCGGTGGTTCCCAACTGTTTCCAGCCTTCACACCCTTGGAGCAATCACCTGGACCTTTCACATCACCCCAAATTTGTTTCATCCACATTTCCAGCATGTGTTGATGTGAGGTGCTCTCTCAGTTCGAAATAAATTCTTCTCCTACACCAGTTGGCCACACCCATGACACCCTAGTCCCACACCCCCAGGGAGTGAAAACATCCCAGGATGGGAACCGGGGTAATAGATTGTGCATCTCAATGACGTATTGGTTCATACAAAACTATACGTATGGTTCTTACGTAGAAATAACACACACGCACGCACAAACATTTTGAATCACTTCGCCGACTTAATAAGTAGAATTTTGAAAAAAGCTTTAATATTTCAACTAAACCTTGAAAGCAAATGGCTTTAAATGTGATTTGAAGGAATTGTTGATATATTAAAAATGTTATATCAACATTATTTTATATGATTCTGAACTTTTAAGAACTGAAGTGTTGACCTAATTTGACTATACTGTCATACCATTGAATCTGTTAATTGTTGTGAAAGAAAGGTAAAAAATAGATAAAATACACGGTTATTAGTTATGTTTACCTACTCGCAGAATGCATAAGATGCAAATTCTTGAGTATATATGTCTCACACGCTACAATATTTGCTTAGATGATGAGCTTAAAGAGAAACTCTCTGCAATTTCAATTAACACCTAAAACATTTTTCATTTTTGATTGCGTCCAGACCACATCAAAGAAATCTATTTACCGGAGTGAAATATTGGAATAGCCTCACTGGAGTATAAATGAAATGTCATACTAGTATACAATTCTATCTATGGTAGTTGTAAAGTAACACATTTTAAAAGAATGACAGACAATTTTTATAATCTATTTAATCAGAAGGACATGACAGGTAAATCATATTTTTTTGGCTATAAAGATAAGACCAGAAGACGAAGTTGGTAGTAGATACAATGATGATTGCAATTCAAGTCATACTTGTGCTAACCTTCGTGGTAACATTGGCAAATGGTTTTATATTTGGAAAAAATGGTAAAGAAACTTGTTTACTTAAAAGTCTTCGTCATTGTCTAAACATACTGAGACACTAAGACACCAGAACTAGATCTTATCCGAGTTAGAGTCTCTCAAATATAGTTTATACTGTTCTACTTGGGTATCATCATTGTTTAAGTTAACTGAAATTGAATGTTTTTCGGTCCCCACCATTTAGGCTATGGATAAAAAATACTCAGACGCCATATGCCCCCTCTTCTTTGAACTGTGATTGTTATGGTACTGTTCTATTTCTATTTTTTTCAGCAAAATGGGATGGGCTAAAGGGTAAGTATTGTATCTTTAAGCTGAAACTTTATAAGAAAAGGGTGAAACATATGATTTGTTGAAACAATAGTACAGTTTTAGTGAAAAACCGCATCATATCCCTTCATTTAAACAAATGTAACTCGTTTTGCGTTCTAGATATAAGGCTCAGAATATGAAAAATTATGTCATAATAATCATCGTGCCCATGTATTCGTTATTTTGCTTAATCATGTCCGAGATGTGAGGTTAAATAGAACAGAAAACAGATTTTTTTTATTATTTTCAGTGACATTTGGTGCACCTTTTTCTGGAAATAGTTTTTCCTCACTACCAAGATCAGTACATGATGCTCATAAAGATGGTTTCAAAAAAATATCTGGGTGTGATAGTAAGTTAATTATAGCATTAAATTGAATTATTAGGAGGCCAGTGATTAGTAAAATGTAAGTTTTAGATGAAAGCCTTATTCTTGTCAAATTCAATGGTTGGTGAGTTATTGACTCGTCAAATTTCGGACATTTAAATCGATCGTGTATGATACTGTATTTCGTTTTCCAGATAGCTCACCTTTCAGAGGTGAAAGATATGTTAAAGATGGAGACTATGCTGTTGTCTTGTTATTTGATAAAAATGGTTATATTGCTGGTATTCAGGCAGGGGTAAGAGACATATGAAACTATGTGTCGTTCTCTTAGATTTCAGACTAATTCTGGTTCGCGTTGTTTCGTACATGGTGGGTAATAATGATCATGTATGACAACAAGTTGAATTTCAGAATTCCAGTATCAGATATGCATACAGAATATTAACACTTCTCCTTCCTTTAGAATACATATGAGTAACTGCCTGTTAACATGAAAAGTTTCTCTGACGACAATAATCTATTTATAAACATATCATAGTACGTAATACGTTATACTATAATACTATAGTACGTAATACGTTATACTATAATACTATAGTCTCAATAGAAACAAAAATCAGCTCTTATAGGAATTAGCTCTGATGGGAATTGATCCAAACTAACCTAACTCAATTTTAATCAGGTGAAGGTGAATGGTTACCCATTTAAAGAGATAACACCACCATTTACAAAAGATGGAGACCGCTACTTCATGACAGCTTATTTTACAAATCCATGTAAGACTTACATTCAGTGTTAATGATAAAGCATAATCGGCTTTTTCAGATTGATGCCGATTAATACTACCCATTTCAAGTAGACAACTAAACTGAAAAATAGCTTTTTTGCAGGCATAATATGAATCTTTGTTCATCAGTGGACTTACCTAGTGTCAAAACTGCAGTAAACAGAATCCCTCTATAATTCAATCAATCCATAAAACTAAGTAATAATCTATTAAACAAAGTAATTTTGAAACATGCTTAGGAGCGTGTTTCAATTATTATTTAGTTTATTAAATATATCATATGATACGGGGATTCTATTCTTTAGTTATGGCACCTGGTAAGTTCAACTGTTGAATATATAGCCTACTCTTGTTGACAAAGTTTCAGACTTTAAATTTTAGGTCCATTCAGATTCTATCAGGTAGTAATCCTTTAAGATACAGCCTAACAAATCACATTGAATTTGCGCTTGACTGCTCAACTATCACGACCCAAAATTGGACAAGAAAGAGAGGAAATCTTATAAGCACAATGGTTTCACACCCTTTGATAGGAACGAAAGAAAGAAACAACTATATTTTACAAGGATAACAACTTATCAGGTTGGCCAAACCTCTAGGTATTGATCTTTCCCGAATTCTTTACCCATTGACCGGTTGGTTGACTGGAATTATAAGTGAAGATGACTGTTTAAAAGTCAGACATTATTTGTTGAGAGGTGCCTTCTTTTTTAGCAACTATATGCAGTACGGGGAGATCACAATCAAGGTTTAATGCAGAAGGAACAGGAAATGAACTGTATATACAAAACGGGCCAAATCCCTCTCATAACCTGCTGAAAATCCCTCACGAACAAACTGCTCTTGCTGGAACCAAATGGACAAAGGGGAAATGTTTCCCTGCTATGGGTTTGTAAATTATTAACCATTATAGTTATTAAACACGTATTTAGAATGCACATATATGGTTTTAAGTTAATTTAACATATTCTCTTTTCAAAAAACTGTTTTTTATTACTTTCACTGCCTAAATTAATGGTTTTATAGTATTCCATTTACCATTTAAACTATCGATTATGGAATAAAAATGACGTTTATACTGTTTTTATTGCATTTTCGATACCTTTAGTTCTTTTTGTGTTTAAAATTTATGGATATTTTAAACATAGTTCAATTGAAATGACCTTAAATCATTTTAGGCATGCACTATTGGTATGATCTACATACGGACTCCGACTGTCATAAGATGTTTCCAGTGTTTCTATTATACAATGGTGGAAAATTAAATGCATTTGGATGGGCAATGATTGCTGACTTAAAATCTCCAAGATATGAACATCCTGGACAATCAACATTTACGGTAAGCTTGTGGGATACCTTGGATTGGTATTTTCAATGGCTGGTCCGTGTCTATCCTTACACTTACTCCAAGGCAAGGCTTTTTGCAATGTTTTTCTCGATTGTTTTAGTTTTAAATGCTCGAAGATATTTTGTTAAAGCTATCCTTTTATATTACAGGCATTTATGAATGAGGTACCAACTTGTTTGAGATCTGCACCAAAATTATCAACTATGCATATCTACCTTACTAATAACCCAGCTTTAGATTTATGTTAATAAATTTACCAGTACTATTTATATTGGGTAACAGATTACCTAATATGTCGTGATGAAGAACTGCGTTTTACTAACACTCTCACCTCCACAATTATTGTTCCCATTGTAATGTAACAAGGTATCTACCACAGTCGCATTTTAGTGACGGTATATCCAACCAATCCAAGCGTTCCATGTAGAACAGTAGAAACTGTTTTATGATAACAATGATGAATGATGGTATAGCGAAACCCAAAATAGTACGATACAACCTATTCGGGTTTCTCTATCCAATATTCATTATGTTATCAAGAAATAATTAGAATAATAGACACTACCTTTGCCTTCTTTTGAAGACGAGACGTAGCCACTGCATAAACATTCAAGGAAACTTCAAGGATTTGTTTTAAAACGTGACAGAGACCAAACAGCGGTTGAAGCAGTGAAAACCTTTGACTTCCCGAATGGTTCTACATTACACAATCAGCATAAGCTGATCTGACAAAAGTATCAGAAAATATTGAATTTAATCAAGTTGCATTGCTGTGGCATACTTCCATGTGGACGTAGAAAACTCAAGACAAATGATTACAGATTTTATTGGCAGAAAAAAATAATGACATGGATGAATAAAGAAACAAAACAGATAAAATTGTGTGACAGTTATAGTGATTACAATTTTTTATCATGTGATGTATATGAAGAAAGTCAAATTACGAAATCAAGAACACACCACATCAAAACAATCCATAATAAAACATTTGAAATTATCGGTTATGTATCAAAAATCCTTGTGAAAAAACAGTCATGTTATAAGTAGTCCAGGATGATATATATAAGATAAAAGCTCTCTACATTTATAAATTGATTATGTTTCAAGAGAAATAAGGGAAACTATTGCCTACTTAAATGTCTATTCAAAATAATGTTTATCAAAAAACAGAAATTTGTGTTCTGACTTAAACTTTATGTTACATCCATTTGAAATATTGTCAGTGATCAGTATATGATCAACATAAATAAATAGATGTAAATCAAACAGTGTGTCAGTGTAATATGAAAATCTGTTCATCTATTTCTTCTATATTTCCAGAACTACAAGCTCACTAATAAATGACATCATATTGAAAATGAATAATAACAATAACTAGACATAAATGACCAATATAAATATTGCAAAAGGTCAAAATTTAAGATTTTATAATCTCAAAACTGATTAAAATAATAAATTCATTAAAAATGCAAATCTTTTAATTTACAAAATGATTTGTTTTATATGACCACAGTTATATCAGATGAGTATTCAGTAATATCATTTGCTGATAAAAATGAAACCAAATTATTTATATGTTAATCCAATCTCAGTAAATCTCTGAGTAAATATTATAATACAATCTGTCTTTGTTGCTTCAGTAACTTATTTATACAAATGTCTTTCTAAGAATAACAATTTTTTTACTATAAAGATAGATTTAACAATATTTAATATCAATAACAAAGATCCAAATAAAAAAATTATCAATGTGCTTCGTGTAGTATATAACAATTCTTAATTAAATGCCAAGGAAAATACAGTCACTGAAAAAGGGAAAATAAGAATGCAGAATGCAGTTAAATAATTATACAAATTATTGACATGGTGTAGTCAGAATTTTCCTAAATTATAACATAACAATTTTTGTAAAAAATTTTATTTAATCAAAAATTAACTGAATCAAGAATCAACAAAACAAGAAAGTGATATTATTATCATAAAAACACCGGCCAAGGTCCCAAACTAAAGATTCATCAGTTATAATAGTTAATAGAAAGAGTAACACTTGTTTGATAGAAAGTTGGAAGCTCTTCATTATTTCCTGATAGTATTTATTTTCTTGAAAACTAGAATTTAGTTCAATATATTGTTCTGCAGAACTGGTCAAAGATATTTTTATTTTAGCACATCCAGGTCTGTTCAAAACAAAAACAACTAAAATTTGATGTAGAATAACTAGGGTATTGAAACTGAAAGTGTGACTTCTGTTGTGGCAATTACTACTTACACTTTCTAAAACTGAAGTGGACTGCATGTGTTTATGTTTTGCATGACAATATGGAATGAAAAAAACTGAGAGATCAATTTTTATGAAAATAAGTGGGACAATAATGAAATAAAAATAAAAACGAATAAACTCAACCCTGTCATTCCTTACTAAAGTTTTAAAAAAACCTTCAGTTTTACAACCAAAAAAACAAGAATTACACCTAAATTATTTACAATATGTACAAAATGTAGTTTTCTCCTGGAATGATACATTGTAATATCAAGGGCTTACAGTCAGAAATCTCAGAACCTTTATTAAATCTGGTAGATATTGGAAATTTATGTATTTATATCTAACTTATTAACTTTAAAGTTGTAATGTGCCCAAATGATTGCAATAGTTAACAAGTGATAAGAAAATGTCCCACACCATTATTCTATAGTCCCACTAATATTGCAGGTATAGTAATTGTTTGGTTCACATTTAACTTAAACCTAAATTAAATTCAATAACAAGTCTATTCCTACAGAGGCCAGATTTTATTTCTCCAAAAAACCTGAAAATTGCAACATTCCATTTTTGGAATCTAAAAAAGTCCTAATAGCTCTACAAACTATAGAGTCAGACTAAACAATTCCTACTAAGGTTCAATGCTTTAGACAGATTAAAATTGTTAGAAATATGACCAAGCAAGATTAAATCATGAGATTAGACATATGTTATATTATTACTAAGAATGTAAGTCATTTTCTATATTCAAAACTGATAACTTCACAGCTGCCACAATTTACTGATTAGAATATTATCTTATCTTAAACAGTTTGATTGTCATTTGATTAATAACATCAAAACTTTAATAGAGAGCTGAACAATTGGGAATATTCCAATCAATAAATTAGTTCTCAAAGCAGATATGAATTTATAGAATTTCTAGTTTCAAATTCTATTTTAAAATAATTTAAATCCTTCATAGCCTACATTATTCACATATGAACTTCAAAGAGATATATATTTAATAGTATTCTTCTGATTCAAATTATGATCAGAATAGTTCATTTATAATAATTCAACTGCACCTGTGTCATCATCTTGCCACTAAAATTGAGAATGAAAAAAATAAATTTAAAACAAAAGAATACCTTGAAAACTAGACTAGAAAATCTTATTTTTTCTAAAATGCCTTTGATGCTACATAGAATTAACTATGATATTGTTATTTTACCAATAATCAATATAAATATACACTCAATATGACACTCTAATAAAAAGATATGGCTATATTCTATAAAGGTAGTATTGGTTCTAACAATCTAATAACATGTACTCATCAAATTACTGCAAAAAACTTCTTTAAAGTGAAAGAATGCCTTGAGAGAATAGCAGTTCAATCAAGCAGTTGAACTTTGATGTTGTATAGAATAAATTATGTTCAATGTAATTTTACCAATAATCAAAAAAATTGTGAAAAAAAAGGAAGAGAATTCTTATTCATAAAGTTGATGATATAAAATAAAACAGTAAACTTGTTTGTCCCGAGATTTGTACATAAACAAAAAATTCTCACTGTTAAAATAGTGCTTTATACATAAATTGTGGAGCGATATAAAAATACATAAGATGCTTAATAGCTTAAATGCAATGAAAAGAGGTTATCTTGGTTAGTTGATTTCTGTCTTATTTAAACAAACAATTTCTTTAATACCACAACAAAACAAACATCATTTAGTTTTAGAGGTCACATAAATAGCTTAAATTCAGTTCTATCCACTAGTAAAGCAAACAATTATAGAACAATGTTTCCTTCATCTTTGGAAGAATGATATTATATCTGTATTTTCTCTACTATCATTGTTAAAACAATAGAGAAATTCACCCCACACGAAATACCTAATACCAGAAATAGTGCCATCATCATTCCAGCAGTTCCAGCATACTCAGGTGCGACCAATCTGAAACAGACAATTTAAAAAACATTACATGTATATCTTCATTCCAACAAGGATTGTTTTAAATAACAGCAATAAGACTGACTTTACACCCATTTACTAATTTGCTGTCTAAGATACTTGGATTTCACAAGAAATATCATACTAGTAATCCGGTAATCCGGAAAAAAATTTAAAATGAAAAAACAAACATAGTGGACCACAGCCATATAGGCCCACCACCGCTTGCAGATGGTAAAAACGAAACATCCATTTTAAGTTTCATCAAAATCGGTTGAAAACTAATAGAGTAATAGCATATTCAAGATTTTGAGGCAAGGGCAATAACTCTGCTTCACATAGAGAGATGAGGACGTATAAAAATTACCCTCATTTTTTTCGAAATCCCTACATCCATGTTACATGGGAAAGGCTGTTGAAAGGTTTACATGTAATTATCATTCAACAAAAATGCAGTAACAGTAAAGAATCCTGACCATGATACATCTCTGTATGTATATATAGTTAACGGTTTGCAAATATTACAATATTAAAAACATTTATCAATTGATAGCTACTCACTTTGGTGCATACATCATAACCAAACTACTATAATATCCACTTGTAAATGCCATTAAAGCTGCTGTGACTATATAGACATAATCATTAGGTATATAGACTGGTATACCACGGATGGTACCACGTGGTAAGTAATTACATAACAAAAATATGGGAATAAATATCAGTACACGCAGTAAAACTGGTATCCACACAAATCTTGGACCAGGCTACAAATAAAAGGAAGGAAAATGGAGTTCAATATTCACTATATATAATGATTAATTATTAAATTTCATGCTAACTTCACTAAAGCAATTACAGTTTGTCCAAATAGGCTCCCTGCAATTTTATTCAATTTTGGAGAGTTCTATACTTGTTAATAGTTTGATCTTGTAGTTCAAATCAGATTCCAAAGTAAAGTAAGAATCTTACTCTCAACTATACACATAATAAGTATGTAACAACTTACAAATTTGATGAATTCTGTAACAAAATTTCCCAACATGGCAAAGAAATTGAAGTTCAAGAAACAGAATATGGGTGCCCAATACGCATCTGAAATTACATTACAAGTTAAGGGAATATCATACTTTTATACATCAATCATTATCCATCAAAAAGACATTTATACAGTATAAGATAATGAGGTTTTGTTTTCTCACAATTAAAGGGAGAAAGAGAGTTACTTTTGAAAAAACTACTTGTGAGCATATAAAGAATCCATAAAGATTTGTTGCTTAAAGACTAAGTTGGAAATGACACAAAATAAAAAGCAAAATAATCTGTAAAGAATTGCAGCCTGCAGAGTGAGCACAAGCCAAATGTGAACGGACCGACTGACGGGGCAGTTACAATATACACCCAAACTATTTGTGTGGGCATATAAAAAAGCATCTTATTTTACTAAGAGCCCTTGAAGTATCCTTACCACTGATAGGGAAGTTTATTCTACGTATGTCACTCTGTATAGCTGGAAATAATGCCAGGGTGACAAAAAATACAAACCATACACAAAATACCATTACCCATATCTATAAATAAATGTCAAAAAATCAGTTATCTTATGATTCAGTTACTAAAAATATTCTCTTAATATATAAATTCTATTGACAATCTCAGAAAAAAAGAATTTATATGAATTAATTTGAAGGTGGAATTTGATCCATTCCTCAAGCAGAATCAATTACATCTGAGGAGAGAAAAAGAAATGGTACTCTTCTGCACATAATTGGGCTAATGAAGACACTCTAACCATGTCAGCCCCTTCGACATGCATTCGAAGGTATTTTTAGAGAACGCAAGAAAGTGTCCAACTCACTGAGCTACCGTTGCTCCAATCTGAGGATCAGGATCAAAAATTTTCACTTTAAGGGTCCATAATTTACAACTCTGTGAAAAGTATGAGAGACAATTGTTATTATGAGCTATTTTTATCATATTAATTCTACCCATCAAGTTATTCATACTCACCTTTTTAAACACAAACCAATACCGTTTCAATCCTGTCAAACATGTCTCATCACCCTTTTCTGTAATAGCTGCCTGTTTTAACTCAACGATAGTGCAGAAATGACGATAGAATTTCTAAAAAATAAAAATAAATTACGATCTGAAAATATTACTATTGAACTTACTGTAAAAGGAGAATATAGTACAATCTGAAAACATTACTATTGAACTTATTGTTAGAGGTAGAATATAGTACAATCTAAAAACATTACTATTGAAGTTATTGTAAAAGGTAGAAAACATTACTATTGATTTTATTGTAAGAGGTAGAAAACAATACTATTGAACTTATTGTAAGAGGTAGAAAACATTACTATTGAAATTACTATAAGTGGCAGAAATCATTACTATTGAGCTTACTGTAACAGGAAGAATATAGCACAATTTGACAACAGTACTATTGAACTTACTATAAGAGGTAGAAAATATTACAAATGTACTTACTGTACTTGGTAGAAAATATTACAATTTTATTGAACTTACTATAAGAGGTAGAAAATATCACAAATGTACTTACTGTACTTGGTAGAAAATATTACAATTTTATTGAACTTACTGTAGGAGGAAGAAAATAAACTTACTGTACTAGGTAAAAAATTTAATTGAACTTACTGTAAGCGGTAGAAAATGTTACAATTTTATTGAACTTACTGTAAGAGGTAGAAAATGTTACAATTTTATTGAACTTATAGTCAGAGTTTTATAAAAGAAAATATTATGTAGAAAATATTACAATTTTATTGAACTTACTGTAAAAGGTAAAAAATGTTACAATTTTATTGAACTTACTTTACTAGGTAGAAAATATTACAAATTTATTAAACTTACTGTAAGAGGTAGAAAATGTAACAATTTTATTGAACTTATTTTACTAGGTAGAAAATGTTACAAATTTATTGAACTTACTTTACTAGGTAGAAAATATTACAAATTTATCAAACTTACTGTAAGAGGTAGAAAATGTAACAATTTTATTGAACTTATTTTACTAGGTAGAAAATGTTACAATTTTATTGAACCTATTTTACTAGGTAGAAAATGTTACAATTTTATTGAACTTATTTTACTAGGTAGAAAATGTTACAATTTTATTGAACTTATTTTACTAGGTAGAAAATATTACAAATTTTATTGAACTTATAGTCAGAGGTAGAAAATGTTACAATTTTATTGAACTTACTGTAAGAGGTAGAAAATGTTATAATTTTATTGAACTTACTGTAAGAGGTAGAAAATATTACAATTTTATTGAACTCACTGTAAGAGGTAGAAAATATTACAATTTTATTGAACTTGCTGTAAGAGGTAGAAAATGTTACAATTTTATTGAACTTACTTAACGAGGTAGAAAATATTACAAAACTATTGAACTTACTGTAAGAGGTGGAAAATGTTACAATTTTATTGAACTTACCTTACTAGGTAGAAAATATTACAATTTTATTGAACTTATTGTAGTAGGAAGAAAATAAACTTACTGTAATATGTAGAAATTTTATTGAACTTACTGTAAGAGGTAGAAAATATTACAATTTTATTGAACTTATTTTACTAGGTAGAAAATATTACAATTTTATTGAACTTACTGTAAGAGGTAGAAAATGTTACAATTTTATTGAACTTACTGTAAGAGGTAGAAAATATTACAATTTTATTGAATTTACTGTAAGAGGTAGAAAATGTTACAATTTTATTGAACTTATTTTACTAGGTAGAAAATATTACAATTTTATTGAACTTACTGTAAGAGGTAGAAAATGTTACAATTTTATTGAACTTACTGTAAGAGGTAGAAAATATTACAATTTTATTGAATTTACTGTAAGAGGTAGAAAATGTTACAATTTTATTGAACTTACTGTAAGAGGTAGAAAAAATTACAATTTTATTGAACTTACTGTAAGAGGTAGAATAAAGTAAGCGTCAAAAGCAACCAACAGAATAACAATAGCAGCAACAAAGTAATAAATAGCAGCGGTTCTGATATTTGGTGCTCCTGTAAAATAATGTATAAAATTACATTAATAAAAAAACACTTTTCCTACTTTCATTAAACTATGTATGTTGGTTACTTTAGTAATGTCTTCTAATAAAGCTATTTGCTAGATAAAAATCACTGTTTGAAATGAATAAATGACTTAATTATGCCGAATGTGGACAGTTTCACACATGTCTAATATGAAACTAACAAGAAGTGTAAGATATCGAATTGATTAGCAACTAAATGAAGTTTTACCTGATATTGAGATAATATTAATGACAGCAATTAAAGTTCCTGAGAAATTCTGGAATATAAGGAAATTAATAGTTATGTAAGTTGTCAATATCTAAATTAACAAGAAGCAGCTTTAAAATTAATGTCTATAAAATATTTATAAATATATGAAATCTTAGATACTTACATTTCCGAAGACAATAGCATTAGTGTATTTCATGGGTAGAATAGCAGCTAATCCATACATACTGTTCTGATAAACTCCAGCAGCCACTGTAATATAAGTACAATTTGATGCAATGATCAACACAAATAACAATAGGGTGAACCCTTTATAACTGAAGAAGGAAATTACTATTAGGCTCATTATTGGGCAAATAATGCTTGTTTACACAACACATTGTTCATGATAAAACATAATCAATTGACATGTAAAATGGTTAAAATATCAAATATTAGTTTTACAATATTTTATTGTTATCCTTGATTTCATTTACTTTAATAACATTTGAATATTACTTACTATTGAGTATTACAACCGATATCATAGTCACAATAAAGAAGACAGATTGCCCTGAAATATAAGATTATTCAAATCACTTTTGTTTTTTCACAACAAAATCAAAAAAAGAGACAATTTTACTTTCAAGTACAATTCCTATTGTCTTAAATAATGTATAATGTAAGAGGGGAAGTTTGCCAGGACAGAATGGTATAAATTTTTCCATCATGAAATTCAAAGGATCTAATGTGAACAGACTGAAGCACACACAGGATCCTACAGAAGCGTATTATGGCCATTCATTTTTTTGTTGTTGAAATTTTCAAGTTAGTATGTTGAATTTTCAAGTTAGTAACTTGAATTTTCAAGCTAGTGTGTTGAATTTCCAAGTAAGTATTTAGAATTTTCAAGCTAGTGTGTTGAATTTTCAAGCGAGTATGTTGAATTTTCAAGTTAGTATGTTGAATTTTCAAGTTAGTATGTTGAATTTTCAAGTTAGTATGTTGAATTTAGTAACTTGAATTTTCAAGTTAGTATGTTGAATTTTCAAGTTAGTATGTTGAATTTAGTAACTTGAATTTTCAAGTTAGTAACTTGAATTTTCAAGTTAGTAACAACTTGAATTTTCAAGTTAGTATGTTGAATTTTCAAGATAGTATGTTGAACTTTCAAGCTAGTAAGTTGAATTTTCAAGTTAGTATGTGTTAGTATTTTGAAGAATACGCTTCAGTAGGATCAGTGGCGGAGCCAGGTTAACGTCCCAGGGGGGCGAGATATCTGAGGTTGCCCGAATTTCTAACTTAGTTATGAGAGTTTTGCAAACTCTTCGAGAGAAACATTATTGTTATTGGCAGAGTATTTTCACTCTTTCTAAAACACATGATACTACCCCCCTTAGGAGACCCACAAGTATTCAGTTTAATTTATGGGATGTACTGTTTTCACCCGATGTTGGGATTGAGATTTGGAATGTTATGTTTGTATGGATTTTATTATTTCGATTTTTTTTTTTTTTTTTTAATTTCAATTATCATAGTTATCAACTTAAGTCATACATAGCTTTTCTCCTTTTTTTCATCATTGAAAGTGTCTGAATGACTTTGTCGAAATCAACGTCTTTGGCAAAATTCCTTTCTATATTTATCAAAGATAAATTTGAGAGCCTGTCTTCAGCCATTGTTGATCTCAGATAATTTTTTATTAGTTTCAATCTACTAAAGCTTCTCTCACTGGTAGCACTGGATACAATATCCTGTCATACAATATTTATTGAAAAAAATTGAAATATGTGCCCAAATTGCCTTTTTTTGGTTGTGTAAAAAAAAGTTCTAAACTCTTTCGGGCTGCGATTTCAATTTTTGAAATATGTAAAATATAATCATACGAATGACATTCAGGCAGTGATTTCGATCCTTAAATAATATGAATTATAAAATATTATTGTAGGAGAATACAATCGGGCTATCAATTTAAAAAAATACAGTTATAGTATAGGATATTTGGGCAAAGATATGATTTCATTTTTAAATTAAAAAAAAAACCCATAAAATCAGGCCGTTCAAAGAAAAATTTTTTTTTAATGCCTTGCCCAAAAAACTAGCCTTCTGGGCTACGAGGGGCTCTGCCACTGTGTAGGATCCATAGGAACAACCTGATACTTTTATGTCTTGTTAGAAAAACTTTATCCTTTGACGTGATTGATTCATAATAAGACAACCAAAGTGTGTTTTTAAGAGGTTGAACAAATCATTCCATTGCTGAGCATTCACATGAGATAACCAATTCAAGGAAAATTTGGTAACATCTCATTATTCAATTATATCATTTCTAAAGTGAACAAATACCAAGGTTCTTAGTGTGCTAATATCAGCTTATATCTCATTACATATAAAAAATAGTTAGTAAGACTTACAATCTGAAGAATCAATCATTGCTAAAGAAGCTGTCACTATAAAAATTATGACCATAACTAATAAACTAATAACAATACGTACAGATGCCGAACCTCTGAAAGTATAAATACAGTACGTAATTATTTGTGGACATTGTTCTTTTATTCTAATCTCTATTTATCTCATTTGCTTAATTTGACATCATAAATTTTTTTAATACTCAATAGAAGGAATTGTGACCTTTTGAGTCATTTATGTAAAATAATGTGTCTAGAAATTCTTCAGATGTAGTCAAGAAATCGTTAATTGAAGAGATAATTTAACTATTGACAGAACAAGTGTTGCATACAGTGTTGATAGATCATGAATAGCAAGTTTAGTACATACAAAATGACAAAAAGGGTTTGTATTTTTATTTTTGAATAGGGCAAAATGTCTTCTTACCCACACTGACAACAGAAATTAACCAAAGACATGAAAACATTGGGTATTTGGGAAGCTAGACCAACATAATATAGGAAATTCTTCTGATATTCCTTTACTGGACTCACGGTAGAATTCAACTTATAATTCTCAAAGTACTGAAAGTAGATATGAGAGAAATTATTACAAATGAATGAAAATGAAAATAGGGGAGAAATTATGTCAGGAAAGCTGTCTACAGGTTGTACAGTTGCCAGCAGACAGGTTTTATAGTACATGAACAGTTTCCATGAAAATTAGACATATTTATCAGACTATTACCTTGATCATTTTCAAAATTTCTGAGATATTATAGCCAAGTTATCAATTCATAACAACTCAGATAAAGCTAAAAATAATCTAACTAATTTGCATAATATACAGAAATATATACAGAATGTACATATTGATATGTTCATACTTACATCCTTGGCGTTGATAAACATATTCCATGGCATCAATATACCTATACCATGTATGACCATGATTAAGTATACCAATCTAAATCTATCATTAGGTGGATTTTTCTCCAATTCTTCAGCTTTCTGTAATTTTCTAAAATCTTCATCATCAACTGTTTCTAACCCAGGATCAAGTTTTACTGGTGTTAAGAATTTCTCAAGTTCTTCTGCAATACAAAAATATTGATATACTAATATCATGTGATATATATTTATCATACTACCAAATGTTACAGTTAATATAGATTTGGCACCTTTCAAAGAAACACTTCCTCTCTATAACAAAAGATACAACCATTCAGTAACCCAAAAGAATATGCCCACACATCAACAAATATCATGCTTTTAAATTTTTTTATTGCATACAAGTCAATTCTGTTGCAGTTTTGGTAAAACTAAAGTAGGATGCTTAGGTGAAATCATACAAGATCTCATCAATTTACGATATCAATCCTCATTTTAATTATATCAAAAGTTGTGAAGCAAGTTCCCTCAAAATTCAATCAAAACAGTAGCACTTTCTTCATTAATGGTTGACAACTGAAGGGACTATTGCATTTTCACTACTCCAACGAATGGAAATGAGTCCTACCCTCCTGCATCTGAAGGCAAATGAAGATATCTCGCCAATATATATGCATACAAAGTTTCATAAAAATTACAAACTGTAGCCAGATGAACAGCTGTGATGTCGACATAACCAGTCTTGTCGTTAGGGTACAGCGTTTGAGAATTAAGCCCCAGCAAAACCGTCTTCAGTTCAACAGAGATAGATTCATTTACAGTGTCTTTGTGGATTTTGATATGATTTTAGCACCCCAAATTGTCAGAAATGAGTTCTCAGGGTCTTTAACTTTTCTGAGTACAAAATCTGAGCCCCAGCTGCAATTCATTCCTGGCGACGAGGCTGCACATAACAATGTTGTTTTCAAAAAAATACACCAGCCCAGTTTCCTTTTTCCATGATCTCATGCACACATCACAGATATGATGAGAATTGACCACTAATTATCATATTTATAGTAATTTCTCACCCGACTTTCCATTGCCAGGTAATGGTGATGTTCTCCAAGGACTATCATATAATGTATTGGTAACTAGATGTCTTGAATCATCCTCTGTAAAAGTATTCATGGGATGTGATTCTGATGAACTGATGTTATTTCTATGGTAAGACATGATGACTGTGGCAATCTGGTAGGCAGTTCAAAATTTCACTTCATTTCTTCTATTTATCTACAATCATGAAGAAAACAATAGCAGTGTATATATGTGCAAAGTATTTCAAAGAAAAAAAAATACTGTTAAACCACGTAGAAAAAATTATCATAATCGAGCTAATGGTTTTAAATTGAATTTTAAAGAGATTGTAAAGAGGTTTTCTAGCCTTGTTATATGTATTAGGGGACACCTTTGACTTCTATTTGGGACATTCCAATTCTTCATCCGATGCCTGTGGTTCCTGCAATACCAGAAAGAGTTAAGCGGATATGACTCATCTCCTCTGATACACATAAAGAGGCTAGAAATCCTCTATACAATCTCTGTAATTCGTAGGGTGTGTTGAGATTTTTCATTTATATATATCTGTGTGCAGTCAAAACTATATTATATACATGCTGACAAAAACTGAGAAAACCACATTTTTCTCAATTTGAGTAATATAAGACATTACCGTACTGTTGTCATTCCTAACATAAATCTATAAAGGTCACTTGTAATGAGCTCTTTGAAATGAAATTTACCTAAAGGAAAAACTGCAATGCAACTAATTTTTTTCTTATCCGACACAATCTTTTCAAAATAAAGACAGCGGATCATGTCCAAATACAAACACTCACTATCCTGAAATTCTTTGCAGACTTACACATAAGGCATACCACATTTTTTAAGTATCAAATGTTGATAACACAAAGAACAATAAATTACTAGTTAGCTTATTATACAGTATATTTTTATTTCTTGTATTAAACTTTCTGACTATAAGCCCTTAGTCCAAAATCAACATTCAACAAAATCAATTTTCAACAATATTTTTGGCAAAACCAATATTCTTTCAACGTTCTACTATCTAGAAAGCAATAAAAAGACCTATCAGCATATCAGTGTCTCTTTAATTTAATATATAATCAAGTTTATCTTGTTGAGATTAATCAATGATTGGTTAAGAGCATATAAATGATAATAAAATAACTTTAAATGAAATTATTGTCCTTTACAAGTCTTGTCCAGTAGTGTTTAAAGTTGCCTTTGCTTACTTTTCTTGGTCATATCATGCTTATTGTTTGATTAATTGATGTTTAAATCAAGTATCCTTGAGTGCTAAGATTGGGTGAGGATGTAGAAAAGCTTGGGGATCAAATTTACTAAAATCTGATTGAAAAAGCTAAAAATAGATTCCTTGTTTACTCACTGACTAAAATAGATCGCGATTTTCGTATAAAAAATTATTAACTAAACCATGTTTAAAAGACATATTTGTAAGTTAGAAATAATATAATTAAATACACTGTGTATTTAGAAAATAAAAAAATATTGTCTTTTTCCCTATTTTGAAAACATAACCATTGAAATTTGAAAATTTTCTATTGCTAATTGGCTGTTTTGGTAATGTTCGGCTATGAAAAGGCACAGAGTCACCTCCCTTATGGAAATTGTGAGACCTGATAATTTTTATTAAGTGACTGCTCGATCATTGGAATCTCCTCATAATTAGCTAATTACGAGTTGATTATTGACTTCTGAGACAAACGGTTATTTTTCCCAATCGTTAGAACACCTCTGCTTTCGATTTATATAATTGAGAAAGGTGTGAAATGAATATTTTTATTATGTTTTATTAGAAAAAATGAGAATTATATTAAGGCGAGCCCCCCCTTTAAGTATAAATAATTGAAAATAAGGACTTTAATGTGTTTAGAGCCAGTAAGTTTTCAAAATTCTAACCATGTTTAATGGATGAAAAGGATGTGGCTTGACTGATTAAAAACATGTGTTAGTCATTAAAGCACAGATATCACTTAAACATGACATAAACCCATGACAGTAAAACATGTCAATGAAACATAAACATCAAACATTTAATTAACTACATACTAACATGGAAATCAAGCATGTCTTAAGCCCAACGCAGTCGAGGAACATTTCTGTCGACGAACAAGAACATCGAACAAATATATTTGTTTTCCTTTATCCGCAGACGACAAACATAATTCCGCAGACGACGAACATTTAGCTCGAACAATACGTCAGTGTCACAGAAAATCACATGACCTCAAAATAGCGACGTCCAGAAGAAAATGTAAAATTGCGTTAGCTATTATATTAATTTTAAAAAAGACGCCAACGTAGACGGCGAAATAGGAGCATTTAGGTCCGTACCTGGATTCAACGTCGTAAAGAGCAGGGTGTGTACGGCAACCTTGTAAATTTACCGGTTGTTTCCATGGCTTGTGCTATTTCTTGCATCGCAGCGTACTTCTTGTTTCTATCTGAATAGCCGGGCAAAGAAATCATAAACAAACAGGCAGATTGCGACCACATATCTACTAAAATCTGCTCCTTCTCCACAGTCCAAAATTTTGTGTTGGTGGATTCACTGGACGTCGCCATTTTGAGTGTCATGTGGTCTGACTTCGATTGCTGATTGGTCTTTCGTCAATAAATGTTCGGCGCTAATGTACATCGTTAACGCAGACGGCAAACAAAGAATTGTTCGGGAGACGAATAATTTTAAAAAATCAAACATGTTTGATTTCACGAACAATTCTCACGAACATTTTTGTTTCTGTAATCAGCAGACGGTGAAAAAAATGATCGAAATCAAAATTTTTACGATCGTTCGCTTAAAATGTTCCTCTTCTGCGTTGGGCTTTAAAAGCATAACAGTACATTTAACTAAGTGATTAAAATATGGCCACCATTGTTTGATCAATCATACATTAGTTTCAGAACTGGGTATTTTTTTTTTAGTTAAGCCAATCAGAAATAGTGTGTCAAAATTTCAGCCTTCAAATCAATTTAGTTACTGCAATATACATAAAAGACATCTGCAGAAATAGGGAAAAAAATTCCAAGTTTGAAATATTTTTGAAGGAATTATGCCATTTTCGTACACTTCTAGTACTTCTGAAGATTGTTCACATATATTCAAGAGTCAAATCAACCATACAGAATGGCGCTCCTGACATTCAATTATATATGAAATGACAGTGAAATATGATAATTGCCAATAAACAATGAGAGTTAAACAACAATCAAATGTTTCTTTTAAATATGACAATAAAACATAACAGTCAAAAAATTTCTTTTAATTATGACCAAAAAAACCACAGTCAAACATTTCCTTTAAAAATAACATCATCACAATCACAGATGAACATGACTATATCAATTAAATCAACTTAAACAGCTCTGTTCCTTAGTAATCCTTATAGTATTAGTATCAATCTATATTAATTAATCATAAAATGGATAATTAAGAATGTATCATGTTTTTCATTTTATATTTTATTACGAATACAATACTTGAAGCTTTAAAGCGAAGTAAATAAATCATACAATATATTCTTACAATACAAAGATGAACAAATATCAAACCATTGAGGAAAACAACGAGGAAATTATGATGATTACCTTGACATTATGTAAGAAAACATGGAGAGTATAGGTATTACATGGGTGGTGAAAGTCAGTTCTGCTAGTAACATGGTCTCTGTATTGATTATTTCACTAGTTATCAATAACAAATCACCATTAAACTAATACATTTATATCAAACTCATTTGATTAAACCTGGAGTTAATCCTCTATCACATTCAGAAATGTGAAACAGACAAGGGCACCAACAATAAGCATTTACAGTCACATTAGAAATATTAAAACAAACCCTGAAACATCCACATTGACAGGTTGGGCAAAACTAAACTTGCACTGCACCATATCAAAACTACTGATATAGTAAATCAAACAGTTATTGTCAAATTCCAATCAGTTTGTCATTCCCAACAGTTTAACATCATTTACACATGTACATTAACTACTCCCAATAGATACTAGAAAATGGACCATTAGGTCAATACTAAATCCATTATTACATGAAACATTTAAGAGTCAAGAGTCAAGTGTTCACATCCAGATTGACCACACCTAATTCATGTAAATTTGGGGACTTTCCAAAAAGTTCACTAAGCAAAATACTC